GCCCGTTGTATCATGTGATGATATCATTAAAACGTTTTAAGAATATCTTACGATTTCTTTGATTCGATGATCGTGAAAAACGTAAACTTCCCGACCGTCTTGCTCGCAATTGAATACTTATACCAATGTCCTTTGGATAGTGTCCTTCCAAAGAATGCCCTCATATTTTCAGCCTCGCGCAAAATGTACCCGAGATTTGGTCCTTATACAAAATGTCCTCAACTTTAATGTCCTTTGCAAAGAAGCCTCTTGTAAAAATATCTCTTCAACAATATTTTACACGATTCCGTTTCTAAATCAGACATATGACTGTTAGAGAAGAAGGAATACATGTTTTAAACGATTCTCAAGACTTCTCATTTCAAAACTGAGTTTATGAACAGGAAGATGTCGCAGGGTACAATAATCGATTCATCAGGCGCCTGCAGAAAAGTCGTCCTAACATATGGCTATTCATTGACTCTGTTCGGAACGAAGTGGGTACCACGCACGATATCAGATATCATTGTACAGATCAATAGCGATCTTGAGCCTCGTATAAGCCAATCGAGAACTCGACTCGCTGCACGACGAATAGTGGAGTTGTGCCGGCAATTCGAAATGGATCAAATTGCAGCGTGCAAGTTATTGCGCAGCTTTTCTCTTTTTCAGGCACACAAAAACTAAGAGCTTTTATCCGTGACAATAAATTGCATCTGATTCTTCATTTCCTGATAAAAATTTATTCATACATACTGCAACGACGTTTTGATCAGGGAGACAATTTGCTTCAAGACCACAAAGCCCGAAACGTTTTCATTGAGATCATTTTATGCGAGGGACATTATGCAAAGGACCCATGTTCAACGGATCTTGAAAAAGGACATTTTACCAAAAGATATTTGTTGCTGTTGCCCTCTAATTCGATTTATTCTTGAATCATTTACTAAACAATTATCTGAATATTTTATATCACGTGAAAATCTAACCGCTGACGGCGCTCTTTTGTTCAATATATGCGAAATAAACCAGCCCGTTATGGTCGTAAATTTTGGATATTATCCGATGTTGATACTCGATTCGTTTTATCACTAGAATTATACATCAGTGTGAAGCTAGCACGAAGGAGCTACCACGCAGAAACTGTGTGTAAGCTAAAAACTTTTTTCCAGAGTTTGTCCGGTTCATAAACCTAGTCCATTCGATTCAGAATTTAATTCTGCATCGAATGGTGGTATTTTTATTCACCGGACAAATTTTGGAAAAAATTATCGGAAACATAAATAGACCTATATGAGGCAAACAAAGATGTGGTTAAACTTTTTCCAAAGTTTGTCCGGCGAATAAAAATACCACCATTCGATGCAGAATTAAATTCTGAATCAAATGGACTAGATTTTATGAACCGGACAAACTCTGGAAACAAGTTTTTAGCTCACACACAGTTTCTTCGTAGTAGCTCCTTCGTGCTAGCTTCACACTAATGAAGCACTGCTAGAACGTAAAATGATGTTGCTCGGAGTCGTTAATCATGTACATTCGTTTGTTCCAAATAAGTTGAAAGTTATTTGACAAGATTGGTATTCTTCATGATCGGTGTGAAGCTAGCACGAAGGAGCTAGCGCGAACAAACGATATGTTAGGTAAAAACTGTTTTACTAAATATGTCCCGTCCATGGAAACTACACCATTCGACTCATAATTTAATTCTGCATCGAATAGTGGTACTTTTATTCACCGGACAAACTTTGGAAAAATTTTTATCTATATCTTTGTTCGTTTTCTTTAGGTCTATTTAAAATCCAGAACGAATTTTTCCAAAGTTTGTCGGGTAAATAAAAGTACCACCATTCGATGCAGAATTAAATTCTGAGTCGAATGGTGTAGTTTCCATAGACGGGACATATTTCGTAAAAAAGGTTTTAGCTAACATATCGTTTGTTCGTGCTAGCTCCTTCGCGCTAGCTTCACACCGATCACTCTGTGGTCCCCCATCACTCTTATCTTATCACGCAAAACAAGAAACCACCTGTTATATTCTTATCTACAGAATGTAATTTTCCTGAAATATTTGGTGAAAAAAAACAACAGATTATGATATATCAATATTCTTTTTCTGGTAGAGAAGAGTCTTAGAAACATAAATTGTTTGCTTGCTCGTATGTCCGCAGGGTAAAAAAACATCGAAAATTGATTTTTCCGAAAATACATTCCCAGAAGTATTTCCATGTGGAGACTTCGAATCTGAGGCTATTTTTTTAAACAAAGGGCCGTTTTTTACAGTAAAAATTTCTTTTTATAAAATTTGACTAAGGAGTTTTTTGGGTCGATGAACTCGAATCTGGCGTTATTTTTTTCAAATGTTTACATAGATCAGTTTTTTTCACACAAAGGGCGACTTTTTTGTAAAAGACAGTTTTTTCAATAAAAATTTACCGAAGAGATTTTGGGGTCAAAGAGGACAAATCTGATGTTACTTTTTTCAGACTTCAAAACAATTTTTTCAAACCAAGGACACCGATTTTCAGAAAAACATTTATAACTTGTTTACAAGTTGGACCCTCTTCAAAAAAAGTTCCGTGGTTACGAAAAAGTCTTCAGACAGGTTCACGATTACAAAAACGCAATAAAAATTTCTACGGAACCATTAAAGGATCTTCCCGTGTATCGGAAGGAAGAACCTTCTACTGCTAAAGCTTTTTCTAAGTTCAGCATACTGAAAACAGGTTCCGTAGCATAATACCAAACTTTCAGAGTTCCTTAGGAAAATAGAATAGTTTCGTACCGAACCTTATTGTCCTTGTATAGTTTGATATGAAACCCCATAAGTTTTGCATTTTGCTACGGAACCTGTTTTCAGTATGCTGAACTTAGAAAAAGCTTTAGCAGTAGAAGGTTCTTCCCTCCGATACACGGGAAGATCCTTTAATGGTTCCGTAGAAATTTTTATTGCGTTTTTGTAATCGTGAACCTGTCTGAAGACTTTTTCGTAACCACGGAACTTTTTTTGAGGGTTCAGTATAGCACTAATTTTTTTTAGAGTGTGGCAAAAAGGTAAAACGAGAAGGTACCCCTTCCGCTTTTTGAACGTTTATAAATCGATACATTGTTAAGAGTTTAGTGTTATTACAAGCATATAAAATGTATTACCATTTTTCAAATTATCTTAAAATAAGTATTCGTATATGTACATTTTTTTTACGTCTTTCTTTACATTTATCTTAATTATTGTAGTAATCGTTTCTTTTCTCTAATTGTAGCAGATATTTCCTATCGTGTTTTATTATTTTCTTTTTTCATGTAATAACTCATAATCTACTCAATTGTATTGATACTTATTTAGAATATCTGGCTCTCAATTTGATATTTGGTATAAATATCTATTACTACTTTTGTGAAAATATCTAATCTACACTAACAATAAATTAATATACACAATAATATCTTTAAAGTGTAATATTTGAAAGCACGATTTCTATGAGAAAGAGCTGACCGAGTCGCTAGACGAGCGTTACTTGTAATATAAATAAGATTGGTGTTGATATAATTCATCCATGCATCAATAATTAGGTAACTCGAAGATGACCGATTATAGTGTTCCCTACTTTGACCGATAGAGCAGCTATCAATACAGTGTCCGTTTGGTTCTATAAAAATCTTCGCTGGAATCAAGGTAAAGATTGTATTTGTCTCTTTTTACGACAGCTTACTAAATCATTGACAAACTCTCCTAATACTCGACATTGTTATTATTATCGATTTACAAATAATACTAAACTTGTATTACAATCTCTCGGCTATCAATCGAAGTCGGAAACAAGAATGGCTTCTGATTATATTGGCGGTGATGTAAAAAAGCAACATCGATGCTGTCTTTGCCCGACACATTCTAGATGTCAGCTTAGACAAACGTGTCCTACTTGTCAAAACAATGTCTGTAGGCTGTATTCGATTAGTACAATCATAACTATTTGTCAGACATGTGAAACGAATAATTCAGCAAAATAATACATTTTCAAAAAAAAATCATTAAAACCCTTATACAAAAAAAATCAGATTATGTCTTCCTACATAATAGTTTTATACACTATTTCCATCCTTTTCAAAGCTTCAAAATAAACAATCAGAATAAGCAGCTTTTACTTCAACGTCCAAATCTGCACTTGTAATCACAATAAAGATCAGAAATAATTCATGTTCAATATCAAAAAAATAATAAAAACCATATTTTATACAGCTATATATTTACAGACAGGTCCAATAGGATCCATATGACACCATTTACGTAAAAAAATGAGGACACCGTACGAGGGTCAAGAAAACAATCAAAGTCACATATTAAAATGTGTTCAGAAAGAGTAGAGATTGTTCTTTGATATTGGGACATAAGATGAAATTATGAAAATCATTGAAAGAGGCGAAGTAGGTTGATTCAAATACAACATGACATTTGACATGTATAACTATGTGGTGCAGTACACGTCTATCGAAACGAACGACACTGAGTATGTTTTCCTTTTTTCTTCCTATGGTGAGAAAAAAGTTACAAGGTAAATTATATTGGCTTTTAGATTTATTTGTGACGTATCTAATGAGTTTGATAAATATATAGAATAATTAATTGATAGGAATGCATGTCTATTCTCATTCTCATTATTATTATTGTTGAATGAGAGAAAAATAACATGCAACTTGTGGTATCAATGCGCTTTTCTTTATTTTTCATTTGATATTATTCGCATCGTCCTTCAGCTTTCCGATTCATATATATCTGTACATTCTATTCCGAAAGATAACTAGATTGTTCAGCTGGTCACACTTCGCATTTTAAAGCAAGCGGAAAATAGGTTTTATTGAGGCTAACTATTTATTATATTTTTACTATCAATGAACAAAATAAATGGAGTTAGGTTATTACACGTGTAGAGAGTGTAAAAAAACTGGAATGTAATTAGAATATGTTGTTTTTGTTAGTATTTAAAGGGAAAAAAAAGACGTCCTTCAAATCGTTAAGCATTGGCTTAACATAAGCGTGGTACATTTTCTTCATATGCGTTATTGAAATTACCGCCAGGAAAATAGTTTGCAACAACATAGATCTTGTTACTGGCTGATACAGCTCTGCCAATACCTAAACGTGTTGAAGCCTTCCAAACGACTTGAGTGAAATGTCCAGTTCCAGATGAAGAAGTTGGATTGTTCCAATCATAATCAGAGATTTCATTATACCACTTGGTAACTGCCTTGTCACCTTTGTGAATGAAAATGAAGAAATTTAATTACCGAATCAGAATTGTTTCATAGTTTACCTGGAGTATTGAGCACTGATTCTGATGACCAGGCGGTATAAATATTTTCTCCCATCCATTCACCGTGATATGTAGCTCCACTGTGTTCAAATGTATCAGTTGCAGCAAGCTTTTCTGCATATTGTTGTGCGATGTTGTTTAATTCATCATCTAATTGCAGTGCAGGGACACAGTGTTTGCTTCGATATTCGTTGTGTTTATCTAAAGCTTGTTGTCTGAATGTCTCGAGTGGTACTTCGTCTCCTGGCTCGGATCCTATGAAACGAAATCAGATATAAACTGTTAGATTACAATTCTACGTGTAATGGTTGTGTTTACTTTCTGAGAATATAAAACGGTTACCACCGCGTTTGTTGCTTCTCAATTGTTGTTGACGTAAGAGTTGGCGAAGGGTTCCATCGAGTCGCTTGTCATTAGACTGGTTTATACGATAACCAGCAGCATAGAATGCTGATAGGCAAAGTGTGAATAAAACAACGACGGTTTGTGATCGCATCCTACAAAAAAGATTCGTAGTTAATACGTGAGAAAAAGGAAGAAATAGTGGTCGCTTAAACTTACTTGTTGTCTGTTTAGAAAATGAATAGATAGATAATGAAAACAGCTGTATATATACAGTGTCTTATTGCTGCTAATTATTCGTGCGGAAAGGCTTCACTATTTTGGAAAAGGGTCATATTGTGCTTGCTCTAGATTTTTGTATGCTTTTTATGTAGGGCGTCCTAGTACTCAGTTATACTTTTTCTAGAATTGATTTGGATCGATATATGTTGTAACTATAACATCATTGGTTCCAAGTAGAGCTCGGCGAGCTCTTTTGGTTCTTCTATACGATATGCACATTATACACACAGAACGCAATGTACGCTAACACTACGAACATGAGATCACCTTGAATTTGATCATTCGTACTCGTATTACAATGAATTTCTAAGATGTCTGACATGAGAACTCAAAGTAGGCACTTATATTCATTGTTAGGACTGAAACGGTTAATTTCTCATTGAATTATTTTTCGATTGTTGATATCTTTCATTAACGTTTACAGGTAATTAGTCGATGCATAAAGCATGAACGTACATAACGGCGAAAGCAGTTACATTTTATCTAGGCTACGTGTCTTGATGACACTGCGTTAAGACGACAAAATGCTCTACATGCGCTAATTTCTTTATTCAGTTTGTTTTTCGAATTCGATCTCTCGCACATGAAATGATTGGAGGCAATTCGAATATTCTATTTTAATACTATTTCACATTTCATGTTGATTCATTTCTTTCGAGCATTATGAATGGCAAGAAAGAATTCTAATATCAACGGTGGTACATCAACGACTAATGATCTTCCAATACCATCGTCCTCTAAATTAATTCTAGTTTGTCCAACACGGGTCACTTCAGACTTCGACATAAAAATCTGAGAATGTACTATACTATTTTGGGACTTACGAGTTTAACAGTTTACGTATCGGTGGAGGGACAATTCGTCGCTTAGATAATTACCCAGAGGATGCTAATTATGTATGTAAGTGAGATAAGTATCAATACAAAGTCGTTTCATAATTAATACTGATTAGTTTTATTGAAAGAAAATACAACATAGAAGAAATACAAAAGAACATTTACAATAACACATTTGCAGCTGGACCTGTTAAATATTCACCTAAGTCAACGCTGTTGTATTCACCAACTAATCGGATAATTTTTTCGCCGAGTTTGTGACAAACTAATTTTTACGTAGGATACTTTCGAGCAAGATTCCACCTTTTCTTGAGCCGATTAGTTTCAGCGTAGGTTCCAATCATAATAATTGTTCACTCCACCCACACCCTCGATCGAGTTACGAATTGGCAGCGTTTGGCATATTCAAGCTGATTTGATTAACTTGGAACTATCAGATTTTAGAGTCCAATTAGAGTTCAGGACTCGTCAAACTCGCACATTATCAACAATTGGTGAGTAATGGAATGCAGTCAGTAACTGTGACAGTGGCAGAATAGAGGATATGAGATCACCATAGAACTATACACTTTTCTCAAGCAACTTGTGGTTTTGAAGCTGATAGAATCGAAATGAATTTATAAACAAACCATCGGCACTAAATCATTTCGATGAAAGGAAAGACTGGCTTCTTAGTGTAAAAATCGAATATTAAAATAAATGTTTGCGAACGTCTTATATTAGCATCGTTACCCTTTCGTATGTTTTATGGCGTTTTGATTTATTTTGAGATAAGTTGATTCTGCCAAAAGTCACAAAATGTCGCATGATAGCTTAGAGGACTTAACATCTAAGGAAGTTCGTGAGAGATTAAGCCAGTTTCAACTTTTTTCAAAGGTGAGTTGTGTTTTCAACAAGATATTTTGCTATTTTATCAATTTATAGTGCTGCAACACAGTTCAAACTCCGACATTGTGAAGAACTATTCGTTTGCTTATGACTTCATGATCGGGATTTAAAACATTATATTCAAAAGAAAATGGAAAACTATTTGAATGAAACGTTCATTCTTGTGAAAGTTTTCAATAATGCACTCAAGTTTATGAGGTATCTTGCTGAAACGAAAATAAAAACTATTTGTTCTATCATTTCCATTCCTTCTGATGGAGCTGAAAATCTGTCTGTTCTTGTCGAGGAACGAAAACAAACCAACGAATACAATCACCGGCATGATTACATATTAAATGTCGATCCACAAACATCGTTGGCAAACTTATCAAAGTTCAGAACAGTGTCAAAATGACACAGAAACTTTAACAAGAGATCTGTTTCCGACATTCAGCTCCTTTAATTTGGATTTAAATGAGAAATCTTTTCAGCTCTTGACTGTGGCTTCCAAGAAGTTTCTCCTATCTATATATATAAAGAAGAAAGTTTGTCTGTTTGTTTGTTTGTTCGCTATGCATTCAGCCCCTGTAGTAGCTATCGGCGTGAAACTTTCCACAATGCTTCCTGAGACCCAGAGGAAGGTCGACATCTACTTTGTTCCGAGAACAAATGAACCAGACGTTTGCTACAGGTAATATATGAAACTGACCAATAGGATAGCGGGATTTTAGAAGTGGACGAAATTAATAGCGAAGGCGGCCGAAGGCCGTCTGAGCGCTCAAAGGCATGAATCCACGTGTTCTGCCTGTGCTCAGGAGTCCTGTACATGCTACAAGCAACCTGCGAAGCTGACCAATAGGATTGCGAGATGTGAAAAATTGCAGTGGGTCGGTAGCGAAGGCCGTCTGAGCGCTCAAAGACATCAATCCACGAGTTCTCTACGCCTATGATAGTTCGGTGAATGCTACAGATAATCTGCGAAACTCACCAATAGCGTTACAGGATCTCAAAAGATTAAGATAAATGATGAGGGTGGGTGAATTCGAAGGATATAAGGCATGAAATGACGTGAGAGTGAGAAAGAGGTCGATGAATGAATAGCTAGAGTGGAAAATCAATATAAGAGAAAGAGGAAATTTTCATGATTTCTGAGGCAGAAATTAGCTTCGGTAACTCTTTTGCATAAAGAGATATAGCCGAAACTGCCATTTTATGCGATGCACGGTGGGAAAAATAAGGACTGGAAGCGTAGAAATTTTAATTGTATTGATTTTCTATCTGTTATAACTCTTCAACACGTGAGATATTTGACATAGATATTTCTTATTTGCAGCGGGTACTCCTTCTAGTTTCATTTATGTTTTCAAAGTTTGGTTGGAATGAAGCATGGTATACCAGCTTTGGAGGAAATGTGTAGTTATTATCGAAATCAATACAGATGTAATATAGCCCAGCTGCGAAGCATTGATGAATTTCAAAGAACATATAGAAAAGATAATACTATTAATACCTATACACAAGATTCGTTTGTCTACCGAATTATTAATCAAGCGTTTCGATTAGAAGACACAGGTCGGATCTTTAGGTGCCGCTACTACGTTACTCATCTGCGTCCGCAGTTAACTAACTGATCTATTCAAAATGAAACAATAGATAGAAAACAAGTCGTCTATCGAGGCCAAAATCTACTTCTTATTATACTTGAACAGCTAAGAAAAAGCGTTGGTAAGTTTATATCAATGAATGATTTTTATTTGTTACAAGAAGTTCACGAATGGCTCTGGGTTTTTCTTCTTCTGATTCACAGCAACTCAATTATACAAGTGTTCTATACGAGATGACGATCAATGAAACATAAGCCATACCAGTGCCATTTGCTGATATCGTGAAAAAGAGCGAATGTTCAGACGAACAAAAAATTCTTTTTTCAATCGATTGTGTATGATTTCTCGAATCAGTAGAATTACACAGTGATTTTTGTTTAATTGAGCTTATTCTTTGTAATAGTTTTGATCAGCAATAACTGGAGGTTTGCAGTCATCTCACAAATGGCTATGCATATCTGTCGTTAGCCGATACAGAATGAACCAAATCTTCCGAAGAATATTCGCGGACATATCTACTATAATCTGGGAACTTTAGCTGCTAAACAAGGGAGATATGAAGACACCATTGAAAAGATTCAGAAAGCGGAAAACTCAATTCAACCAGCGATTTGTGACGAAATGAATGATGATTTGCTGTATTACGAACAATAGGTCACCATGTCGTTTACGTGTGATGAACACTTCCGGTTTGTTGTATCACAAGCTAGGCAATTAAAAAACTGCTCATAAATGACTTCAGGCTGGTTTGAAAAAGTGATCGAATTAGCCGGAAGATACTTGTGATCAGAAGGCTTTAAATATAACTTTGATCGGGCCAAAAAACTTTCGGATCAGATCAATCCTTATGATTATCATATGGAAGGAACATAATTTTTGCAAACGGATTATCGCTCGTATAATTGGTAATAGATATGTAAATGAAACTTATCTACGCTCTGTATTTCGTGCTATTCGTATTTCTACGTATATCTTTCAAATTTTTCCCTGTGTTTGTTTGCAGTTCTTTGTATCTCTATTTCTTTTGAGCCTAGATACACTGGAATAATGGGATACTTTCCATCCCATGACAATATATGAATAAAATTTAGCTGAAAGAAGATCGTATTCTCCTTGTTTCAACTATTCTGATCTGTTGCACTCTCATTGGTGCCATTGGAAATGTCTGAGCATGGCCAGTCTAACTTAATATGCCGCTATCTTCATCATATTAGGCAGATCATATAAATAGTAATTTCTTAATCATTATATTGAAGACTGTCAACTTTTTGTCACGCACAATACAATGCTCTATCCTGCTGATCTAGATTCCAGAAAAGAAACAAAAATGTTTCTATATTGATTTATTTAATGCTAATGCAAAACAAAGAAAAAACGCAATCTAATGATATGTGTTCGATCATCGATATTATGCAACAGTAACCGATTTGGCTAAGTTTCTTGGACAATCAACGTCGTAACCGCGTAGGACAGCGATATGAAACGAAAGCAATTGCATTGGCACCACACATAGGATTCCTTGTAAACAGTCAACTGTACGCGGTACAGCAATGTAGCGGCGTGCTAATTTAATCAGTTCTTCATCATCATTATTACAGATGAGAACAGGTTGACCACCACGCGCTTGCACTTGTGAATACGCATTCATGCATTTCTATTTCGAGAAAAAATCGGCTGAATATTTTTCTGAAAATTAAACAGCTACTTACTGTTTTGACGGGATCATCCATAATAATCATCACAATAGGCATGGTATCATCTACCATTGCTAATGGACCATGTTTTAATTCACCAGCTAGAATACCTTCGGAATGCATGTAGGTTAGTTCTTTGACTTTCTAAAATCGTGGAGGACTAATTATGCGGAGAAAAACTAAGATTTGACATCTTACCAAAGCGCCTTCAAGACATGTAGCAAAATTAAATCCGCGACCCATAACTAATAACGATGATTTCTGATACAAGTTTTCAGCAAAATCACGTATTTTCTGATCACAAGTAAGTACTTCTTTGATCAGTTCTGGTAACTTTTGAAGACCATCGATAATATCTTCTCGTCGAGATTGTTTTGATATCGAATCTTCCGATAAAACCAAACCGAATAGAACAAGTGCTAAGAATTGACTTGTATATGCTTTCGTACTAGCCACACCTAACATTCAATTCAAAGATAATGTCAACTTTCTCTCTCCCATAAAGTATTTACCAATCTCTGGTCCAGCATTAATATGCACACCACAATGCGATTCGCGTGAAATACTTGATCCAACGGTATTTGTAAATCCAACAATGAGTGCGCCACGTTGCTTACAATATCGTAAGGCTAAGATAGTATCGGCTGTTTCACCCGATTGAGAGATGAATATGCAGACATCATCTCGGAAGACGGGTGTACTTCGATCGAGAAAATCCGATGCTAATTCGACCATCACAGGTAGCTCTGATAATTCTTCAAGTAATTGTCGTGTAGCAACGGCTGAATGATAACTTGTTCCACATGCAATTAAAATTAAACGACGACAACGACGAATTTCATTGATGTAATCTTTGATTCCTCCGAGAACGACTTTTTTCGTATTAAAATTCACTCGACCGCGCATTGTATTCACAACCGATTCTGGTTGTTCGAAAATTTCCTTTTGCATAAAATATTTATAATTCCCTATCAAAAGCAAAAGATTCTATTCAAACTAGTTCAGCAACGTTCATACCTTTCATGATTTCCTGCAATTCAATTTTCAGTTCAATGATTTCACGAATGGTCGATTGTCCTGATGCTTCATGTTGTGAACGGTGGATTGTCAATGTACCATTGTTGACAACAGCTAGATCATCATCCTCCATGAATATTACTTGATTCGTATGTTCGATGATGGCACTAATAGAAAAGAAAAAAAAAGAGATCTAAGCAATTCGAAATGTTGTTTACTTACCTTGCATCCGAAGCGAAGTAATATTCAATGCTGCGATCATTACCCGCAACTGTTAAGTCACTTAACGGTTGGTCAGGATTTTTCAACGGCGCTGAGAAAACACCACGCAGATCTAAATGAGCAAGAATTGTGTTATTAAATTCGCTCAGCAAGCCTTCTCTAAGAATCCAAGCAAAAATCATAGCTGAAATTGACAATGTATCTTTTACTTAGGAAAATTCTTCTAGATGATCATAATTTTGTATACATCTATGGAAAATGCACAGTCAGCAAACGCTAGTTGAATCTTTTTCTTGTTCTGTTTTCAAAACTGAACTTTCTTCCAAACCTACTTTCATTTGTTTCAGAATCTACTGAAAATACACAAAACATCGAGTTAGTCGAAAGCTATATTCGGTTGTGTTCTCTTGTATGTTAGAAGCCAAGCAAGTTCGTAGAGTGGAAAAATTAAGCAACGATTACCTTTCTGATGTCGCGATTGCAAAGATAGATCTAAGTATTTACTTCCAATCTCTTCTCTCACATTCAAGATTAAACAAATAGAAACTACTTACCTTTACTGAATGTCACAGGAATATGATTTGCAGCAAATTCATTTGCGCACTTTACACCAATAACCATTGGACTTCCTCGCCTAGGCAAAGTCTCCTCAATCAAGATTATTGTTTGACTTAAAGATGATTTACCGAGTAGCACATAATTGAGCAGGATAGTGAATGCTTTTAAATAGTAACGCAAATGCTCCTTCCTACAAACGATCAGATGGTTTTATTGATGCAAAAGTAGAAGAAAATGATCTGTTACCAATTGCGAACATGCCATTTCAATTAATTTTTGAAAGCTAATATTTTCCTGTTTGTGTTTATCATACAGATACTTAACTAATTTAATAACAACTTCTGTATCAGTTTCCGATTCGAATACATAACCTTTTTTGATCTAAAAACTCAAGCAAATCAATCGTCAATCGATTTCTATCATTGCCACTTACAAGATATTGTTTAATATCTTTATAATTTGTTATGATGCCATTATGAACACAAACAAATTGATTTTGCTCATCGGAACGTTGTGGATGAGAGTTAACAGCACTTGGTTCACCATGCGTTGCCCAACGCGTATGAGCAATTCCAACATGAACTGCATACTCGCCACTCCAATCGATATTTTCCAAAGCTAAACAAGCACAACATATCGAAAATAAATTTCAACGATTTTTCACTTACATTTTACAGCATGTTCGAGTTCTTCGACTTTTCCCTTCTGTCTGACGACCATACATGCTCGTTGTTCAGCATAGTCACTGTCAAATGCAATGCCAGACGAATCATAACCACGATATTCCAATCGATGTAGCCCATTGATGAGAATGTCCGCAATAAATCTTCGATCACGTTTTACCAAATAATTCAAATAACCAAATATACCTATTGAATGATCGAGTCAATAACACAACAATATCCTATCAAGGTTACAACAAAATTTACAACTTACCGCACATTGTTATTCACCTAATAAAGCGTCTTTTTCCTTCAATTCTAAAGAAATGAATACATATATGTACTTCAATCTATAGTAACTACGAAGAAAAACAATCACGATGACGATATGAGTTGTTTTATTTAGACTTTAGAACGTGGCATGAATGTATAGGAAGACAAATAATGTCAAATACTTTTTTGCGTCTAATATACCAATGACGGAAGGAGGTAAAGAGAGAGAGAGAAGAAGAAACAGAACTGAGAAATAAAATTTCAAGAAAAACATGTCCCGAGAAATTGTTTTGTATTTAAAGAAAACAACGGATGGTGACAATCAAATCAGTGAAGCAAAGCACGTACTTACGCTAAATCAATCTACAATGGTGTCTTATTTTAGCGTGTTCCTTCAGACAAACAGCAAACAAGGTATATATGTATATATCTAATCTTTCTGTCGATGTTGGCCACAATTTATATACGTATCAGTTTGCTTGGAGAGAACGAAGAAGATGAACATTTATCTTATATAATAAACTCTTGAACGAAATTGTACAAGAGCCCCTCTTCTGTTTCTTTATCATCATCGATAAGATAAACTGCTAAACAATTTCTCTCTGAGTCATATTTTTATTTTTCCCTTCTCCCTTATTGCAATAAGATGAAGACAAAGTATTTCGTATTGTTTTGTGTTTATTCTTTAACGGTCTAAAACAAGAATTCTTATATATTTTTTTTCTTTTGTGCACATTTTCAAGTTCAGATAGAAAACGGTCGATGTTAAACTTGATTATAGCTGCTAATGCTTGATCATATTTTAGACAGAACTTTGCACTGGTGGTTCATAACCATCAACTCGTTCGACGCGTTGACCCTTTTCGTCGACGGTTACACTGCTATAACTTTCACCATGCATTTCCATGAGACGTGTAACTAAAAGAAGCAAACAATCGTGACAGCATCTATTTCTCATACCGAAAAGCGTTTTACCATCGAATTTGGGTTTTTTGAGTACTTTGACTTTTCGAACGTTGACGTTTTGTAATGGATAAATACCGCGACAAGCTTTTTCGATTTCTGAACCAATGCTGTTTGGTATACTGAAAGATAAATATGAATGAGCATCGTTGCTTCTTTCTCGGATGAAAACGTACAGTTTGTTGACAACTTCTTTAAGTTCACTACCAGCAATATCGCGAGTCATGATTTCGACCATTTTCTTACGGATAGCTTTAATCTAAACGAAAATTTGCGGGAATGAACATTTTAAATGGAAAAATGGCTCGACTAACTTGTGTATGTTGAGCATAGGCAGTTTTTCTGATTTGACCACGCATTTTCATTGTGAAACCAATGCAAAATACACGTAAAAGATATCCATCTGATGTACGAATATCGGCTTGTGCTTCGATTAATGTCTAAACGTAGTCATTATTCACTTTCCTTCTGACAATTCCCTCTTCTAGGACTCCTTACCTGCCATTTCTTAATTAACATACGAAGACGATCAGTAGTCATGTCCATACCATGGAAATTAGTTAAACAATGGCGACCTTGAACATCTTCGCAGATGAATCGAAATTTTCGATGACTATCTTCATCGTCATGTTTGTTTAAATCACCAAGTGATACTTCAAATACACGACCTTTCAAAGCATCCGAAGCGATTTCTATTTCACAAACATAGGCAAACATGAATTCAGCAGAAAGAATTCTTTAAACAATTACTTGTGCCTGTTGTTCGTGTGACGAGTGTTCGACCAACATTTCGTACTTCAAAGTTAGCTGGTGCTTTGATATCATACCAATCTTTTTTGGAGAATGGATCGGCGCTAAACAAATCATTCTCGAGTGCATCACATTCCGTGAACAACCGTCGAACAACTTACACTTTCTTTTTGCCACCTTTTCTACTTGCTTTAGTTGCATTCTTGTTCTTGCCGATAGCCATTTGTGATGATCAATCTAAAACATCGAACATCATTTGTTTTTCAATCTTGCTTTTGAATTTCAAAAATAAATATTTTCCATCATCGATTGTAGCCGAGAAAAATACTCCGGCATCCATAGAATACATTCCGGATCAGTCCATATTGACAAGTTCTGGGCCTCCATCAAATGTAACGTGTTTCAACGCTAATGCAGATGACATGAAACGTTTCTTCATTCTGATTGGTTACAGTTTTATTACCGTACACGCAGCAAGACGTATTTTTTATTATTATTAATAATAGTAATCATCTGCTGTTTTTCTTCTGTTCTCCGAAGAGAAATATCAATAGAAGATCGACTCTTTTCCTTGCAGATATAAACATGGGAAATCAATCATTCCAATTTCTCGTCTTTATTGTTCTACAACTGATTTTAACAACACAGGCACTCTATTTTCATATACGAGAGACCGAGCGAAAATGTTTCATCGAAGAAATTCCGGATCAAACATTAGTTATCGGAAAGTATAAAGTAGAATTATTCGATGCAGCATCCAATACTTACTTACCGTCGACACCTGGAATCGGTATGCACGTCGAAGTAAAAGATCCCGATGAAAAAATAATCCTTTCGAAATTGTATACCAGCGAAGGACGATTCACATTTACATCTCATACACCAGGTGAACATGTGATTTGTTTATATTCGAATTCATCAGCTTGGTTCGGTGGACAACAATTAGTATGTAGATAAGTATGATTTGTGGATTCATTTCTGTTGATGTTATACTTTAGCGTGTACATCTTGATATTGATATTGGTGAACATGCAGTTGATTATCAACAAATTAGTGCAAAGGAAAAGCTAACTGAACTTCAATTACGTGTCCGACAATTGATCGATCAAGTTGAACAAATGTAAGACTTTCTAAGGAGAATTGAATGCATGACTTTTTCTCGAAATTGTGCTTTTGTAGAAGCAAAGAACAAAGTTATCAACGATACCGTGAAGAACGTTTTCGTGCAACTAGTGAATCGACTAATCAACGCGTTCTTTGGTGGTCCATTGCTCAACTATTAGTACTTGTTATAGCTGGATTTTGGCAAATGCGACACTTGAAAGGATTTTTCGAAGCTAAAAAACTTGTTTAAACACATTTTTATTCCATTCCAATAGTTTCCTGTCGGTTATGATTTTCTTTCATTTTTTTTTCAGTTGTCATTCGTTTATCTTATTCACTCTTGTTTGTCTTGGTCAATCTCAAATAGATTCAAAGTTACATTCTTGTTTTGTTCTCTTTTAGACTAAAAAAAAATATTACATTGCTACTCGATGCTTGCACGAGGTGTTCGAAATGTTATCTATAACTACACGGATGCACAACGTAAAGTACGAGCGGCGACATCAAACGACGCTTGGGGACCACCGCCAGCTCTTATGCATGAAATAGCTGACTTAACCGATAATATGGTCGCCTATGCAGAAGTTATGCCAAGTAAGTGATCTAATTGTAAAGCCAACAAGGATTCTGAATCTGAAGAGTGATGTCGTTTTTCATTGGATAATATAAACTAACAAAGACATGACATTTTTGACAGAAATCTCTTATCTTTATCTTCCCACAAAGATTTAGTTGTCATGTAAATGAAAGCAGATTAAGAAATAGGATGCTCTCAATGAGAAGAAAAGCTGATTTTTTCCTTCATTTTAGTTATTTGGAAACGATTGAATGATCATGGGAAAAACTGGCGTCACGTGTACAAATCACTTGTTTTACTGGATCATCTAATTAAATATGGGAATGAGCGTGTTAGTCAACAGTGTAAAGAGAATATTTTTGCCATTCAAACATTAAAAGATTTTCAATATGTCGAAGATCAAAAAGATCAAGGTTACAACGTACGAGAAAAAGCGAAACAACTTGTAGCCCTACTCAAAGACGATGAACGTCTACGTAATGAACGTCGAAAAGCACAAGAAGCACGTGAACGTTACGTACGACAAGCCATGGGAATGGACTCTCATGGTTCAGTGTCTTATGGACGAGCAACAACATCAGTGCGACGAAACAGTCTGGAAGGTAATGATGCCTATGGCGGTTCGTCGTATTTGTCAGGCCATCATACAAGTCAGAATCGGTCAACGTCGTACAATGATGGTCTCCATGCAGCTGCAAGTAAAGATTTTGGTCAACCAGCAAATCAGGAAGAAGAACAGTTACAGATGCAAATCGCACTAGCAGAATCACAACGCGAGGTATGTCTGCTTTTGACAGATAAATTCAATTACTGCGGAATTATTCTTCAAGGCTGAAGATGAAGAGCGACGACGTCGAAATGACGAGTTGAAACTTAAAATAGCGCTAGAACGATCTGTGAATGAAGCATCACCGAATGCTAATAGTTCACAAGTAAGACCGAAAAAGATTTCATATAACTTATTTGTGAAGTTCTTACTAGTTATTTGATTTCAATACACCTTCTCAGTATCCAGATCCAACATATTATAACACATCATCGCCATCACCGTATCAACCAGAAACAACAACATCGAATCTGGGATGGAATGCCGACGTTAATCGATCGTCAACTCACACTGGATATGCAACGACTTCAGGTAAGAGATATTCCGTTTCGTTCTCTTTCTTCAAATATTGATATTTGAATTTCTCGCTTCTCTTTTGTGATTTATTGATAGTCACTACATCGTACTTGTTAGATTCATCCGATAGATACTATGATACAATCATTGAACAACAAAGAAAACGAAGTAACATCAAATTTCAACTATTTGGGATTGATGAGACGATTTCGTTTTAATAATTATTAGTTTTCGCATTGCTTTCTTCATTATTTCTTTTCAAAGAAATTCAAAAAAAGAAGTTTCACTTTATCGTTCTATCTATTTTCATAGATGATCCGTGGTCGTTGGAATCAGCACTGTATCCTTCTACAGCTCCCAAGACATCAAATGACCCATGGCAACCAACAACGAACGCCAGTCTTTCGATGAACACATCAGACCCCTGGGGTCTCTCAAGTACAACAACTACACAACCAGTCAGTACGACAATGATTAGCAATGAACTAAGTGATTTTTTTGGCGCAAGTGCCAGTATGTTACGCCCTTTTGTCTATCATCATTATCATCAAAAGCAATTCTTACCTTTCAGCAATATCATCACCATCATATAATCAACAACCACAACAATCAGCAACGCCGTCCAATCCTTGGAATATCACTCCAGCTGTTAATGCAAATCTAACTTCACCGATATACACTAATTTATCATTGACCAATAACAACAACGGCGGTTTACTCTATCCAACAATTGCAAGTGGGAACAATTCAAATGCAATCAGTTCGAGCCCAACATCATCATCTTTGTTATCAACTTCTCGCAAAACTCCGGAAAGTTTTCTCGGAGATAAATTCACTAATTTAGTCAACTTAGACCAATTAGTCACAGATACGAAAAGTAATTTCAATCAATCTTCTTTTCTCTTCATCTCATTTCATGTTCAGGTACGAATCCGTTTGGTCCGAATGCCACACGAACATAGAATCCATTTACGAACGCCACTCGACCTCCAACACTCGAACAATTATCCTCGTCAAATAATATGGCTTTTACAACAAGTGGCTCACCTCTACCGCCTCCATTAGTTCCCTCGTCATATAATAACACGAATGCAAATACACAATCATTTAATACAACAAATCCTTTTCTGTGAATAAACAAAAGATTTCTATTTTTTCATCCTTCGTTCTGAACAGCAACTTTCTATGTTGTAGTTTTTTCTAGAGCTTGTCTTACATCGCTTTTATTTTTCTTTTGTCTAGCGAATCTCTTTCTAGCTGTGTTTACGATCAAACTGATACATTTGAATAATGTGTCGATTATCTTTAACAGAAAAAAAAACTGAGAATTATACCAAATATTGCCGAATGAACTTTGACGTGTGTGTGTGTTTTTTCTTGTTTTGTACATTCAAACGTTGTCTTTTTTATATTACAATAATAAAATTATATATGTATTTTTTTTTCTCGAATACAATAAAATGAATTGGAATGATTGAATGTTTCAATTATTTTTAGATGGCCACGATCGCCATCGAGAAAGATCAACCAATTGTTTCGTTTGGTTTGATCACAGACATTCACTATGCAGATCTGGAGGATCGATGGAATTATTCGAGAACTTTTCTCAGACGTTATAGAAACTCATTGAAATTAGTCCGCGAAGCCTGTCAGCATTGGTTGAATGCAAAGCATTCTCTCGCGTTTGTTGTTCAACTTGGAGATCTAATTGATGGGTTTTGCGCTTCGAATAATTCAACAGAAAATGATTTACGAACAATTCTAAAGGAATTCGAAAAACTGCCACGCGTTTATCATCTTTGGGGCAATCATGAATTCTATAATCTCACTCGAAATCAGCTGTTAGCGAGTCCACTATGTTCGTTTGATACAAAAGAGATCTCACCAAGTCATTACGGAACGATTGAAATCTGCCCGAATTTGAGAATTATCGCACTCGATACATACGACTTGAGTCTGTTAGGTATTGATGAAAATACCGAGAGATATGATCAAGCAATGAGTACGCTGAGAAAATACAATCAGAATGATAATGTAAATGACCGAACTGGATTAGATGGTTATCAACAACGTTTTATCCAATTGAATGGCGGATTAACACAAAAACAATTGACTTGGCTACGCGACCAATTACTACATGCTCGAAATCATCACGACAAAGTTCTCATTTTCGGTAATGCTCTCTACATGCTCTCGATCGAAAGATTTTCTTTCTTTTCAAGGACATATTCCCGTTCATCCGATAGCAGCTGATGAAATAGCTTTGTTATGGAATTATGAAAACGTTTTAGATCTTCTCTGGGAGTTCGATGATGTTGTTCTCGCCTATCTTGCTGGTCATTGCCATGAAGGTGGTTATTATTATGATGAAAAACGAATTCATCATATAACACTGCAAGCAATTGTTGAATGCGAACCGGATATCAATGCATTCGCCACTGTTCATGTTTACAACCAACATTTAGTGATTGAAGGAATTGGCCGTATCAATACTTATCGAATTGAGTTATTGAAAAACTAACAATCAAATGAAATATGCGCATAATCAAGTAAACGGATTAGATAAACCAGAATAAATGTTAAGAATGTCTCTTCTCTCACATTTTAACTACGATCACTATTTACTTGCTGTCATAATATGACCAATTGCAATGCAAATTTGAGTCAGAAAGCCGATTAACCCATAGATATTTGCGATTAAACCTGTCCAATAGACAAACGGATGACACAAGGCTAAAGAAGAAGGACGTTTTAATTCTGCACGAATATTCAATGCTAGTTTTATCCACCAAACCTAATTTCACGTAGAAAAAAAAGCGATTTCTATCGTCGAATCGAACTTACAGTTCCAATAATCCACCAAACGAATATCACACTCGCAAAAGTCCATGATAGAACTAGTCCGATTGAATAACGAACGTTTACCTTCAATGAAAACGAACGAACGTAACGTATAGCTAAAAGAAATATTGACACAACGAAATGGTTTCTCTTTCAATACAACAAATTACAAGCAAGAAATGTTGTCCCAATAAGAGTATAAATAGAAAGATTAATCAATATTAGAAGGCCAAATGAGATTAAGAATATCGGTAGATCGGGCTTGGCGAGACATGAATCTTTATAAATCAATCCAATAAGAATAAATACGCTCGGCAGAATGATCAGACAAATCAAAACAGATAGAGATAACTTTTTCAGAGTATGAAACCACACATGTTTGTCTTCGGGGACTGAGTCTTCATTGAAATTCATCATTGTTTGAAGATCACTTGAATTTGTGCCATTATTTTTCATAGTAAAACTATCAGGTATGTACACGACAATGAAATGAAAACAAAAAATTGAAACTTTTCGACATAAATTTACAATGAATGATAGGCGCGTCATAGCACTTAAATTTTCAAGAGAGACAAAAAAACTCCGGCATTGACGATGAGAGTATCTCAATGTATGTATGTTTAAATATCCATCTACATTCATTTTTTTGTGTTCTTCTTTTCATCAAATTGGCTTCCTCTTGTCTTGTCGAGTAAAAGGAGATCGATGATCAACAACATTCCTCTAATTGTTGACCAATGGTCAGCAGTTAAATAAAAGACAGATCATATTTGTTCATTTCATTGTCGAATTCTCTCGTCACACTAGAGCAATGTCTATTATTTGACCCTAAAGTGACAGATGAATGAGAAAGGACAACAGTACTAATATCTTCTTGTCATCATCATCATCAACTGAACAAAATATTGAACATCAATTAAAAAGTCGTAACATATGCATTGTAAAAATGCGACATGCGAAATTCACTGAATTGTTTTCATATGAAATATAATTGTTGTACTCATTCACATCCATGTCAAAGAGCTAATTAAAACTCGATATTTTTGACAGATTTATCATTGTTTTATAATTCATACAAGATGATTGAAACGATATCTTTTCTCATCATCCGGCTTTTGTCTCATATAATCGAATGTATGCATCGATGATATGTCGACATATTAAATAGATAACGAAAACCATACCTGTCGTATTTCTCTTTTTTGCTTGTCGATTCGTTCAAAATGAGAAGGCGTAGAAGGAAAAAATGAATGTCGAGTCAAAAAGAAAAGCGCATCTATACATCCGGTAATAACTATCTTTCATCGTCATCGTCCATCGAATCTGTTTCTCCTCCTCATCGTTTTTTTTTGCTGTTCACTGATGTGTGAGAGGGAGGTATTCATTGGTATAAAATACGAGATCGGCAAAGACATAATTGAAGCTGCATGTTAAAAGAGTTTTAAGCCGCATTAATAGTTAAACAACTCTTTTTCTTGCAAATCGATCATTTCTTCACTCTTTCTACTGTTGTGCGTCTACATATTTCGATAGACACACTTTCTTCTGACGAAATTCTTGAATCGTCTGTCACATCATATATCCTTTGCTTGTTAGTCGAGTGAATTTTATCCAAAGGAAGAAAGTGAATTCGTGTATACACACTAGCAGATTTCTTTTTTTCCTCTGTATTTTAAATAGTCATCACCAATTCAAGTGAAAATCAGTACCGCCGTATATCAAGCAACATGCATAAGAGCAAAGTGGTAAGTAATTTGATTGATTTTTCTTTTCGTCTTCGTGCGTTTTTTCCCTGTATTTATGAGCAAATTGTCTCTCCTCAATTGTTCACTTGTCCGTAAATAAATGTTGTCATGTCCATGTCTCAAACGAAGACAAACTTGTTCAGACTTGTAACTACTAGTTGTCTTTGACCCTTGTCTCTCGAGGAGAAGAAAGAAAAACTATTCTTTCATTTGTTCGATTTGCTTGTGAACAATAAATGAATGTAAATAGAAATACCCGTCATCATTATTAAGATCGTTAGAGATGATAATGAGAATAAAAGTAAACCTATTCCACGTAATCACAAACATCTACCGAGAAGAACGATTGCGGAATTCTTTTTGTTGTATATTTGAACAATCTATTTTCTTTCTCATACTTTGTGTCTCATATTCATACATACATTAGTACAATTTGATGAAAGATTTAACATATATAAAAGAGTACAAAAGAGAATGTTCTCTTACTTTTTTCTTCTCTGTTTCTCGAGGACGTAGAAGAAGAAGAAGGAGAAGAAGAAGAAGAAGAATAGAAGACGACGAGAGATGGTCAGTCAGACAGTGTTAGATGTGTATTATTAACGAAAAAAAAAGAAGTAAGTAGCTATCAGTATGAAATAGAAGAATTAGAAGAGAGAATTTCTTCTCGTCATACATTTTGTTTATTTGATTGATTTTTTTTTCATTTTCTTCTCTCTCTTGAACAAAAGTGAGCTTTGTTAATCGAATCTGTTTCATTTCAAGGTAAATACAAAACGTGAACGTCGTTCGTCAAATAACAAAAATCATAACAATAATAACATAGCTAAGCAACCGCCGCCAACAGAATCGAATTCCACCATCAGCGCTTTAGTTACTGGCCTAACAAGTACACTAACCAACATGACCGACGACAAACGTCCTAGTGAATCAGCATCGATTAAACCAACATCGATTGAAATTAATAATCACACCAACGGTGTCATACATGAAAATAGTAAAAAATCACCATCGAAATCTCTTAAACTCAAAATCGGTAATGAACATGAGCAAGAATCGATTTCAGCTAAAACAACCACAACAACTAATGGTCATCATCATCCTCATCCACCCGTTTCCAATGATCATATCTATGAAACACCAGTGAATACTGATATTCATCCAGTCCCAACATTCGAAATCTCCTCTGATGACCAAGGTAGTAAATTAGATGAAAATAGTCAATTATCATATTCACCACCACCTGATGAACATCATTTAAATAATGGTATTGACAGTGGTATTTCATCCGAGATTACAAGTGTTACCAATAATGGTACTGAACTCGATAAAACCAATGTGGATGATGATTTAAGCAGTGCAAGTGGAATCGCTTCATCATCAATCATATCTGCTGCACGTCAACTGGAAACGAATATTCATGAAACGAATTCTCATCAACGTGAATCGAGTCCAACAAGTGGTGTTGTCATACCCGAAGAAAAACGTGTTACTGATCGTGTTAAAGTATTCGAAGCTGCGGCGAACAACAACGATCATACAAACATGAAGAAACACAATGGCAAAAATGGCCATCAGAAGAAGCCAGCACCCATCAACAATTCTTCTCATGATCATAAACAACCTGCTAAACGTGAGTCCCAAGTATCTCCTTCATTATCCGTGTCGACAACCGAAAGTATCGATACCCAATCGAGTAACGATTCGAAAGTAACATCGACAGCAAATACATCGAAGAATAAATCTAAACGGCCATCATTAAAAAAACAGATACAAAATTTACTTAAAATTGATAAGCCCGTATCACAAGAGGAATCAGCTATTATTGAAGAACAACCAACAGTTATTAATGGAAAGAAACCGAACACAACCAATCCAACTCGCACTAAACGAGATAATGGTAAGAAGACATTAATCAATTGTTGATCTTCTTTTTTTTCTTCTTTCTACTCATTCAAATTAGACTCGACAACGACAGTAGTGAAACGTTCATCACCATCACCCAAATCTCAAAATAGTCCAACAAATGGTCATGACACATTGAAGAAACGCGCATCACCTCCATCGATCACACCTAAACGAACATCGCCAAGAGAATCACCATCGAAGAGTCAACAACATTCTCCTCCTATTCCAGCAAATGTGACAGAATTCAACATGAAACCAATAGCTGAACCACTTGAAATTCGTGTCGAACCCAATGTCTTGAAGAAAAAATCTCCTTCACCACCATCAACGAAAACGTCGAACAATGGTCTTTTAACAAGCGACACCGAACGACGACGAAGTTCGACAGGTGTATCCAAATTAATTCATACATTTCAAGGCAATCCTTCTCATGAACTCGAACAAACAGTTCTTGTTCCACGTTTACGAAGTCCTGCTCATTCAATAANTTTCGTTCCATGAGTGGGGAAGCCTTTGCTTTGAATGTCTGTCTTTGTTTTCTTCTATCGTCACCTAATCGGACGTATTTGTTAGCAAATTGAACTTGATTTGTTTTCGTTTATTTCTAGGAATAGATTGACAAAAGAAATTTATGAAGAAGGGACAAATGATTATTGAAAAAAGCCAACTATACTCTTGATTTACATATTCTTTCTTTATCCTTTCTTTTGAAATCGGAGAAAACTCTTTTCTTCTTTTGTCTTTTGTAAATAAGGATGAAATTGTTTTCTATGACAATGATAATCATCATAAAAAAAATAACAAACAATATTTAACAAACGAAAAAAAAAACAATCCATTCTTTTATCTTTTTTCCTTGTCTCGCTTTTTTTTCTCTTTTTCAATATGCTTTTTCTCTTCTTCTTTCTTTTATTTCCTTAGTAGTTTAATACAATGATTTTTTATTATCTTATCCTTGTGGCTGAATAGTTTCAATTTCTCTCTCTCTCGTCTTTTCGTGTCTATTGTTCCAATTTGGCTGCTTGCTTTCTTGTCGTTCAATTGTCTGTTATTAGTGAGGGATGCTGCCTGACTGACTGATCCTTCTATTTTCTTTCTTTTCGTATTCTAAGTTTTATCATAAATTTTGTCGACATTGACGCTGTCATCTTTCTTTCTTTCTTTCTTCTTTTACCAAATAAAATTGATGAAATTAAATAAATTTATATCGTTTGTCTCTTTCTTTCTGTTTGTTCTCCATTGGACACATCGAATTACTTTCATAAATCATTCGATCAAAAAACGATTGTCATTTATCGATTGCATAATCCAAGTTCGACCTGATTTTTCATTGGTAATTATGCATGAAAAACGTCGATGTTCTCAAGCATTGTCTAGACAACATTTCTCATACATGTCCTACTCGCTTCGGTGCAAAACGAGAGATACTTTTACATTGCAGAACTGTTGACATTCAATTTCACAGTTTAAATTAAATCGTGGTGACCATTGTTGAACTCGATCGTTGGAGAAATGTAAGCTTATAGTGAAAGGTATCTGTGTAGCGATGAGTGAAAGACGATAGAAAATTAAAAATTCATCTATGACGGGAAATATGGCTCATGTTTTCTCTGACACTGGATTGAAAGAGGTGGTAATGGATATTCTCTTGATTTTATTCTATCGAATTCGAGAAAAACGATCTATATGTCGTTTTAATCAAAGTTTGGTGTGTTTTTATCGTCCAGATAGACTAATATTTCTTATGCCTACCAAAATTCATCTCCTAATATCGAATAATCTCCTTAGTGGTCGATAATGACAAACAGTCCGAAAGCGATCGAGAAATAATTCCCAATCGTTTCGTTTATAACAATCTCTAGTAATTGAATCTACAAAGAAGTTCTTCACCGAAAGACAAAATTAAGTTTACATAAAACCACGAAGTTGTTGATCCGCATTTCTTCGTACCGAGGGATAATCGAACGCAGATCTAGATGTTTCATAGGTTCATATAACGATTCTATGTCTTTATTGCTAACCATCTAATTCAAATGATGTTCAAAAATATATGGAATGAAACTGATTGTTTACATCTTCGATTTGTGGTGAAAGATTCTATGATTGTTTACGTCCTATAAGAGAGACCACATTATTCGATTTTAAACGGGTCAGTTACAAAACGGAATAAATCCTCTTGATGTTTTGGCTATATCCTCAACAATACAAAAGTATCTTTTTTCGTTACGCTATTTCGATAACAAATTCTTAGATATTTATACGAGAGGTTATTACCGCATATGACGGCAAAGTATCATTCCTATGTTCTTGTGTTTAATCTACAATATCAATATGATGCTTTTTTCGCTACTAGAGATTTTTCAATGTGATATGTAAATAGTTTTCTCGCTGTGAGAGCATGTAATGTATTTTCCGAAACATCTCGGATTATTTGTAAATGACAAGCTGTTAATTTTGTGCTGAGGTTATCTGCAAGATTTTCACCATATTCTTAAGATTGTCACTGTACTTTCAAAAATTCGAGCTTTCGCCTCGTCGGTCTGCATACAATCTCAACAATCGATGAAAGCGTTTTTTATCGAAAACAGTAATTCATTTTTCATCTTATTTATTTAGAACAAATATTTCACAAAACATCAAAGTTTAGAAAAGAAAAACAAAATGTATGAATGAAGTCTTTTTCGTGCCTTATTGTATATGGCGATCGATACTTAGAACCCATCTACAATATAACAAAATAAATATATACATATCATCATCATTGTACAACTTACATCGATGTTCAGTATTGAGTTCTCCTCTTGCGTATTCAGGAGTATCAACTAATCCATCGCGATTTGTATCGTACATTGCAAATTTATTCGGATCTATTTAAATAAACGAAAGGAAGCATAGAGATACGATCAGGAGGGAAATCTAAGATCGATAATTACTTTCAACACGAGCGAATTCGTTGAAGTTAAGAGCACCATCTCGATTTACATCAGTAAATCGAACTTCATTTGCATCAGCTATTTCAGCTGCATCAAGATAACCATCACGATTTCCATCGAAAGCAGACATGATTGTATCGTATTGAATAAAATTTGTGAGAATGTCTTATCTCAAGTCGATGATGAGTATTTATACGGATATGAAGAGATCTCCCACATCTGTGGGTTGTGCTAACAATGAATAACTCGAACGAGTGTATAATTACTCACAATTGTCTCTCCAATGATACGTAATACGCTCCCGTAGACAAAAATAGGTAATCTTAGTTACAGATGATTGCATGTGATGTCATACAAACGAGTGCAATGTTACTAATCGTGTAAGTTATCATTTGATTCAAGTATTCGAATATTACAAAGCAAAATCGTTTTGAAAAATAACGGCAAATTAATGAGAAAATTTCATGACTATCTGAAAGCATTATCTCTAATATGTATTTGACTTCCGTTGTAATTTATTAAAGGAAATATCTTCGTCTCTATTCATTGTCTTTTTCTCATTGACATTGATTATCCATGAACTGAAATTGATCTTCGGAAAACTCACATTCTCTTTCTAGTTCATCACTAATGTTCTTGATGGCCTGTCAACAGTCGAAGCGGAACTATTAATCTTACGAGTACATCTCTCCGGATGATCTTTATTGCATAACATTAATATTATTAAGAGAAGTCTTGATCAATTTTCATACGTAATCAAGTCAACAGTGATTTTTATCGAGCAAAGCTTCAATGTCGCGCTCTTCAAATATGAATATGCGTTTTTTTTTCTCTCCATGATGTACCGCCCTCTTTTTTTTTTTACAAAAGCTCAAAAACCTTCAATCAAACGCGTATGTTTTTTTTCTTTCTTCCTCATAATGACGGTTTTTATTAGATAAGACTAGGAACACAATTTTCTGTCACGATTTTTATGTATAAATAAGCATCGATCGAGTTCGTCAAACGGCGGATATGATCTTAAGTTTTAATGTTTGGTTTAAACGGTATTCGTTGCTTGTATGGGTCATATTCATATGTTCGTTAACGTTGTATGTCAAATCAAAACTGAATGCAAACGATAAAAGTTCAGTTGAAGGTTAAGAAAACTTTTTTATTGGACTTTCGCATGTTGTTCTTTTCTTTTATCAGGCTTTTTCTGGGTATTTTCCGATGCACATGTTGATATTCATTATCGAAATGATGGTGATCCTGTTACTCATTGTCGGAATGTGTCATTGACAAATAAGACTAGGATAATTCGCAAATTTGGACATTTTGACTGTGATGCGCCACGTGAATTACTGACATCAGCATTTACTGCAGCGATAAACATTGATTCCAAGGTAGATTTCGTCATTTGGCTCGGGTATGAACTCTTTTCTGTTTGATATTCCTAATTATGGGTCTTTAGAGATTCAACAAGCCATCGATCAGCGGGTGGAGATACGCTTATACCAGTTTTTGAGAATCTTTCCCAACAATTACGAAATTTTTTTCCCAAAACTCTAATTCTTCCAGTATTAGGTACAAGTTAATATTTATCTTGAAGGAAATAACATTCGTTTGTTCAGGCAATCATGACATTGTATTAACAGCGAATCGTTCCACACGTTTCAGAGATTTTTATAACCAAACACAAATGAATTTACTCTTAACTGATACCGATGCTCGTCGAACATTTCTCAAAGGTACAATATTCAACAATAGATCTATTCATTATAAACATCTATCTAGGTGGTTACTATTCAATTCGTTTTCAAACACTAAGAAATAACAAACAAGTCATGTTGCGATTTGTTGTTTTGAACACAGGTATGTTTCAACCGTATATTCTCGACTTTTTCAACACAAAAGATGCGATAGAACAAATCGAGTAAGAACGATCTTCTTTACCTTCGAATGCTCTAAATTACCATTTCAGATGGTTCAACAGAACGATGTCCGAAGCTTTTGAACTTCATGATCGCGTATTACTTCTATCTCATTTACCTTTTGGTATCAACGAAGATTTGTTATACAAATTTTATAATCTCAGATATGAGGAACAACTTCTTACGATTATAAATCGCTATTCATCGATAATCATCATGTGCTTGAGTGGTCACCGTCACTTCGACATTCTACGTGTTTATTCATCGGGAAATATCACTATGGGTATTCTTAACCATGCAGCTATTAGTCCAGTTGGTTATCTAACCCAACCCTCGATTCGGAAATATTCTTATGATAAACAAAGATTAGTTTTAACTGATTATGAACAGTACAGTTTGAATGTTCTCGAAGCTGAGCGAACGCAAAACGATCATTGGTCGTTAACATACCGTTTCTCTTCGTGGTATTATCAACGAAAAGAAATTACCTCCGAGAGTTTATTTCATCTCGTTCAATTGATACGTAGAGAATCGTTCTACTTGAAACGATTTTTGTTAAACAAACATCATAGTGGGAAACGTCTGATTAAGAATCACGATATAATTCATTCGTTATGTGCATTAACGTTATTTAATTTCGATGAATTTATTCTGTGTTCGAGAATCTTGAAGAATAGAAATTATTCCTACGATAATCTCATTGGAAATCATTCGTTAGATATTAATGTTCATGAAAATGAACAATGGAGAGAATATCGAATGGTTTATCTTCGTGTTCTACTTGGTGTGTTTATATTCCTATTGAGTATATTAATAATTTGCTATCGAATATCTGTGAAGTGTGCTTCTCAAGGAAAAGAATAAATAATTGAAAACTCTTTCTTGGTTTTGTTATGTTAAATAAAATGAAAATGTTTTCCAATCGATTTTGTCTCTTGTGTGGATTATTTGTTTGAGAGAAGAATTTGGTTTCTTATTGCTCCTCATCGTCTTTTTAGGCTATCTCGTTTTTCAATTATTGTCATCTTTAATGAAGCAATAAGAGTGTTGTTGTCATGTAAGCGATTTGTTCTTCATTTGAGTGCACACATCAGTTATTTTCGGTCGTCTCGTTTTAATTCGAAGAGAGATAAAACCGAATTCTTCCAAGTTCAACAAACAATTCTATTCCCTTATCTGATCGTATGTTATGTTGTTTGTGTGCGAAGTGGAAACGATTCTGGATGAGAACAGGACAGAATGGAATTAACAACGACGTCTCTACCATTTCTGCACAGCGAGTAAATAATTTATTCTGAGAGATAGAACAGAGATTTGAGAGCGAGAAGAGAAATAGAGAAAAGTCTCTATCTTTATGCATTAGACCATAGGACTATATCGACATTCAACAACGTTAGACTGTTCCGACACGTTCTAGTTCCTCAAACAGAAGCGCAATGGTAAGAGAGTGCATCTGAGAATCGATGTGTTCATCTTTCGATGTTTTGCTTCTTTTTTTAGACAAACGAAGCAAAGAAGTTTTGGAATGACAAAATGACCCATTTATTCTATCTTTATGGTGAATGAAAGAAACAATTCTGTCGATTAATTCTCGACTATTGTTTTTTTTTTGTAGATGCCGATCGAGACGGTTCAATTACTCCTGTTGATTTCGAGATTCTTGCTGATAAACTCTCGACACTCGTTGGTCAAGATGATACAAAACGACGTGAAGAGTATGCAACTGCAAGAAAGACTCTCTGCCAAGAAATAATGCGAGCTGATGCTAATAAAGACGGGAAAATAACGTTAGGTAAAGCACCAAAGTGCAAACTTTCTGTTTGAAAAACGTTCCTTTTCTATGTAAATAGAAGAATGGCTTGACTATCACACACATCTTGCTAATGAACTACGTAAACCGGATACAAATCCTGAAATCTTAGAGCAACTATCCGAACGTATTAATACAACGTTTAATATGATTGATCTTAATCATGATGGTTATATCGCTAAAGATGAATGGCTCAAAACCTGTCAATTCTTCGGTGTTGATCAACAAACTGCCGAGAACTCCTTTAGACAAATATCCAACGGAGATAAATTAGAAGAGGACAAAGCGAAAAGTCTCTTTATTGAATATTTAAAATCGGATGATCCAAATCATATCTCGAATTGTTGCTTATGTTTTCTCTAAATAACCTTGTCTATCAGATAAGCATAAATGTTGTATGTTGTAGATGTTCTATGTTGTCTTTTTCCGTTGTTCATCGCTAGATTTCACTGTACGGTCTTGACTGTAAATTGTACAAGCAATGACTATGGATAAATTAAGAATAAAACCGATTAATAGATTTGTCACCAGTGCCATATCTCCTGTTTGATAAAGATTTGTGATCACTCGAGCTGAAAGGAACGAATGAAAAGACAAAACCATATGTGAATGTTTCTCGTACCGAGACTTCCATAAGCAGCAATGGCCCATCCTATCCGACTGACTTGTCCGGCACTTTTATTGGAAATAATCGTTCGTAATTGAAGTATTTTTGATGAAGCACCAATAGGAATGACTAAGATCTAGAGATGAACTCGTTTTCTTCGAGAAAATCTTTCAAGATGAGTTCATACTGTCGAAAGATTCATCCATGCTGCTGGAACGAAACCCGCGAGACTTGCTAATAGATAAAAACAGAAACTATGAAGAAATAAGTCATTAATTTGATTAGGTAGATCGCGATTCGTTACATGAATATTCCACAGTAGGCTTTCGAACGATCGGTTGGCTTATCTTTAGTATTTGTTGAATATTTTGCTAAGGCATAGAGAAGAAGAATATCTAAAATAAAAAATACTTTGCAAGAATATGAGGGCATCGATTTTACCTTGCAGAAATAGAAAAATATACTCAAAAAATGCAGATAATGGATAATTTTTCCAGAGGTTGTAGGCTAACAGCAATGTGTAACTAAACATCGTAGAAATCAGATTCATTAACAGCAAAAAAGTCTTTTACGATGTTTCTCCAAGTAAAACTGATGCAATTGATATACTATTAACATTTTTTGTTCGATAAATACGAATAATCTGCGGTAATTTTTGAACCAAACACAAAATATTGACTGAAAGACTCAAGAATTGTAAAACGACCATTCTAGAACAAAACTGAACTATTATTGACAAACTGATTTCCCACAGATGGATTTGAATTGTAAAATCCTTTCCACGCGAACTTTTTCTTGCAACGATGTATTCGTATTGACAGCTAAGTTGTCAGAGCGTCAATGACTCATCCTTTTATAGGCAGATTTTAGTCATGGCTATGCACTTTGCCTCGAAAAACTATTTTCATGAACTTTAAATGTTAAAAAATTCTCTGTTTAATACAGAAGCGAATGATGTAATTTTTAATGGAAGCAAGTTTTTAGAAACATGGATTCGAGAGAGAAAACATTTAGTTTGTACAGTCATGTATAACATTCGTCCATCATGATTGTTAATTCATATATATTCATTCTAGTTTCTTTGGTAGTAATCTCTTTCATGATGCACTATTAATTAAATAGCTACATTCTCACCATAAACTTGTCGCAGAAACTCATAACAGAACGAGATAATCCTTTTTGTGAAAAAAAGTTTTAGAACTTTCTTTTTCAAGGTGTAGAGATAAAGGTGTCACTAGTAGAGAAGTGCATTTGATATTAATAGAACGAAAGAAACGACTTTTTGTCCAGCTGACAATAAACCATCTGTGTACTTCGAAGAAAGACGATGATGAATGTTGTGAACAATTGATTTCCGTCATGATAATAATCATCAAATGATTGTGTTATTAATTGAATAAAAATCTCGCAGTTGATTCGAATTGACCAAACGACGAAAGATGAGACTGATTCGATTAGATGAGCAATACACACATTCTATTAAGATTTTATCATTATTGATTAATATTAGAGCAGTTGCAGAACGAAAATTAATGACGAATTCATTGCTTCGATAATTATTAATCATCAATTCTTTCTTTGGGGAATTGAATAGAATCATTAGAATTATCTATGAGAAATCTTTTCTTTACATTTATTCTCTGATGTTTTGCTAACTGAAACAGATAAACTAGATTTACACGATACTCATCAAACCAAAATTTTGAATCTGATTGTGCTGAACACGAGAGAATCTATCCTTGATCACTTTTTCAGCAAGAACTTTGACTTTTCGGTTCGGAATTTGTAGATGTCGCTAACTCTTAGAGAGGCTATTTTAAGGCCCATTGAATATTTATAAAGAATAAGCCAACTCTGAACATTTGCGTTGAATTCACAAGTCTTGATTATCGTTTTTCAACCGCGATAACTAAGAAATCAGTCGGAGTATCAAAATAACGTTATATTTATACGTGTTCTTCGAAGAGTATATTCATATTTCGGAAGTGTTCTAAGACGCTTCATCGCGAATTTTGCAATCTTCCAAGAAACAACTTTGCTATGTCTGTGATATTATGTTGCATAACTGTTTTGTGACTGGATTTCATGGCAATGTTCTCACTAACAGTTCATTTCAATTGTACTTATAATCAATTAATCGAACGTTAGTTTTCTACTTCACAGTGTACAACAAGATACCATCTTTTGATGAATGTGTATCTCGGTCATATCCTTTCTTTTAGTGAGAAATCATACAAGTTCATTTCTAATGACAGTGTTTCTGAATATTACACTTGTGAGCATAGAGGATATTTTGCGAATATGTGAGATCCGTAAATAACCGGGAAATTTTTTAACTGTCAAAACCATGGATAGACCAGAAATTTAATTCTTCATGACATCTCAGATTGAACAAATTTGCAATTTCACCAAACAGCATTTCAGAAATTATCATCTCGTCTGTTACCGATATTACGATGTCGTAAAAACCAAAGAGTCTCGTCACCGCTTTGCTATTATTGTATATCCCTGCGTATAGACTATAGCGTCTGACAATTAGGTAGTGACCAGATAGTATGATTAATAATATATGAAAGCGCGTCATTGGGAAACTATTTTTCAAGGATGTGTGTAACGCGATACGCAAATTGAATTGTTGCCTCTCTCATTCACTTTTAAAGGACATATTAGACAATGCTAATGTCGATAATGAAACGCTCTACTTATTCATTTTTTTTGTGATATTTTAATTATTATTCAAATAATTTTTTCAATATTTGAAATAATGCCTGAAGTGAATTCATGTAGATAGACACAATTCAAATACTAACATTTTGTAGATCTCAGATAGTTCCACTTTCGGAAAAAATCCTATGTGCGTTTTATACGTGTCAAGCGAAGAAATTTGCGTGTTGTCGTATCATTAATTTAAATAGACTTTTGTGCAGTGACGTGTTCTCGGCTTGTATATCTGTATACGAAGAAAATTTGTCAATTTGAGTTGAGTACATTGAATACCATCTAACTTTACATTGGTCTCAGTGAGATTTGATCCATTCCATGGACAAACTGTTTCCTTTTCTTTACTAAATAGGAAAATCTTTCCGTTGTCAAACACTCAGTTAACAACGCACCAAATTATCATAGTGAAGGTGTTTCTTTTTACTAAAAGCTTTTCAAAGTATTTTTAATTGATAAAAACTCAAAAAATACTTCAAGTTAATGGATCGACAGGAGTATATAGTCAGCAGATAAAAGAGAAACTCTCAATAAGATTTTTGCACATGACCAACCTTGATGATGAGCGTCACAACTGTCACCGACGAAGAGATAAAATTACATAGGTTTGGCAAAAAGAAGAAGATAAACCTGCTGATTATCAAATCAGTCAGGCAGATACATTGAGATGGGTTTTCTTTCTAACTCTATATCGGCATCTTCGCCGATTTCCGCCTCTTCCGTTCAACGTGCTATCTTAATCTGTCAGTTTGCCATATTTTCTCTCGTTTTTCTTTCTCCTGTTTTCTAGATTCGCTCATATAATTGTCCTTTCGATTGCGACGCTTACAGTCTAGAAGAAAATCGAGCCGCACAATAAACAAACCGATTCTTTCACTTCTACTTAATCATGATTTCCATTACAAATTTAATCAAATTTCTCTTCGTTTTTACATGTAAAATTCATCTCTCGTTAACTCGAACTAATTTCTTCTCTTTAGTTCTCATTTGCTGTCAAATTCAATTGACATCAGGTAGTGCAAACACCCAAGATATCAATGATATGGACTTCAATGATCATCTCTACGAAACATTACCTGCTGAACGTCGGCTATTCCATGAAAATTTTCGTCGTGCATCGTTACGTTATCAACCGCATGTTTTATACAAAAAAGCCAGCCTTCGACCCATCATTGGCCAGAATGGTAAACTTACATTTGTCAAACGAGATCAATTTTAACGAACAGTCGATATTCACATTGATATCTGATTTTTTTTAATTGAAAAAAAAGTCGCTTCTGTTGGAAATGGTTCAAATATTGAAATAAAATTATTCCTAAAGTCTTTTTTCTGTCTCTGATGTTTTCAATCAGTTAATCTGACGATCAGGAAATAAACATATCACAAGAAAAGAAAGATGCTTTCATCGATAATCTTATCTAAACTAAACATCGAAAGTGTTCAGAGCTCAGCGGAAACAAAAAGAGTTTTTCCAATCGATGTCGCGAAGATGAAAATGCGATTAAACCAATTCGATATATCTGCTTTGCAATAAGTAGGATATCGGTGAGAAAATATCGAATATTCATTAAACTGATCTGTTTTTACACAAGGATTTAATATAAGTCGTGCGCTTTCACATCACACAAAGTTGACAGATAGCTGAAACTAATTAATAATCTGCTTGCGAAAGAGCTGCTTTTCCTTGGTAGATTTCACTCGCTGATGTAATCAATTGAGTTCATCGAGGCTAGAAGAAAATTATTGTTACAAACAGTGCGCATTCTAGCCGAAATTATCACTTTGATTTAAATTGTTGAGAAGAACGAATGAAATCATCCGTTTCCCTATTATTCGATGTACTTTGACATCTTTCGAGAGAAAAACCATCGTTTTGGTATGTAATTATCGATTTTTCTCTAAAACTAAGATGATTCGGTTAATGCTTTTTTATTCATAATAATTACGTACCGATAAATATTGATAATCCTGTGTGAAAACGTCTGTTAGTCGAACGTTGAATGAAGAATCTATTTCTATATAAACACAGATAATTTGAGTAAATATATCTGTTCGTGTGCGTGACCGTAGAATAGTTAGATAGGCGTATTTATAGAGTATATGTGGCACTAGCCTATCCCAAATGAACCTTTTTCTTCGAACATGTTTATAGTACGTGTCATTGGGTGAACATGTAGATTGAAAACGACGTTATTCTACATATCAGACGATTAACTTCGGATAAATTATTGATATATGAATATGTTCATCGATCAATTATTGTGGAGAGAGAGTTTGTTTTGATCGATTGATTTCATAATTACAAAAGAAACGATCATGTGAGTTTTCACAATTTAAAATCTTGTTTTTTTTTATGTGATGTTTTCCGTCTTGAAGTACTTCAACCTGAAACATCTGATCCTCTTTGAAACAGTTCGTCCGATTACTCATCGACACCGATTTGCATCACATAATCGTTCTTATTTCTTCTCTGAAAATAAGAATATTAGCGATCTTCCTGTCACATTTTACTAATCTAATATACTTCTGGTAGGACACTTCTAACGTGACATTAAATTGAATCTTTACCAGAGATATATATTTTTGTCCGACATCCATCAGTTTTCTCGCTATGATTCTCATTAAAAACATCAATAACCGAATATGAGTGACAATATGCTTTTAAAAAAGCTCTTGTCGTTCACGAGTTCCGGCTATAATAGCTAATACGAACGTTCTTGAAGTACTTGCGGCATTGCCATCGCTTTCTTCCTTTATCATGTCTATTAACAATCTCTAATTGAAATACTTTGTAGTCAAAATTAACCTAAAATCCTTCTTGTATTTGAAAAGCTGATTTCGACAAATCATTGTCAACAGTTATGCTAATGATCTGCCAATCAAGTGTCAACGAAGACATTCCGATAAATCAAGCGTTTGTTTGTCAACATTCGACTTCGTTTTGTGAAATTTAAGAGCAAAGATGTGCGTGAGAAGTTGGTATTAGTTCGGAATAATTGAATGCTTACATTCTTCAGGTATATTAGAGAAAAGTTTCTTTGATTGTACGTGATCTCGTGAGAAGAAACAAAAAATGTTTTCATTGAGCAAAGAATGTCTCGAGGGATATTGAAAAGCATCCATTTAGCATTAACTCATGGCATATTACAAAAGGAAAACATCGGGAATGTAGATTGGGCTCTTTCTTTTTGCTTGTTGTTGCATGATTTCAAAGACGAGACAGCGAGCATCATGAAGCACTTTTCTTCCCACTACGAGTCTTCGATAAATAGGTAATCAAAGACAAAGAAACATTTGTCTAAGACTCGAACTGTATTTACAGTTGTGCAACTATATAATTTGTCTCCTGAAGACCAGTTCTGTGTAATAATGAGACAACTATGACGTCAAAGTGTGGTAATTTACCCGTATATCTATAATTTCTTGTACTAAGTACTAGTGGGAATGGATAGTTGAGAGTAGTTGAAGAGAATGTCGTGTGCATTCCATCAGAGACGACGTCGAATTTCTTAGTTCGACCTTCAAAATTATGAAAGAAGACACTAGTCGCATCATAATTGCTCGTCAAGTACAAAGGACTGATAGCTGACTTCTCACAAGCTCTTTTTTTTGTTATATTAGATTTGACGATCTACAATTATCGTTGACGTACTTTTCCTCGGTGATTCTTCACTCTTTGATACAGAAGTAATGTTCATTAGTGTTGTCGAGAGATTTCCTTTATACTATTGTTGTTGCATCTCGTATGGTCGAGTGTAATGGTTTTACATTATTATGATCTTGATTTTTGGTCTCTGGGGGTTAGAAAGTATATTATCTATACTGCGTTTGATCGTTCAGGTAGGAAGATATTAATGCGGAAGTAAAGCTTCTTTCCCATACTGACATGTAATCGAAGACACGTAGAAGTGAATATTGTTGGTGTAATCAACACAGTGTGTGTTCAAATGTCATGATCTATGAGTAATCTTCGTAAATACGGGAGCATTTTGAATTTCCTGTCCGAAGGAGCTCCCTATCGTCTAATTTCTGACATATTTGTTTGGTTGTAAATATACTCATGAAGATTGATATGCTTTTTTTACATTTCTATTCTTTGCGTCCGCTTTTGTTTCGTTGTTTCGAATGGAAAAATTCATGTGTGAACTAATGATGATTGAATAGATCGGCATTGAATAGATAATCAAAAACAGATAAAATATAATCAAGCGAGAGAAAAACCGAGAATTCCAAAGAAAATAAACAGTTTCACATAGTCTATTTATACGCGCACACAAACATTAATATTGACATCATTTTGGAGGCGTTAGTTGTCCCTTTAGATATGAAATATGAAGCCATGCCGAGATATATTCACTTGCCAATATGATTCTTGCCTTTGCATCTTCCTCTTCTCTCCTGACGTCCTTTCGACAGTTTGTTGACATGTAGTGAGTTAACCATTGACAGATGGAACACCGGATGTTAATAGAAGTACGGTAAAAGTGTTTCTCGCTTGTTCGTCTTCTTCTGATTCTAAGTAAATACACATTGACAAGCCATTTTTCATCGTCAATCCTTTTCCAGTTAAAACTGAACAGATTCTCTTCGCCGCGATATTTTGATAGAAGTTGACAATTCCTTCGTAAATCCTTGTTCTTACTATCTTCTCACATTGTTAAATTAATTGACGAGGAGTCTCCTGGATATGGATTCCTTTGTGCATCAATGACGGTCTAACTAGTCCTTGAAAAGTAAAAAAACTACAAGTTCTTTTATGTCAAACTTCTTTAGAAATATGAATCCTTAAATGAGTCTATTCGCTCTCACTTTTACAAGAGAACGTCATAAGATCGGCGGATAATTAAATAGATTTCATATTGTTGTCATTTTTCCTCTTTCCATTCCTAGAAAAGAATCAAAGAGAAAGAGAGAGAGAGAGACCGAGCACGAATCAGGTTTTACATCCACTCACAAAGATTGACGAGATTCAAGATAAAAGAATCATTCATTTGTTCACGACAATATTTTCTAGAGTGACCGAACTTGTCATGAACTGATATATCTAATCTCAATTCTTTCGTGTCTTTATTTATTGTCATCGTTTTCCTGTTTTCTCTCGGTTGTCTCTCTAGGTGACTTGACTTGACTCTTTCCATTTTTTTCTCATTAATAGAGATGCATGTCGTCCATCGTCAGTCGTGAGAAATTTTCAAGCAGAACTTTTTCTAGTCTTCCATTCGAGAAAAACACGAACAGCTTATCTTACATATACCCTCAATTAACTACAAAGTCGGTTTTTTTGCATCATTTATTTTTCCTGAGAGTTGGATTACTGTTTTCATGTAATTTGTCATCAATGAACGATCGTAAGAAATGATCCGATCTAATTATTTATTGCTTAGGATAAAACTTCTTAGCTTTCGACTTTCAACTCTATAAATCTTTTATGCTCCTTCATTATCACTCAGAATTAAACATCAAAGCATGTCTTGTCAACAAAGACGATGGTTAACGTTCGAAGTTCTTTCCAATCCAATGGTAAATTTTGTTGTGCTTTTTCTTCTAGATTAAACAAACACATTCATTATGACAATATGAATGAACCGATGGACCATATGACTAACATTACTAATCATACTTGGACAGACTGGGATAATGGTCCAACGTTACACACGCGTTTTATCTTTGTTGGTGCATGGATTCTTATTGCTGTTGCAGGAATCATCGGTAAACAAAGCATGATATTTTAGATTTATTCTGCTAAGAATAATGTTGTTTTTCTTTTCATGATTAGGCAATAGTCTTGTTATTTTCGTTGCTATTCGATTTGAAAAACTAAGCAATGTTACAAATTGTTTCATTGTAAATCGTAAGTTCCGACTTGTTTTCATATCAAAAGAATAAATACAGCTACTAATTGAATTTCAGTTGCTATTACCGACATTGTTTTCTTAGCATTTTGTATGCCATTGTTAGTTGTACAATACACACTTGATCGTTGGTAAATCAAATTATATTTACAGAAATCCTTTCATGAAGTTCTTTGACTACTTTTAGGTACTTCAATCAAACATTCTGCAAATTACTCAACTTTATTTCATTTGTCAGTGTCCTTGTCACGGTTCTAACATTAGTTGTTATGACAATCGATCGGTACATCTATGTCGCACATCCATTTGAAAACATTCGTTGGAGAAAACCAAAGACAGTCTTTCTAATCAGTTGTTTTATTTGGATACGTTAGTACCTTCTTTTCAATAATGACAAAGTTTCTCATCGATTTCTATACACTTTAGTTTCCTGCGCATTTGCATCACCATTTTATTATCACTATGGTGTTACTGATGACGATTATCGACAATGTGTGTTGTTAACCGATGAAAATCTTCAAAAACATTTTCCGATTTATACGGTGACGCTGTATTACTTTATTCCGTTGATCATCATTTTGATATGTTATGCAAGATTATTGTATTTCGTCTATTCCAAAGAGAATAAATCTACGGCAAAAACCGTATGTTGATATGAAGATTCTTCAATAGAATTTTTGTTGTTCTTTCTTGTCTGTAGACATCAAATGTTGTTAAATGGTCGAAAAAGCGTCGTACAGTGACAAAAATGGTCGCAATTGTCACACTTGTCTTCTCTCTGTGCTGGTTGCCGATTACTTTGTGTATTATATCAGCTTATGTCTTCGAGCACAAAACAGCTTTTTTGTATTATTTCAAAATCATTGCCAATTCATTCGCTTATTTGAATTCAGCGGTTAATCCAATTATTTACGCGTTTTTGAATCGAAGTTTTCGAAATAACTGTGGAAGTATTCTGAAAAAACCGCCAATTTCTTTCTGTTCTCGAAGAAGTTATCAACATCCACACGACACGAATCGACATCAATTAGACAACTATTTCTCCAATGAAGTTAAGAACATCGTGATCGTAAATCAGATTCAGCCGGCAAAACCCGATGATCTAGACGACGAGTTTTCTGAAGGTGAAAACGAGTTAGCTGCCAAGAACGATAGTCTTATTCAAATACAAACAGCGATAAAACAATACGAGCTAATGCCAAATGGAGTCACGCCTGTGGGCAACCGATCGGTTGGAACTGATCTTTAAAAGAATGTTTTCTTTCTCATACGCTTTATTTTGTTTATAAAATATTCCGAAGAGCTTTAACATATGTCCGTAGTATAACTAACTGGCTTCGGATTCAGATTATAAAATGGATTATGTTCATTGAATGAGAGAAAGGAGATTCATCTCTCAACAGGATTAAGAGATATACTCGAAATCTTATCTACTCATCATTGTTATTTAAGACGCCGAAACCTGGTGGGTGACATAGAATGGAATACAAGAGGTTCCTATTAATCTTATGTTATTTTAAAAACCTGCAAACGAGATATCCTAGTTTTTCGGAACTAATTCTTATAATAGAATATTAATCATTTCATGTATTACAAATAATCTGTAGCCAATATTGTCTAGATGTTCAATAGAGCCTCACTATTTCAAATACTCCAAATAAAAACCGCTGAAGCCTAATATTGCACGTCCTTTATTTCCAAAATTAAAAGTACGCAGATCATTTCAATTAGGGAGGAAACAATTACGAAAGAATTTCGATATCGATTCAGCATTCGAGTAAACGCTCAACCGTAAAGTAATATTTGTCAATTGATGGTATACCTACCAGATTAGAAAATCATGTTCGACGAAATTAATGTAAGCATATGTTTTAAGGACATTTTCTTGTCACTTGTAGATAAATAATCAACCTACAATTGAATGGCATTCGCTTTGAAGAGAAAATACGAGAAAACAATGTGTTTCTACTCAAGACATCATATCCGGTAAACGGTTGACAAGCGGTTTGTTTTTGGTAGAAATGTTTTTCTATTTGTTTAATCGAGTCTTGTCATAGGTGGATAGCCAGAGGCAAAAAATTATAAAATGCTTTTTGAACAATGTAAATTGGCGAAGTAGTCAAAATTGAACATGCTATTCAAATGATATCGTCTCAGAATGTATGAGAAATATTTTGTTGGCACCGAGCACGGATTCTGTTTTGCAGCCGTTTATAATCATAGAAACTATACAAATGTAATTGAGTTGATCACATATGTATAGGTTTCGATCTTGTTTTTTTGTGGTAATCAAACAAATAAGGGTTTGATCACGTCTGTCGTTTTTTTAATTTCGATTTGCATAGTCTACATTCAGTCGGATAGTAGCATAAAAATAATCATAAAACACAACTTGAATCTGCCAAGAAATGCGCAAGAGATGTTTCTGTATCAACATACAAAAACAGGTCTAGCTGGCAAACAACGTGCGTCAATGCTTGAAAGTGAACTTCAGTTACTCGTATGTCTAATAATTGTTTCTTAGTGAAGATCATTATGAGTGATTTGTTTGTTCGTAGTCTGAGGTAGGAAAATGTCATCGACGTGGCCATAAACTTCCTCCGTCGGATTTTGTATACGGCTTGAGGAACATTCAACATGATCGCGGAGTTGCTGAAGGTTCGATTTGAACTCGAATATACTTTTTTAAATCATTCTTTTCATTGATTTTAGCACTGTGTCAAAGTTTTACGGAGCAATCGAGAAATTCTCCGGAATTTATCTTAGTACGCGATTATTTAGCATTGAATCGTGCAGCTCTGGAAGCTGGAGCGACCACTGCCAGAAATCAATCACGTTTTCGGTAACCTCTTTCCAAGAAAAAACCCTCAGAAATGCTTTACTCTTAGAATGATTCATGATATTCACAAAAAAGTTTCCCTTCGTTGTTCTCCACGAGTTAGAAACACGCGCACATTTTCCAATGATACAGTCTTTGGCTTACCTTACAAGTAAATCTAATCATTCGATTTGCATCCCTCTATTGATTATCTTAGACCCTCAACACCGATGGCACAAATCTTACAAAATCAGTTTGCTAATCAATGGTTAGAGACGATTCAAAATCAGCAAATGAATCTGAAAAAGCAACAAATTGATACGGTAGTTTCATTCCTGGCACATCTTCTCACGTTATCATTTCTCAATAGACTGCGCCGTCCAATCGGTACCACACGAAAACGTCTCTCCTTCGTCAAGTGAAAGTTCCCGTTCCACTCAAACCTTTTCCAAAAGTTCGGCAATCGATTGATGTAAACATATTTTTTGATGAATCAATCTCTTTTGCTAATATTTCACTGTAGATTGAACAATGTATTGAGTCACTCCGATCGGCACCGGTTTCTTGTTCGAATGTGAAAGTCTGATGTTGATTTTCACGCTTTTGTTTATTTTAAAAAAAGAGAAGAAAGGAAGAGAAAGAAAACGAACAGTTTGTATATCCAAAAATCGACAAGAATAAGAAGACGAAAAACTACTTACAATAAACAAATTACTTTTCTTTACGACAAAAGAACACGCTCAATAGATTTTCTGGAAGTTTTCTCTTTTAAACTTGACTAAAAAAATACAAGCATTAGAAGCTTAGAGAACGATTCGACCGACTAGACAACAACAGAGAAACGCACAAAGACATGGGAAAAGTGAATTTTTAAGAGTAGAGACGACGTAAATGAATTTGTTTTTCAATGTAAGCATTGTGCAAACCGGTTACAAAATCTTCATCATTCTATGCAAAGAAAATATTGAAAAATTGCGCTTTCACGAACGAAACTCGTTTACTTGGAGAATATCGACTAATAATTGTCGAAGATTATCTTTTGAAAATTGATTCACCGAAGGAGATTGAGGTTGTTGATAGCAATGAGAAGATAATAAGTCGTTTGATCCTAGAACAATCGGAACTAAAGAAAAACGTCTAGAATTTCTCAAGAGAAATAAATAGTTTACCGGGTGACGGAGTCGTCTGTAATGCTTGGAATTCAGCTGGTGTCATCAATCGTCCTGTGGATATTGTATCAACCTATAAATCAACCAATAGAAACCGATATTCTCACTTAGAAAGCAAATATTACATTATTGAAAGGATTCGGTTGAGAATTATTGGAATGTGTACTTCCTGTTATCGGTTGTAATGGAGTTAAAACTTGATTCTAAAAAAACAACGACAACCTAGTTAGTAGATTCAAAAGAAATCCGTGATGATACTTTTGGCATAGTGCATAAGAGCTTATCGTTATTTGCTTCTTGCGATACTGAAGGTTGTAACAATTGTTTTTCAAGTTCTGTTACACTTAATGCTGATTTAACCGATATTCCGAGTGTTTTCTTCAATTCTTCACCACGATCTTCACTACTTTGGGTGATTATCGTTGTCTCTTGTGTTGAAAATAATCTTAAAAGAGCCGCAGGCATTGCTGTTGCTATATCACTGTTGTTTATCTCCTGTCTTGGTTTCTAAATACATTTGAATGGTAACAAACGAAAATTTTACGTTTTATTCATTTACAGAGTCTTGAAATTTATGTTTAGCATTATGCAACAAAGAAAGAATATCCTGTTGCTTTTGGAATGGTAACGAATGTTGATTTTCTTCAACTTTCGATTGTTCATATTCCTTGGCTTTTTGTGTTAAGCTATAATTGACAAAAAATGAATAAATGAAACGACGAATGATATCACTTTACCATATTAGACATTCAGTCACACGTGGACAATCATTTTTCGAAATAAACCATATTCCATAGATATCTGAAGGTGGAAAATTCGAATTTGAATTCGATTTAGTTATCGAATTACCTCCAACATCAACTTTGTATTGTAGAAATGCTTCATAATTGGGTGAATGTTTGAATTCCATCGATGGTTTAATAATTTGCACAAATGTTTCTCGAGAAACAGTACTCAAGATAACAAAGCCATGATATGGTTCACAAATTCTACAAGAAAAAGAAACATTTTCAACCGGATAGATCCTTCAATTTGCTTTACCTTTCATAAACGAACAAAGTTCCTTCGAGCTCTCTTCGTTCCTAAACACAAACAACACAAATCATCTTAAATAATCGAATATCTCGTTTACCCATTCACGTTTCTCAGCCATAAACTGATAAACACAAACACGCTGAGCTTGATCGACGATTTTCGAGATGTATGGATCACGATTTTGTAATGCTTGGAGATTGATTCGATTCAATTGATCTTCTTCATTGTTATCAGCTGCAGAATTCATCATTGATGCACGATTCGTATTTGTCAACGATGAAATACTTGTTGTCATTTCAATGAATACCAAACTTGCGTATAGATGAGTAAGAACGTCGTGTGAAGTTATTTTTCAGTCAGAATAGAACATCAACTAATGGTAAATTATTGTTAACCAAACATGGGTAAAATATGGATAGGGTACGGCATAGCGTTGTTTATCTCAGTCATCTTACTAAAGATTTCATGTGCTTGGAAAAATACATATTATACGTTTTTTAGATTTTAATCGTATTCCACAACCATGTCGGAAAATAAAGCAAGTGAAAGTTCAAATCGGATTCGTCGTGAACTATCATCGCAATCTGCACCATCTTCTTCACAGAAACCTGCAGATGCTATACCTGCAAGAACGCTTTTCTTAGATTTCTATCACATTATTCGTGATCTGATCTTATTTTTCTGTCGTCGAGTTATATTTGGACCACCGATATTCAAACTTTTTGTTTCATTTACGATTATTGTCATTGGTTCATTGTTAAGATCCTTCGATTTAGCACCAAATTCTTATTTCTCATTGAAAACCAACTTCTTCAATCGATATTTCGCTAAATTAGGTTGGGGTTGGACCATGGGTCTCTTGATTCCATTCGTTTATTTAACTCTCATCACAACTCACAACCAATACCAAATCATAACACGTCATTTATCACGTTTATTCGTTGCCACTAGCATTTGGTTTATCGTCACTACGTTGTTCGCTCGTTTCGAAGAGCTTACAGGCATGTGTAAACACGAAGATTTGCGAAGTGCATCGAGAAGAGCTTGTGTTAAGGGCGGACACGAATGGCAAGAAGGTTACGATCTCAGTGGACATACTTTTTTACTTCTTTATGCTTTACTAATTATCAATGAAGAAGTGAAATCTTACGATAAAGGTACAAAAAAAGTGGATCAAGCGAGTAGTGCAGCTAATGCGAAAGGTGATGCGTTATCTGAGGTGAAACATGAATATTTACAGATAATTTCGAAAGTGATTCGACTAAACTATGTGGCTTTGGCAGCATTGACGATTCTATGGGAATTCATGCTTCTATCTACAGCTTTGTATTTTCATTATACATTACACAAGATATTTGCAGCAATGATCGCAGTTTTCTTCTGGTATATTACTTATTATGTGTGGTATCGTTTGGAAAACAGTCCACTACTACGTCCATCGGCACCTAAAGATTAAAGTTCTATAAATTTTCTTTTTTGTCATGATGCGTGTGTGTGTTATTTCGAGCGATGATTAGATAAATGTTTGTGGATTTTATTATCCTAGCCATATAATCCTGAAAAGAAAATAAATAAATGTCTTATATATTTGAATGATTGCAAAAACCTGCTGAAATATGATTTTATCTGACGATTGAGAGATTTTCCCACATGCGAAACACGTTTTTGATTTCTAGCGACATCTGTACAAGATAATACTCATTGATTTGAATCTTTATCCAATTTAATTTTTGAATCGCTCATCGTCTCACTACTACATTTTCCTAGATGTCCTTGTTACGACCATAATCATCAAATAAGATAATCTGATTGTTCTTTTATTCTCATTTAGATGAGTAGCATTAGTCCGGCATGTCAAGCTTTGAAAGATGAATACGACGCGTGTTTTAATTCATGGTTTGCTGAACATTATTTGAAAGGAGATACATCAGCTGATATGTGCACAAATCTGTTCAAGAAATATCAGGCTTGTATCAAAGTAAATCGGATGTTTCTTGTCAAAAGTATAGTTTCTATGCGTTCTCTTGCGTAGGAGGCAATCAAAGAACACAAAATTACGTTGTGGGAACTAGAAAATGAGTCAACAACAAAAAAGACTTGATTTTGTTTTTTCGGTGATTTTGTCATTGTTTTTCTTTTTGTATTCTAGATTGTCAATCGAAGTTTCTCTATTTTATATGTCTACTGATAATCGAATTCGTGATAATATGCATCGACAATCATCTCGTACAGCATACAATCTGGATGTAATCGATTGTATTGCAAATGAAAGTGATTCCGAATTTGACGATGATAAGCTTCATCGACCAATGGATCAGAAAAGGTTTTCTTCATTGACATCTTCGAATAAAAAATAATGAATTCTTTATGAATATAGACCATCAAGCAATTCACGACGAAATCCAACGTCGAAATATTCAAATGGAACTTCTTCTGATCGTTCAGCTCGTCCTTCTTCTCCACCAGTCACTCACAAACGCCCATCAAGTCCGTCATTATCGGTATTAACCGCATCACATTCTCAACATAAGTATCCTGTCTCAAGTCGACATCAACATGTTAATCGGTCTCCATCGCCAGATCGTTATAATCGTCCTCGTCGACATCCTCCTCCCGCCAAACGACAACATTCTCGTTCACGCTCTCGTTCTCGTTCTTCACACGAACGACGTAAATCAACGTCTAATCGTCCTTATAATGCCGCATCAAAGAAACGTTCAAATGACAACGACGAACTCACCTCAACTCCCTCAATGAAGAAATCAACTTCATCGTTCTCATCAGCAAATAATAAACCAGACGTCAACGATCTAAGCACCATCTCCGACGAAGATATTCCACATAAACTGCCAGGTCCACCGGTAAGTCAATTCTTGTCATAATCATCACTTATCTGCGCAAACATTTCTATAGATCGACATCTCTTCAATCAATGCAGGACCAATGTAATTATTGCTAAATTAGATTCGAATTGAAATAAACAACGTCTTGTATTTTAGCGCAACAAATCAGCCAACTCCGTCGGTTTCGGTTTCACCAGCAATTTTTAACAATAGTCTTGAATTGAGCAATAACGTACCAGAATGTGAACTGTCTCTCTTTGCAAAATCAAGTCTGTCTATGGCAAATACGAGTAGTGTTCAAACTACTGCGAATATTCCTAATTATGATCTTCTACAAACTATTGATCTTATGACTAAATTCAAAACTATGCAATCAATTCCTTCAAGTAACCATCAAATTGAAGCTTGTTCGAAGTAATTGTCTTTGTTTTCTTGACTTTCATGTCAAAACATTCGTCTACATTGCAGGGCAATTTTTGAATTGATACAGAAACAGATTCAATTGCAAAAGAAAGCATTTGAATGCCGTGAAAGAGAGATAAATATCTACGAACGTGAACTTCTTCAACGCGAAAAGTGTCTGAATGACAAAGCCAGTCCAGTAGACGTCCTTGTTCAAGCAACAGTGGCCGCTCCGGAACCTCAACAACATGAACTAACAATGACACGTGAACCAAATATTAACATTGTAAGAAATAATTCACATCTAGAAATGTTAAATTCATTGCATTCAAAAGATTTTACCGCCTGAATCCGTACCTCAACCGATTCCTAGTGCAAACAATCAACCGACGACTGTTAGTTCGGGAAAACCGTCCTCAGTTCGCCGATCTCGCTTTACTAATGCCAAACCCATGATAACCTCAAAGAATTTACCAAGTGCTGATCTTTACGCAAACGTTGGAGACGAATCAGCAGTTTCACAGACAAACTCCACTAATAATGCAAAGAATACAGTTCTTTCACCAATTTTAGCACCTAATGAGTCAACAAAAATCACCATTATTCCCGATTCGAAAGTCGCCTCGAATTCATGTCGAAAAGTTGAGATTCAAACTGATAATAATCATCCAGTAGTAACGAGTAGCGAATCTCCACAGGATTTACGTTTCACCTTACGAAACAATCGAACAAAACAAACAAGTGTTGATGAAAGCAAAGAGTTGACCAACGAATTGATCAATATTAGTCAAGAACCGTCAACGACGTTCACTCCGAGATTGGTCAAAACAATATCCAACACAGACAGCAAACAAGAAAGGTAGAACTGCATTATAAGAATGTCAGATACACGGTTATACGTGAATGATATTTAAAAAAAACTAACTATGAATGGATTTTACACAAATCAATATGTGTTCATCCATTTTGCAGTCATGATGATCAACATCAACAACAAAGAAGTGTCACATCGACCGACCAGGACATCGGTGAAACTATTCAGAAACGAGATAATCATCAACGACGAACGAGCACTGATCGACAACAGCATAACCCGAGAGAACATGCATCATCATCGCGTAGCTCCAAAGAACGATCATATTCGCAAAGTACAGATTTAGAATTTTTTTCTCTCCTTATTTGTTGATCAAATTGGTTTTCTTTTAGGATCAACGAAATACGAATCAAATCAAAAGGTAAGTTTAACATTCATGACTTGAGTTTCTAATCCATGCAAAAAATAGATTATGAAAAATATGTGCAAATCTTATGCATAGATTAGAAACTCATAGACCATTGTTAATTAAATATATTTGCTTCTGATGAATGAATGTTCATTGACATTACATGAAAACCTCATCAATAAAAGGATAACTTTTGATTTCATTCTGATTAGTCAGTGAACTCTGATTTTTAATCTCGACGACAACTCATTTTTTCCTTTCAGCACCGTCCTGATGGCGATCTTCGTTCCCGTATCGCTGAACATAAATATAAAAACCCGTCACGTACGTTAACGATTATCATTTTCCTCTAAATACTTACTTAAAAGCAATGTTTCAGGACCATCTCACCGGAATAATCGTTAATCATACCTTTGAAGAACATTTTTGACTTTCAAGCTTGCCCATTTGCTGTGTTTTTGCTTGATATTTCATCATATGTGATTGTATTTATGAAGATTGAGCTTAACTAAACTTGTTTTTCTTTTCTATGTATGTCGCTTTTTGTCTTTTGTATGTTGTCACTATCGAAGTTGGATACACATTTATTGAAGAAAGAAAAAATTATTCAAATCAATTATTCTAGATTATGCCGTTATCCGATGAAGAATTTCAACGATTTCAGAATGAACTGGTCAAACTTAAAACCGACAATTATCAATTGGAAGATCAGAATAAAAAATTAATTGCAGGTAGAGGAAAAAATCTTCATTTTTTTACGTTTAGTTGAGACAATGAGAGAATGCGGTTAGAAAGCGAATTCGTATTTGAAAAGTTGTTTAATTTAGACGGGTTAAATATTTCGAACAGAAAACAAAAGTAGGATTTCTGTGGTTTCACTTTTGATTGACTTTTCTTCGCTTTCGATAGTTTAGCTATCAGGTGACGGAAAACAGCTTTTCATCATTAACGAAAAAGCGTACCGATGTTTTTTGTTGTTTAGAAAACAATCATTTGAAAAGTCAAATTGAAAGTAATGAAAAAGCAAGTATTAATTTACCTATTCCCGCAAAGATGGTAGGTCACTGACTGATGTTTTTCCTTAAAATCATGTCCAAGTTTATTTTTAGTTACCGTTTAAAATTCGTCGTGCACCTACCCGTGATATCGATGATGTTCATCGTGAAAATGAAGTTTTAACACGTAAAGTTCATACACAAGAAGAAGATTTCAAATTACAAAATGAAACAATGATGCATGAATTGAATGAAGTACGTCGAACTCATACTGAAGTTTTGTTTCTACTCGTCGAGGATCTCAATCGTAAATGATAATGATAGAAAAGCATATAGAGAAAGAAGAGAACTAAGACAGCTAGGATGATGATCAGAAAAACGAATGTGAGTTTCAGTAGAACGGAATTGGTGTTTGATCGGATAATTGACGCGAATAATTGACGATAACTTTCTTCGAGTAAAAGATAAGACTCGGAATTGAGTGATGAGAGTGGAGGAACGTCGTCGGGAAGCGATTCTAATGTGAAATGACAGGTGGAATTGAGAATGTGAAAAGTATTTGATTGAATGGAGTTGCAGTTTAGTTTCTTGATGAATGTTTGCCAAAGTTGTGAATCTTTCAAGAGAAATTGACAGGAATTTAATTGATTAGAGTTTTGAATTTCGATATCAATTTCAATATGTTGATTGAGCAGACTTTCGATGGATTCGAATGGAATATAAAGGGCATTGACAAAGATCGAATGAGTCGGAAATATTTTCAATTCTGTTTGAGAGTTTTTTAATTGAATTTTCTTGTTTAACAACAGTTTGATTTCGAAATTCTTCGTTTTCATCGAAGACAACTCGGTGGTGTATTGATACAGATCGATTACGAGCCAAATTAAACGAGATTGAAGACGACAGAGAAAAGTAAAGTCGATTTCGATTGGAAAGATTTCAATTAGTTTCGAACGAGATGGACATTCATAAGAAATTGAACCTTGATCAGTCGACGGAGGTGAAGAAATCTTCGTGATATTGTTCGGACAATGGTACAGCCATTGTGTATCATGATTAATCACTCCAAAGTGAATCAAATCGTTAGAATCGATCAGTCGGAACAGATTGAAGAGAAAAAAGAGTGAAAGAAGCTTTAAGATCATGAGAAAAGTTGTATCTAAAGGAAGAAAAACTCGAATTTTGGACTTTTTTAGTATATGAACAAAGTCAAAGAACTTGAAAATGAATTAAAAATGTATCAAGATGGTCGTCATACAAATTCGAGTATTTCACAAGATAGAATGGACAATTTGAATGTTATTCAAGAAGAAAATCGACGTCTAAAAGCAGAGAATAATGTCTTACAAAAGAAACTTTCCGGTAAATCAAATCCAAACGCGAAATTTCTTTTCCAAAATCTTTATTTTCAAGAATTATCTGCCAAAACTGTAGAGTCGATCTCGACAGCAAGTTCAAGTAATGAATCATTCCAAAAAGAAGATGTTGAAGTCGAATGTGATGATAACCGGTACGAGTCTCATTTGTTTTTCTTTCTCATCTCACGGAACAGAACATCTAATCCATCATCATTGTTATCAGATAGATCAGTTTTCATCTACATTCGCAGAATCTATCAGAGAAAGAATTTTCTTGGAAATAACATTGTCATTTTAGTAGTGAAACTGGTCTCGTGCATGTTGTTACCACAAAACCATCGAATGATGAAACGAAAGTATTCGATAGTAAGTTTTACGCAATACTCATTGCGGATTTGTGTGAAATGTGACTTTTCTAGCGAGTAGTATTCGGCTGGAAACCGAACTGGAAGAAAAACGACTTTTGCAAGAACAATTTCGTCAATTAGAAATCACAACATCTGAAACGAATCGAAAACATTTGAAAGAGATCGAAGATGTAACATTCGGTTTGACTTTCTGAAGTTAATTTCTCTCAAATTTCATTTCAGTTAGAACAAAAGCTCGATGAAAAACAAAAATCTTTCCTCCAATTGCAACACGATTCCGAAAAACGTATCCAAGATCTAATGTATAAATCAAACTTTTCCTTAAATTCTCACTCTACTCAAATATTTTCAGTGCTGAAAACAATAATATGAAAACAACCAATGAAGTACAGATTGACGTATTCAAATCTGATATCAAACGTTTACAGGACGAGATTCAAACAGTAACCAAAGTAAAAACGATTCAATGTCTCATACAAATAAACTAAATCGCTTGTTTTCAGACCAAAGATGATGAAATAAGTAAATTCCAAAAACGTTACCATGATTCACAAGCCATAATCGATCAATTAGAATCGCAGGTTTGTTTTCCGGTTATCATTTTTTCTCATTGCTAATTAACGCTGCTTCATAATAAAGATTGGCACAGTAGCTGCTGAACAAAATCAGCAATTGCGTGACACTAACGCTGAACATCAACGCATTCTTGAAAATAAAGAATTGCTGCTTAATCAAACGATTATCGATCGTGATTATCTACGCACTGAAACTGAGGTGTGAACGAATTTCTGTTCATTTTCAACTCATCTATCGTTTGATTTTAGCAATCGAAGGAAGCATATGAAACTTTGATGCAAACTGTTCAAATACTGGAAGAACAAGTGACGATAACTACGAAGAATCTTGAATCTCAACAACGCGTAAGTTTTTCCGAAACAAATTGAGAGAGAGAGATGGAAGAAGATTTTTGAAATAGTTGGCGGAACAACGGAAGGCTGTGATTGATGAAATGGCCGCGAATAATCTACAAGTTGAGGAAAAAGCGAAATTAGCTTTGCAAAGTCAGAAGGAAAAGTATCAAACAGAAATCGATAAATTCGAAAGAGAAATCAATGAATTAAAGGTAAGAGCATTTACTAGTCGAGGAATTTGTCGAAAAAATGCAGTTTAGATCAAAGATCGAACGCTGAAACAAACCCAAACGCGATGTGCGGAATTAGAAAGTCGAATGAAATCTGATGAAGAACTGAAGCAAGTTTTATCTATTCGTTTAGAAGAATTACAAGTAAAACTCTCCGTTTCCTTCACATCGAAATCGAATACATTGGTCTTTTCAGGCGGAAATTGACGAAATGAAGAAAAATTTCGAAAGTCAAATCAATGAACAACAGATACAAAACGAAAAACAACAGAGTCAAGAAAGGCAAGAATATCAAGAACAAATTCAAGTAAGAAACTTCTTTCTCGAAGAAAATCGTTCATCTTTCTCATTCAATTTAGAATTTAACAGAAATTCTCAGTACAAAAGCCCGTACAATCGAGGAATTAAACGCACAAATCGATATGTTAAAACAGGTGAGTGAAAACAAAAGCAAGCGTTACCTTTATTTGTCCACTGTTTTCAGGAAGCGTTGACATTTATTGATGAAAAGCGAACACACGAAAGAAAAGGAGCAGCTTTAGTAAGTGCTGACTTATCGTTCAAGTTTGATTTCATTTTCGCTTTGTATTTATTCAGATGAAAGATTTACAAAAACAATTGACCGCCGAAAAGAAGAAAAATGAACGAATGCAAGAGAAATTGACTGAATTGCTCTCGGGAGATAAAGCCGGTTTGTTAGTTTTACATCATTGATATCACATCTGATGTTTTTTCTCATAGCACTTGATGAGCTTTTCTATATCCCGAAAACAGATGGAAGTCGTCAAGGTGACACAGCGTAAATACCATCTCTCATCGATTTCAGAATATTCTCACAATACTCTTTCGTCTTTTAGGTCCGTTTCATCCTATAGTGGAACTGGATATTTTGATCGAGTAAGATTTTCCTCTTGTTTCGTATTTCGTAATTGTTCGTTTATGTCACAAGGCTTCGGTAACATCGACACAGATGAGTTCAATGACGTTGGAACAAGAAAATAAAGAATTAATACAAAAATTATCCCAGAGCCAAAAAGAACGCGCGATTCTCGAAGAAAAAGTTCGACATTTAGAATCATCAAGTTCATCAATGGCAAGTGACCTTGTTCAATATTACTCCAGTGATAAACGCGCATCAATAACCGGTAAATCCTTCCTACAAAAACCTGATCAGTTCATATAAAAGCGTTTACTTCATAGGTATAAATACTCGTGTTTCGACTCCACCGTCACGTCGTCGGCAAACTCCTTCAGCCGATCGTCAAAGCAACTCTTCATTGAACTTCCGACATTTGCTCGAAAATCTCAGCGGGACGAAAAGTCAATCGACCAATGATGAGAAAATCAAGAGTTTACAACTTTTATTGGAAGAAACTTTAACCAAAAACTTGCATCTACAAGAAGCTATTCAATCTATGTCACTACAATTAGCAAATCAATCATCCCAACATCAGTAATTCACAATCTTATGTGTGTTGAAAACTTCATTCCTAATTTATTGTCGATTCTAGTCATAAGTTTGTTTTTTCTTTACTTGTTTTTACCGATTCCTTTCTTTGTCATTCATATCTCACTTATTCAATTGTATTTCGCAGTGAGATACATACACACGTATAATTTTTTGCATTATCTTTCACCTTTTTATGTACACGTACGGTTTTATTTATTCGACTTACTTATCTTGCTCGAAAGAAAGAAACAAATTTGATTTTCACAGAGAAATAAGAGAAACAAACGTTGGATACATTTACATTTTTTAATAATTCAATTCCAGTTCGTTGTAGATATTTCCTTTCTGTGATTATGCCGGTTTATGTCGACTTAAAACAAACTATCTTGGTAAGTTCAATTACACTGAATGAGCGACACTGAGACATAGATAAATGTCACGAGAGAAAGAATGAATGTTTAGCGAATTGTACACTGATCCTCATCTTCTCGAGCAAAAAAAAAGAATAACAACAAGTAAAGGATGGTATTTAAACCATTTTAATGGTAAGTCTTGAATAATACTTGAACTGACAGACCTGCTCTAATCGTTTTGAAAACATATTCATCAATAGGATATCTCATTTGCTTTTAGCGGCAATATTACCGTCGTTTATATTCTTTTCAACTTTTACCGATGAATCAAAGACTTATTACCATTCTCTTACCGTTGCTCCTTTTATCGGGAATTGTTATAGTTTATCGTTCTTATCGAGTATCTGATATCATAACTGGTAATGAAAAATCGTTAGGAACTCAACAGGAGAGAATAATGAGTTTGTTTTCTAGTTGTTTCAGATAAACCCGTTCGTGTTGACTTTTTCGTCATGTCAAAGTGTCCTGATGCTCGAAAATGTGAAACATTATTCGCTCCGAGCTTAATCAAACTCTCTTCAATTATTAATTTTACTGTTTCTTTTATCGCTTATGAAACTCAACCGAATAAAATCGAGTGTATGCACGGACCTGACGAATGTGCAGGCAATAAACAACAACTATGTGTGCAAAGTATGTGTTCTCAAACGACTTTACTTAAATTTCTTCAATGTCAATCGAGACAATTGGGAAACATTCCAAACAATGGCGAACAATGTGTTAAAGAAGCATCAGATGGATCATTGCAATGGTCTGATGTGGATGCATGTGTGAAATCTGACAAAGCAAATGAATTATTTCGGCAATCATTGGAAAGAACGCGATCTGCTTCGGCAAAGAAATCGTGTACGATGAAATTGAATGGTGAACTTTGGTGTATGCATGATGGAGGTTGGTATGGATGCTCTGAAGGTACGGATGAGACGAGTTTCATTCGCGCAGTCTGTAAGCGATACAATGGCATCAATAAACCAGCTGAGTGCGCTGTTTAAACTTTCATTTTCGAGAAAATCAAATGCTTTTTATTGTCATTAACACTTTTTCTTCTGTATAGTGAGTATATTTAAGAAAAAATAAAAAGAACAACAACAAAATACAACGAAAGAAATTCAATTGCGAAAGAAAAAGAACAAAAATTTATTCAAATTTTCCATTGATGCATAGCTTTGAGAAATTCTAAATTGAACCAAAGATGAATTTGAATGCGTGAAGGGAAAATTACCTTTAAGACATATACTGTTTTCGTTTCCACTTTCGGAGACCATGCCAAGAAAAAGATGGGCTTCTTCTTTACTTATCATTGTTGTCTGACGATTAAAAAATGCTAAAAGTTGATCGAGAGTTATTGTGCCTGTGTGATTTGTATCAATTTCATTGAATAGTGTAGTCAATTCAACAACATTCGCTTCACCAGTAAGAAGGTCATCACCAAAATAATCACGAAATTCTTTGTATTGAATAAAACCATCATCTAGAAAGATTCATTTGAACATAAACGAACCTAATAAGACAATATTCATACTGTTACGATCAATTTCGTTGAATAATTGGAGTAATTCATGTTCAGCTAATGTTTGATCGATAATAAGCATCCAAGAACGAAATTCAAGATAACTAACACGTGAATCGGTATTAGCGTCGATAAAGTTAAACATCAGTCGAGAATCTATTGAGATGATTTCAACAAATAGTGCAATGATCCAAATAAATGCGCTAACCTGCTTTAGGTACAACCGTTCTAACCACTGTTTGCCATGGTTTATTGAGTTTACGATATGCCGAAATACGCCTCGGAGGTGTATTTTCTTGCGAATCACTGATATTTGGATGACGAGATTTGCTTGGCCATGCTGATTTCTTCTCATGTTCAATAATTATCGGTGGTTTGGATTTACATAGAGAAATCGAATCGAGATTGTTCGAATGTGTTACAAGTGGTAGATTGACCTTGTTTGGAATGTGATAATACCGAGGCATAATTGATCTCGAAAGTGTCTACCGAGCAAGAACACTACTAGTTATGATTAGTAGGAGAAATGTTGATTGGCTCGATAGTGTACAAACAAACACCACCACCACCAACACTAAATAAGTAAGAAAGATAGAGCTCGACCAAATGTTTACTGGTGAAATATGTTTGGTTATATAGTATAGTTCGTTCGAAAGGAAAGGGAAAGTTTCTTTCTTGTTTTTCGTAGCGAATGATCATGACTGGTCGACCATCTTCATTGTTTGATAAGTAAACTGATTCGAGCAAGGAGAACTCGTCGTACATTTATTTGAAAAGATTCTCAATATTGACTTAGATATCACATCAATTTCGAATGTGTAGCTGGAGAGAAAGAAACTGTCGAACATGTGACTACATACGTTAGCTAAACAAATGCGTCATGCGATTATTTATGGGAGATTTTGTGTCTGAAACAAACTCCCATAGGGTATGTTGCCTTCCATAGTATATATTGCGTGAAAAATCATAAAAAGAAGAAGTATTTCGAAATGGATTCAGAAAAGAGTGAGTTGAAAAATGTATTGATCACATTTGTGGATGGGAATCAAATAGAGCAAAACGATCACTCATCTCGTCGTTCAAAAACTTTCTTCAATGACCGAAACTTTGGAAATTGTGTGATTTTTATCGTTCCAACTATTATTCTTATCGTGACGATGATTTTGATTCTTATATTTCGATGGTACAATTGAAATGCTGATTTTTGAACGTAACTGTTACTTGCGACATCTATTTTGTCATATTTTTTTATACAAAATATACATTCGAACAAAATTTCAGTGAAAAATCGAAATTGTTTTCGAGAAAAAAGACTAACGATCGAATTTTCTTATTGTGTATTACGTTTACTATCGAATGATTCAAATTCGTTCTTTCTTCGTTTGAGAACAAAGCACAAATAGCCAATTGTATTGTATCCGTTAGGAATCGATTATTGATTTGTACACACCTGTTCATCGTTGATACAAATCTCAAGTTATTGTTTCAGACGAGAGATTTCACGAAAGAATGTCTGTAAGGAATAGTGAAGTCGAAGTGAATGGTTGGACAACATTCGATGTACCAAATCAATTCGAAGATCTAAAGAAACAACTCGCTACAGGATCATATTATGTACAAAATGTTCTCGATCTTGGTGATATTAACACTCGTTTACAAAGTAAGTTGAAGAGTTGCTTTCGAATGAAATCGATTCAAATCACTTTCATTTAGATATTTCACGAATTCGAGAACCCAAAGAATTACTTGAGATGTTTCCATTATTCTACAGTATTGCTATGTAAATCGATATGTGTTCTTTTTTAATTTCACTAATGTTGTTTACATTCGTTTAGTCATTTTGAGAAAGTATCGATCAATGGACGTTCTCAAGCGGTAGAAATCTTACTTCGATGTATGTGTAGAGTCATTTTAGTTACCAATAATACTGGTTTTTCGATGCATTTCAGTAACAGCAAGTGAAATGTCAGAAGCTCAACGTCGAATTCATATTGGTCTGAGTGCTGATGATCGACGTTTCCATTTGAACATCGTGAAAATGCTTTCATGTCTTCTGGCTGAATATATCGTTCGATTTGATAATGATCAAGCAAATAAATCATCAGATTTTGATATGCCTGCACCAAAAGTGAGTTCGATCGATTCAATATCATTCTCATCTTTCTCACTGCTTTCAGAAGGGAAAGAAAATCAAAGAAGGAGAAAGTGGTGGAAAAACTAATGTAACATCCGACGTCCTACGAGACAGATGTCTGAAAGGCCTTTGTGATATTCTTCGATCACATATCAAACCATTATGGGACTCGTCGATCATCGATGAACAATTCGTCAAGTAAATTTTCCATTTCGCATCGTTTCAGTCAGTTAGAAACGTTCATTCGATTAGATGTGTAACAAAACCCTGTTATCATCTACTTCGTCGACAAGATATTGCAAAGAATCCCATCGTGAAAGAAAATCTTCCATTGATTCTCACGATTATGATCAACAAATTCGAACACGCACGAGGTAAGTGAACCAATGAAATTTCATTTCAATAAACATTCGTTCTTCTTTTACAGAAGCATCGATTCAATTTATTCAAGCCGTGAAACTTTATGATAGTAATTCAAGTTTATTGATTACGGTGCTAAATTCACTTCTGACAGATTATCAAGACACGTCGTTGGCAGTTGAATTATTAAAGTTCGTTTTGTGCTATCTAAAAGTTGTTAGAAAATGAAATGGTTGTTTGTTGTTTAGAGAGATTTGTGAGACGAATTTTGTTGCAGCACAAGCAGACAATGCATCAGCAAAAACCATGGCGACATTCATTATCGACATGGCAAGATTAGATCCACATATTATTCGAACAAATATCGATCAGATAACAGATTTATTAACAGCTGAAGTATGTTCTTCGAATCATTTTCAACGCTGTTTTGATAGGTGTATTTTTAGAGTCATCATATTCGTGTTGCTGCTCTAACAGCATTCTGTTCCGTTATCGAAAAACTTCTCTCATCCGATGACCTCGATGATGGACAAAGAAAACTGCGTGACGATCTGCTACAAATACTTCGAGTAAGTTTTTTGTGTTATAGGAAGACCTGTACGATGTTCTTTTTCAATGTAGGAACATGTCTCAGATGTCACTGCGTTTGTTCGTCAACATTGTTTACAACTATGGACTTCATTAGTTCAACAAAAGAAAGTTCCGGTTAGACAATATATCCGAGCATTCGAACTTGGATTAGATCGATTGAGAGATTCCGCTTGTGCGGTACGAAAGGATGCAGTGACGTTGGTGATGCATATGGTTCTAAATAATCCCTATTTTGTTGTGGTAAGTGATGAATTTTCGTCGTCTTCATCAGGTGTTTTCCGTTTTGTCCGCTTTTTCGCTGATTTTCGTTGTTTNTAGGAAGACCTGTACGATGTTCTTTTTCAATGTAGGAACATGTCTCAGATGTCACTGCGTTTGTTCGTCAACATTGTTTACAACTATGGACTTCATTAGTTCAACAAAAGAAAGTTCCGGTTAGACAATATATCCGAGCATTCGAACTTGGATTAGATCGATTGAGAGATTCCGCTTGTGCGGTACGAAAGGATGCAGTGACGTTGGTGATGCATATGGTTCTAAATAATCCCTATTTTGTTGTGGTAAGTGATGATTGTTGAGTGTTTGATATTCATGAAAGGTTTGTTGGATAGGATTCTACACGAGCTCAATTCGAAGAACGACAGAATGACGCGGAAACGAAATTAGCTGAACTTCGTAGTGAACTTGAAAAGTTAAATCAAAATAGAAAGGAAGACAAGGCGAATTTGAAGGGAAAAGTTGAATCGGATGATGAAGATAGTGGAGCCGAAGAAGATGATGAAGAACAAGAAACAGATGAAATGCCTGTTGACAATAATCAAGTAAAGCTTTCACTGACACATCATATTTTCTTTAACTGTTAATCGAATAGGAAAAAGAAGCTCCCAATGAAGATCAATCGCTTCAGGAAACTTTAGCTCGTGTTAAACTTGAAGAACAAGTGATGCGTGTTGAAGAAATCGTCACGTTATACAAAGTAAGAAGACATTATCAAAAAGAAAATTCTCTCGATTTGCGTCTGTTCATACATAGGATGGTCTCCAATTTATGGATTTAATCGAACAAGCTAATCGTCATGTTGTGAATCTATTCAATTCGCCTACATTAGCAGATTGTAAACAAGCTGTTGATTTCTTTGTTAATCTACGTCATTATCGTCTTGTTTTACCAAATATTGAGCAAAGTCTACGACTGATGTTTAGTCTAATTTGGTCAGCTGATAAATCCATATGCGAAGCGATTACTCAAGCATTTGTAAAGATTTATTTCGATGTCGCACCAACAGTTCCTGCAGCGTGAGTTGTTCCTTTGATTCCAAGAAGAAAATCAACGAAGAAATTTCTTGTAGACATGTTCCTCTTCATCAAGCTCGTGCGATTATTCGTGCATTGAAAGGCGCTACATTCTCCGAAGAGCTGTGTTTCGAAGAAATTCTCAAACAATTAATCAAAAGCAAGAAAATTGCCACTGAAGCCATCACTGAAGCTCTATGGAGATTCTTCAAAGCACCACCGGACGATAATACTGACGTTATTGCAGGAAAGATTCTAACATTCATCGTCGGGTGAGACTTTCTCGATATATTAATTGAATTTCGAAATGAATGTTTCGGGTTTTGATGAATAGAAATGAAGTGAATACAAAATTGAATGATATTACGGATCTGATTCAAGCGAAAGATAAAAACCGTCGTTTCGTACATATTTCTTGTTTATTGTTGCAATTGGCTGCAACACCGAAGAAGGTAGGATAGAAATCATGTTTGATTTTATGCACAATGGTTGATTTAGATTGAAAATGGCGTGCGACCCAAACAATTTCGTTTACCGAAAACGCATCGGCTATTCGAGATTCTTGGCAATATCATTGTCTCAAGTAATTCGATGTTGAACATGATTTTCTTCATGTTTGTATTTAGCTTTTCATGATGTTTCGGACCGACAATGGACACCTATGATGGAATCGGCATTCGACGTCATTTTCAAGTTAGCTGATGGTCCAATCAAACACATAGAAAATATCATTAAAAAACTTGCTGTGAAAACCGGTGTGAAACTCGGTGGATTGATCAAAATTCCAACAGCATCACAGTCGCAACCTGTGTTTAACGAACCGATGGACTACGAAAGTAAAAAAAAAACAGATGAAGAATGCTCTTTCTCTAAGTTGTTGTCTTGTTGATTTAGACGCGGGTTGGGATAACAGTCAAAACCAATTATCTCAACAACAACAATCTCAACATCATCATTCACAGAACAATTCCAATTCGGCGTTGTTGTTAGTTCGGTTTTTGAATTGTTTGGGAAAAGCAGCTGTTGGTATTGTTTATTACGTTGATTGTACGGTTAAAGATGAACTTTTCCGACGGAAAGAAGCTAAACAATCAACAGTAGCCAGTAAAAAATCGCAGCCCAAACAACGAAAATCAGCGAAAAAGCGGACAAAACGGAAAACACCTGATGAAGACGACGAAAATTCATCGATCAACGATACTACCGCAAGTTCATCAAATCTCACCGTAAGACATCAATTCCATTACTCTCTAACCTCACTAAAATACAAATTTTCAGTTAAATTCAACTACAAATCAAACAATTGACGATGACCAAGACGATGAAATGTGTCAAGTGTTTGGCGGTGCTGAAGCTGAAGATCCGGTGGACAATGAAATCGGTCAATATATCCAATCCTTATGCGAAAAGAACTCTTTATTAATGCAATACAAAAATATTCTCGAACAAGTACGCGATACAATTTCCGAGTAGATAATTCATCTTTTTGTTTTTCCTTCAGATTCTTCTCCATCCAAATGAATATCGAGAAGAAGCTTTACAATTGAGTGCGACGATCTGTTTATGTAAATTTATGTTACTATCTGTTGAATTATGTGAAACACACGCAAAAATGTTATTTGACTTACTAAAAAACTCGACTTTTGAAAGTGTACGAGTGGCTATTATGGTTTTAATGAATGATTTTTATCTAAAGTAAGATTAATGAATTGGATTTGAATGTGAAATTTTTGTTTTAAGATATCCACTAGCATTTGCGGCGTATTCAAATGATGTTTATGGCTGTTTGCGTGACCGATCGGATAACGTTCGTTTAGCTGCTCTGAAAACGATCTCAAATCTAATACTCAAAGAAATGGTTAAGGTAATTTGAGTCCAATAAACAAATTTCTTTGAAAAAAAGATTCGTTTTTTAGCCCAAAGGTCAAATTAGTGAAATCGCTCTGTGTATTATTGACAAGCATCCTCAAATAGCAACATTAGCCACATCATTCTTTAGTGAATTAGCGAAACGCCAACATGGTGAGGCATTATTCAATATTTTACCCGACATTTTCTCGAATCTCGTCGGGGGTGGATTGGATAAAGAGCGACAATTGAGTGAAGAAGATTTTAAATGTATTATGGAATTTCTATTCAAATATGTTAGTAAAGAAAAACAAACAGAGAGTTTATCGGAAAAATTATGTCAACGATTTCATCTGGCTGAGTGAGATTTAACTTATTTTCGTTGATTTTACGTTGGTTTCGGTTCTCTTTTAGTAACAATCCTCGTTTATGGCGTGATCTTGCTTATATTATGTCAAAATTAACATACAACGAACGAGCGTTGAAAGGTTTACTAGATCATTACAATTACTATGCTGATAAACTCGTCGAAGATGCTGTTTACGAATCATTCTTAACAATCATCAGTAATGCCAGGAAATTATTAGGCAATAAACCGGATCTTAAAGTAAATGTTTTACTTTATCTTTTGCCATTCGATCGAATTTGTTTCGTTTTAGGTTGTACTCGATGAATTATCAACTCGTATTGATCAAGCACGATCATCGAGTGGTATTCTCGTTGCTGTACAACAAGCACAGCAGAAAACCAAACAGCCGCTTAAAGGTAAGTGTTTATCTACATAGCACTCATGTTTGTATCGAATTGTCCTATTAGCTTCTCGTGCCGGTGGTGCTGCGAAGAAAGGAAAAGCAACGGCAAGTCGTAGTAAAGCGAAAACATCGCAATGTAAGAGAAAATTTTGGATAGAATTTCGAGTTTAATATAAGAGTTTGTCTTCTAGCGGATGATGACGATGACGACGATGATGATAATGATGAAAATGATTTCAAACCAACGAAAAAAGAAGTGAAAACACCTACAGCAATTCGATCGAGACGTGGTGCGGCCGTAACTGCACGAAAGAAAGCAACTATTGTAGCGAGTGACGATGATGATGAAGATTAATTTGCTTTTCTTTGTTTCTCTTCAATAATTTCAATGTAAATAATGATTTCGTCTATTTCTCTTTCTTCTCCATATTAACAAAAATCTTCTTTCTCTCTCTAGTTCTTTATTAGAATATTTTGTTCTGCATAATACTACAATTTATTTTGTCTTTGTGTTTCATATCGAAAAAGAATAAAACGTTTTTTTGTCTGAATAATCAAAACAAACGATCTTTGCAAACAACGTTATCTTTTATGACTCTGTTGTTCTAATGACGGATTGAATGTTGATTGTCATGCGTTCGTGTATAAGATATAAATTAAAAATGAATGATCAACTGAGCATTTTTTACATTTTATACGAGAACTTGACACGATGCAAACAAATTTCGATCAACAAGGAACATGTTCGTAGGTATTTCTCTTGTCAACACATTGTATCTATCCGATTGTCTATTTTTTATGAAGATCGTACCAAGGTGCGACAGGTCATACTCCGGAATATGTTAGTGCGGGGAATTCATACTCTGTCCAACAGAAAGCTGCTATTGCTACACCGGTTTATCAAACAGTTTGGAAAAACAAGCTATCGACAGAGATTAAAATGAACCTGAGGATATTTTTCGCAGTTTCTGGTTTCTTCTATGCTTTGTGGGGGATCGTAGCAATCAGTGTACAAATTGCGATTATTATCAATGCATTTTCTACGTATTACCATGGATTATGGTCTGGTTCTTTGCTTGTTATTGCAGGAGCTGTCATGATGATCATTGCTGCTCGATCCCATTATCCTTTAATGCGTCTTCCACCTTTATATGGCTTCAATTTAGGTTTTTCTACAGTTGCACTGATCTTTTCCGCTATCAACTATTCTCTAACTAGACACTGTTATAGTTTGTATTGTGACAAAAGTTTAGCTAATCAACTACAATTGTCTCTTATTGTAACGTTTTCTGTCGCGTTAATTCATACAATTGTGAATCTTATTTTTGTCTTAAGAGAACATAGACAAACTGTCGATCTAGCGAATGCGATGTTTGTAAATCAATAAAATTTATTTGTGGAATGAGAAAATAATTTATAAAAACAAACAACTTATCAGTTAATATAACATTTTTCTCTTTTCTCTCGCTGGTTTAGTTTTCTCAATCTGACATCACCGGATTTGTCTTGGTCGATATTATCACTGGGTTTTGTGGTCACTGAAATTCGTCGCAGTTGAACTTGTTCGTTTCAATTTTAATATCGCATCAGCTGCTTGACGCATATGTGTTGGTGCGTTGACATTCGACACTGTTGTTGACGGAACAGTTAATGGTTGTACTTGATTAGTCAGTTCATACAAATGACGTTGTTTTGCTTCGTAGTCCAAAATGAATTTTGGAAATAACGAACGTTCGTCGAAAGCAGATTTCAAACCTAATTGAAAGGAATAGAAATTACTGATCTGTGAAGACTTTTTCTTACTTGAACCAATCGTGTTGGGAACGAGACGACGTCGCGGATTTTCTCCGAAATTAGTAGCTTGCCACGCGGCATTCAAAGTCGACTGAGGTGTTTTTTTCTGCTCCGGTATCACAGGTGGATCATAGGTATCAATAGACTAAATCACGTCGAATTTGTGAGATTGTAGCAGAATGACTTTCACTTACGCCATAGGCACCACCAGGCGCTAAGCCTGTTTTTTCCCAAAGCAAATAATCTTTTGTGGTGATCAGCGCGGGCTGATTACGTTGTCGACGATTGGTTCGTTTTTCTCGAAAACTGACACCTTGAAAAAGAAGATTATTCAAACAAAGCTCTTTAAGATAAATTTTATACCGATAGAAGTGGATTCCCAAACGTTGGATCGTCTTGTCAAAATTTCTTCGTCAGTCATAGTTGGGACATTCGAATTCGCTGACAATGATGATTGAGATTCTTCTTCAAATAATCTTGAATCTTCCTCGGACTCATCCACATATTGATTTGCTTTCAATTGTTGCTGTTCTTCTTCGCGTAGTTTCGCTAAATCAACATCTAAATGCCATTGATTGGGCTGACCGAATATTCCATACGGGTTTCCATTGATATCCGAAAGAACCACACTACCATCTGCAGATGAGGTTAATACAAACGTTCGTGAGTCTTTTTCTAAGAAATCAATGCATGTTATCAAATCCGTATGTGAACTGAATTCCGCTAGTAGAGCTAAACAATCAACTTAAATTCGAATATATTCAAATAATGTCTACGAACGAGGAAGATCGGTTATTAAATCGGACTGATTCGATTGTAAACAATATTCTTCGATATTCCAAATTTTCACAAGGCCATTAACATCTCCTGTGCCTAAGTGCTTATTTCGTACATCAATTTCCATGATGATTGACGCAACTAAAAAGAGAAAACTCAGTCGACGTCTTCAACTTGCGTTTTTCGTGATATACCGTCAGTATGTGCTTGAAATTCCCCTATGAGCTTTCCTAGATGCGCATTCCAAAAGCGAACAAAGCCCAAACCGCCACATGAAACTAAATTGGCTCCCGTAGAATTATTATTCGTACTCGATGTAATGCGTTTATCAAGAAAAGTTAGTGTTGTCAGAGCAAAATCAGCTGAATTGTCTTGTAACTAGTGAATACGGGGGAAAAAAGCATGAAGCAGTTAAAGCAGAAGAGGTGAATGCGTATCTTACTTGAACGTGATGGTAATTCACTGGACGTTTTCGTTGATCGAGACGACGAACGAAAAGTTCAGACGAAGTATTCCAAATGCAAATATCACCATCAATACTTCCAGTGGCGAGTAATTGCGGTGCAAATGCTGTTACAGTCATACAAACAATATCTTCGTCGTGTCCCTAGGAAAGCAAAGGTAGTGAAAGGAGAAGTTCTATTAAAAAAGGGTTTACTTCTCTTGTATCTTCGTCTTTATCTCCTTTCCATTCGGTGGGAAAAGCGGGTTTACCTTCGGACTCTTGTAGATCACGAAAAATAGTTAAATGCCTTCAAAACAATTCTCATAAACAGTCAATCTTTTTCATCCTTATCTTACTTGCTCCATCCCACAGCAACCACTCGTCGTTTTAATGATTCAATTTGAGTGATTTCTACCGCTGTACCATTTCCACTTGCTTCCAGAATTCGTAAAACTCGCCCATTGTAATTCCACATCTAAATTGTTATTCATGATTTCCTTTCTCATCAAGTCAATTTCTACCCACTCGAATTTTTCCATCGCTTCCACCCGTATAAAACTTCTCTCCAAACTCATCGAAACCCAAACACGTCGTATCTACATTTTCGCCAATACTCTTCTCACTAAATCGATTTGTTCTTTGACCTTCCAATGACCAAAAACTGATATCACCCGCTTGACACACAACCATGACCTATAAATCGATCAAAACAAATTTATATCAAAGCCAATCGATCGAAGCTTACTTGTTTATGTTTAATCAGATATCGAGCAGCAACAATCGATCGTTCGTGAGTGACAATTCGACTTTTCACGTCAGGTTTGATTTCCCACATTAAAATATTTGTTCGAAATGTCGCAAAGAATCGACTCCGCGCATCATCGAACCAACAGAAGATTTCCACTAAACAACACGAAAGTTATTTATAAAAAATACGATAACGATCAAAGTCCAAAGATAAATTTCAATGACAAGTTCACTTCTTGTTTTGTTTTCTCTTCTCCTCTACCAATTACCCTAATTGCCGAGATGTTTTGTGTGCACCGATCAGATTTCATCTTATTTTGCTCAGTCACAATTTCTTCTTCTTCGATCATTTTCATTTCAAACAAGTGTATAGTATCGAGTTAACATCATGCGAAATCTACTCATTCTTCTCTTGATAACTGTTGTTTCTGCAACTGAACATTGGTTTGTCTTCGATCAATATCAATTTCAAGGATTTTTCACTCCATTGTTTACGTTAACAACGAAGCAACAAGAACAAAAATATCTTTCGTTTGCACTGTCGAGCTATGACCGATCGATTGCGGTTGATATCGAAACACGGCATCCGAATGGAACGGTAAAACAACGAGAACAATCAATCAAATTAAACATTGAACGGGCGGATTTGTTGTACAATTCGGTTAATCATATGATATTCGTTGCTATTCGTGATGGAATCAAATTGGAAACGTATATCAATTGCAAATTAATCGATTCCTATTTTCTTTACTCGACCATTGTCTTCGATGACAAAAGTCCAATTTATAAAGTGGAAAATGTTAGTGATTATGTCGAACATCATGAAGTTGAAACACCGCAAGAGGTATTCGAGATTTATTCGTGTAAACCAATGCAAACCAATCAGGTTCTAGAGAATAGAACGACAACAATTATCGCACGGCCATTGATTCGAAAGATGCAGCATGTGATCGAGAAAGTCCAACGTCGAAAACTTCGATCAAGGTAAAAAAAAATTCGTATTCTTATTCTGTTTGTTTGATTTCAATCTAGAAGACATAATCAACAACAAACTCCTTCCTCGGACTCATTCACAATTATTTACAAGATTCATATCGATAAAATCAATACAACGAAGGCGATCTTCAGTATTCCTCAGTTAAAATTTCAAATTCTGTATTATCCGAACGAACATTTATTCCACATTCGATTTAATAATGAAAATCGCACTCAGTTTGTTCTCTACGCCGACAAGTCCACCGATCGGATCTATTCACCGAATACTACTCTAGTTCTGTTCTTACATGTCACATCAACAATGATCTCCTGTTATGTAAATTGTGAATTAACTGACCAGGAGTTTATCAGCGATTCGTCGTATATCGAAAGTTTCATTCGACAAATTAAAGATCAGAATCAATACGAATATAACCGGCAATCAACATTGATTCTTTTCAATAAATCAATCGAACAAATCGGAGCAAATTTCTTCTGTTTAAAACTCGACAAAAAAAGTGAAGAATTACTACCAGATAAATATGCATTAAGGTCAATTGGTTCTCTCTGAAATCGATCCTCATTATCTTCGTTTTTTTTGTATTCCTAGAAAATTTGCCACTGCATTAGACATTCTAGTCAACAGTCTTGACAGTCCTGTCAATTATGAAAATTTTGGCCAAACAAGCACTCAATCAACAATCCAAAACGTCTCTGCAGTTAATATTCCTTCGATAAATACCTATGGAAGTTTGAGAGCACCATCCTCGAATCCAAATCTGGAGAGCACAACACTTTCTCTCAATTCTGCAAAAGCTTGTTCTCTCGATGCTGATTGTGATGGAGAAAGAACCTCTATGACTTGTCAATCTGGTTCTTGTTTATGTCCGAAACGGTTATTTTGGTCAACGAGTTTACATCGATGCATTACTTGTCATGATCTATTGATCGGTAATCGTTGCTTTCGTCTTTCCAATCACAAATCAACATGGTCTGAAGCCAATGAGAATTGCGAAGATGACAATACAATTGACGAAGGACAAGAGTATACAATGAAATTAGCATCGAACCTTAATCGAACAGATATTCAATATCTCAAAGAAAGTTTCACACAAGAAAACGATAACGATCAAACTGATTATGTCTACTGGATAGGTGCGACGAGTCAGTTCGATAAGAAAAAGTCGAATTATCGAACACGCCGACAACTTCCGACAGCAGTTTTTCGTTGGTATGATAATGGAGAAGTCGCACAATTGAATCAACATGATATTTGGTGTTCACAAACAGAGTATATGAGTTTAGCAACGATCAGCAATAATGAACTATGTGTGAGTGTGACATCATGTGGATTGTATGCGGATGATTGTCAACGAAATTATCGATTTTTATGCGAAGCCGTTTAAGGAACAAAACATTTCTCGAACTCTGTTTTCTTAACCAAGATTAATCAAATTACTTTGCCTTTTCTTTTGCATGTCGCTTCTTACCTTCGGGTCCACGTGGAAATATATTCGCTAAACGTTGAAGACAGATTTGTAATTGAACATCCCATATACGTAATATTTTATCTTTGGAAAAGCTTATCACTTGGGCACGACTATGAATGAACTGTACGAAGAGCACAGATCGCATATGACCAATCAACGTCTAGCAGAGATTGAGGAATAGGAAGTTTCTTACTAAGAAAGTTTATCTTACTCCATTTGGTTTAGACAGAACGAATGGATTCCATAATCGAACTTGACAATTCGCACCAGCAGTTGCTAAAGAGATTAATGAAATGTAGAGAAATGAAAGTACTGTTTCTAAGACGACGAAACCAAGCGAAAGAAGCCGATTTTGACGTTGAGGGTCTCAAGGTAATTTACTGTTTATTTTGTAGTCACAGAAGCAAATCAAATGTCTTTCTACTGAGAACAATCATCAGGATTCTTACCAATTAGATTGAAATTTCTCGAGTAATCAAATGAATTGACGCCTTGTTCGATGTATACTGTATTCCTGAACAAAAGAATTCGAAGGTTGAGGATGTGACAATGATGAAGGCATACCTTCCTTCACGTAGTCGTCGGACACGAACGGAATAATTACTAAGAAAAAGAAAAGACTGATCAAGATGTGAAATAGGACTATTATTTCAAATTCGTATTATTCTCCGTGATTAAATTGTTTTCAAACATGATAAGTTAGTTTTCATGACTTTATTCGTAAATATACCTTCGATCGCGAATAATATCCGGACTAGAAGAATTCGTAGATTAAATAACATCAACAAAAGATCGATCTTTCTCTTTCATAAATTCTCGTTTTCACCTACTTTCGAACAGTTAATCCAGATTTTTCCAACCAAGCAAACACCAGCGCCGTTTTCGCATCTGTCGAACACGAGACAAAACATTCCAGATGTTCAACATACTTAACTAAACATAATCCTGTTAACTTCTACTCATTAAACTGCCTGTCAAACCTTTCCGAGTCCATTCGCCATGCGCGTGATATGTTGCGTAGGATGCATTCTTATAATTTCCATTTGCTATATCTGCTAATTGAACTTTTTTATATTCTGAAACAATAAAAGTTTTTCAATTAGCATAAGTAAATTTCGTATAGAAACAAACCTGCATCAGTTGTTTGTCTGGCAGGTCGTTCAATCAAAGCAATTACAGCGGAGTTGAAAAAGATAGCATGAACGTTTCCTTTCACATCACCCCAACTCAAAATGGCATCATTCAAATTTTCTGGATCAAACCTAAATACAATTTCCTTCAGTAAAAATCCGACACTTTCTACTCGGTAGTGTTACCAATAATCCAAACAGAAAGGCGTTCCTTCCATTCCAACGATTCGATAGGATAAATTCAATTCTAATTTTGGTGTCATGTCAAAAATAACTAAAACAGAAAAGAGATCAAATACATCTCAAGGATGAAAAGTCTTACTGATTTCTTTTGATGTGTACGCTAATGCTATTTTGCTGTTGTTCGGCATGAGCGCAAAATCCGTTATCCATAAATCTCTCGATTTACAATTTTCAGTTGACGCTGAGATTGATTTAAAAAGCTGCATATCATCATCGTAAATACAAATCGTTCCTTCCTAAAACAACAACATTCTACTTTCAACGGGAATCTCTCAGTTTATTCTCTTCGTACTCGACTCAATGATATATATCGACCCAAACTATCCATATGTTGAATACGTTTGATCGAATCTCGATGGGAACTAAACAACGATCACAGTCAAAACAAAAACGGAATTTCGTGATTAATGTGTACGATTACTTGATGGCAGATTTTCCACCTTTCCAACTAGGTATGGTCGTTGCTTTTTGCCGATCATCACTATCAGTTAATTTCAAGACGATGTATTCCGCTAGATTATCCCTAAAAAATGAAATAATTCGTAACAAGTTCAGTCATTTCAAACAAGAGTATCGAACCATGAGATACGACCTTCTTTTGTCACATCTACGGCTTCGAATAGTTCATCATACTGAAAAGTAAATCATCAAAATTGATCCGAATTCATGCGATATGAAGTTCAACATACATCTCTATTAGTTCCACGCGGCAAAGCTTGTCTTAAAAATGAGATGAATTGTTCTTTATTCAGCGATTTGTTTCCAGACTAGAGAGAGAATAGAAATCAAGAAAACGTTCCATTGTAATCTTTCACATACAAATCCTTCTGAACGTAATTTCTCCAAATCTTCTAATCGCAAAAGATTCTGAATTTCAATTCGTTCTTCTTTGACATCCTCCGGACTAAAATAAACTCTCATAGATGATCTTTTCGGAAACAACGACTACTGTTCTATACTTTGAGAAAGAGCTTAGACTTGGTTGGTTCAGTAATCCTTTAAATTTTGACGCAGCAGCGACTCCCTTCAAACCAACTGATAAGGCAATGGATGGTCGTTGTTTATCGCTCATCTTTAGTTTTCTTTCACCGGTTGTCGAAAAGATTTTATTTTAAAATGTTCACAAAAGTGCTTTACAGCGGCCTTGGCCATTTGCAATGCTGGTTGTCATGGGAAATTAGAAAATTCTCCAATCTTGCCTATTCTTCACAATATTTCATCTCAATAAATTAATACAAGATGATTTCTTGTTAAAAGTAATCTCAAAATGCAAATCTATGTTTGTAGAGGTCGCTCGTGGTCAACATGGAGGCGTGAGATCCAACTTATTCGGATTGGTTCATGTTCTACACTAGAATAAATCGGTTATTTCGGTAGTAGTTCATTCGATAACGAAAGTACGATGGAGAATAGTGGGTAATTTCTTCATTCGAAATCGAATGAAATAGATATTCATGATCAAGAGGTAAATACAGTTTCACATTCCGAGAAAAAATTCTTTTTCTTCTGTTCTAATGATGATTCCACATGCACCACTCTGATATTCATCAGATATGAAGAGAATTCAATTCCATATTGAATCTGAAAACAGAAGAAATATTTTGTAAAAGTTTACAGTTCAACGATGAATCTAACGACGGTCTTCAGATCAAAGAATGATCGATAAAAACGATTTCTAAACCCATTTGCATCTGAGAACTGTTTGATTTCAACTCTGCAAATCGAATTTCAAGGCACTCATAGTAGAATTTGTCATACTCTTCCCGTGTATGTCAGATGTGGATAAAAGTGCAAGAGAAAAAAGAATTCGAGCTAAAACGCTACTAAACACCAAGATTCGATTTGTTTTCTAATTTAGTTCTTATTCAACAATTCGTTTTTTTTTGTATTTTAGATTCAGCAAACGATTCGAACTGGTCGACTCAATGAAAAAAACGTAAGTCATCGTAGTTAAGAGAAGTTTTTCAAACAGTTCGATGATGAATCCAACGACGGTCTTCAGATCAAAGAATGATTGATAAAAACGATTTCTAAACCCATTGTACTGAGAACTGTGTTACATTACCTTGCAAACTTCTAAAACCTTTCCGACGTATTTCCTATTGGATAAGGTTTCGCTTGTTTGCAAAATTAATCGACGGATTATTACCGGGCGAGCTCAACTCTCGATGAAACTGCGCCTAAATATGATTTGTACATTTATTTCATAAAGAAAAAGCAGAAAGAAAAAGGTTTTGAAGTGTCGTTTTTTTTTCATTCGACTTTCACAAGTTGGATGTCGACTTCGTCTGCTAAGGGAAGATTCGTATCGTTTACGTAGAGCAGTTTATCTTTTCGTTCGATACTTGCGGAGAGAGTGATTCCACCAGGAATGGATTTGATCTGTTCAAATTTCATATGCGCTTTGTTAGGATCGAATACACATTGATAATTAATTGGCATTCGTTGCCCTTGACGTAATTGAATCGTTGTCGATCCTAGTTCAATACATTCGACATCGTGTCGGAGCGAGTCGCGTACAGATATGTAGAGAGTTTCATCGCCACGAAAATTGTCATGCTCATTTTTGATAGTGACTTGTCCGTAAACTCGATTGCTGAGTGGATTAGCCATTGAAATCAACGTTCTGAAAATAATATGTGCGTGTTATTTTTCTATTGAGAAGAGAAAGAAGTGAGCGGCAATTTTCATAATTGAAGAAAAAGAATAAAATGTAGTCTCAGATTTCAAGGACACACGCACACAGCGAGTTTTTTCTCCTTTCCAGCGTCTGTCAACAACAAAAACAGATGTCTTATATGATTATTTTTTGTTGAAAAAAGATATTCTACTTAGGATTGAAATGCTTTTCTAATGACGAGAGATTTACGTGTAAACATACTTGAGTGAGCGAAAATATGAAAATAATCAGAATGAAAAAATGTCTGATATGCAGAGGAAGAGGTGCATTGTATTTTCATTTACTTCACTGTTCAACATCTTTTGCATTATTAATGATTGTTATTCAGTTTGAAAAAAAAGCAATCATTAACCTCATTAACACAAGAAAAAGATAATTGTCACAAAGAAATTTTCTTCTTTTCTCCTTCCAATGTGTTTCATTAGTTCGAGAAAAATAGACATAATTAACGACGACGAGCAATGACTCGACGATAACCAGGAGGCACAGGTCCGCCTCTTACTATGGGTGGCCCATTTGGTCCGAATGGACTGTTATATCCCATAGGAGGTTGACGCATTACACCAGGTCTAGCCACTGGTCGTGCAGAGGGAGGCACTGCAGGAGGTATCACAGGTACTTGTGTATAAACTGCGGGTGCAGCTGCCGCCGCCGTTACTGGTATAGCAACAGGACCAGCAACAGTTGCAACAGTGACGAAACCTGTAGCCGGGTGAACAGTAGCTATGTGAGCAGGAATACTAGTGCCAGGAGCAGCAGGTACCACAACCGTATGAACAGGTGCTGCTACTGGTGCTGCAGGAGCGACGCGAGCTGGATTGTGAGATCTACCACCATAAGGTACTGGTTGACCATGTCCGTATGGTCTTGGCATCATTGGAGGACGCCGACGTGGAGGCATTCCCTGCATCATTTCCATGTGTGTGTGTGCGTTTGTGACCAACTAACAGATACTTTACTTGTATAAGAGTAATGAAAACAAATAGAAAGTAGAATATAACCTCATAGGTCACGCTCGGTTGCTTCACGGCAACTTATTGAATATCACGGATACATGATTTTTCATCAATTATATTGTTACTTTGACTGCAGAACACAAAATGATGACGCATATGAAACTAGTTAGTCATTGATTTCAAGGTCATTCACTTCTCCGATCGTCATTAGACATGTTTTGGAGAATTAAAATGGCAATTGATAACATGTTACAGTAATAAACAACTGCAATAAATCTTGAAAAAGAAAAACATTATTCAGATCAATCTGTAAAAAGTCATTTTCATCGAAAGAAGAAATGCGCGTTGTTTTCTCGTCAAAATTCCCTCATTTAATCGAAAGAATCCTTCGAAATAGTCTTTGTTTACTTTGAATAAACACAAAACTTCGTATGATGAAATTTTTTATTCATTGTCTTGATATCTGATGATGTATTGACAAGATTAGAGTCGCTGACGAAGTTCACAAAAAATATCGAGCTAATTTCCGTGTTTTTCTATTAATATTCTCAATATTTATTTCTTCTTATTAAATGCGGAACATGGCAATGAACCATTAGACGAAAACAAATTGATTTCAACGGTTAAAAATCAACATTGTTTGTTGATAATTATGCAAAAACAAGAAAACACTCCTTTTTTTTCTCTCCACCGATCTTCTCCAGTAAGATTTCACCTTTAATTTTCTCTGTATTTCAGATAGAGTTTCTTTTTTATGGATCAATATTTCAATTCATCGAAGGCAGTCGACGAAGGCATGTATGCCGACGAAAGTGGTGGAAACTTTGATGACTATGATGACGATATGGGCGTTGGTAGCGGTGAAGCAATGATGCGTCTTGATTCGTCATCGGTAACTGGGTTCATGTCTCATCATCCTCATCATATGACATTGATGGCGACGGAAAAAGTAGTTCATACTGATTTTTTCAATGATTTTGGTGATCTGTTTGATGCCGATAACTTTGTATTGAATACAACAACAACAGCAACAACCGGTCATGTCACAGCGTGAAATCGAGTTTTTTTTATACATATCTTATTTATCCAATTAATGTGTATTTGTTTATAAGAGAGAAAGAGAAATAAAAATGAAAATGAAAATACTTTTAAACAAGGAATAGCACTTTCAAAGTTTTCGATTTCGTGCGATATCAATTTGATGTTTTCTCAAGAAAGTACCTTGTACTTCTCTTATAAAAAAAGATCAAAAATAATCTTTATATGTGAAAGTTTCATAGAACCGTCAGATGGTTTGATGTTTTTTCCAAAAGTAAATATCGATGTCCTCGCGGTATAGCGTTGGTTAACTAATCACCCATTGTCAAGAGATTGATCTACTAAAAATAAACCATCTTATGTCTTCGATCACAGTAGGAGCAGATTGTTCTTTTCACACAAATATTCGATTTAAAAAGCTGTGAATCGATGGTGAAATCTTCGAATTCAACCAATGTACAGATCACTCGCTGCCGTCTTTCTTCTTTTGATTGTTGGTGTTGCTGGTACTTCCCGCATCGCTTTCCAACAATCCAGTCATATTCAACGTGCTGTTTTGCCACATATTATGAAAGATGTTCGCCTCGATTGGTGTCCACAATGTGTTAATAGTTTCGATGATTTGGTTCAAATTGTTCTCGATATTATCCTTCAATATGGCGTCGTAGACACTTGTGGTCACCTATGTGAGCTTGTCGAAGAAAAAACAGGCTCGGGATTACTTGGATTCATCTGTACTATGGGCTGTGATTTTCTTGGTTTGGAAGAATTTGTTAAATTAATTGAAAAAGCTGACATTGATCCAATTTACTACTGCGAAGTAATGAAAATTTGTCCAAGTAAGTTCTGTTAACAAAATCGAAAAAGATAAACAGTTTGACTCGTTTCAGTCAATGACAACGGTGATGCCAAGTTCAAATCATTCGCTGTACTTCCACCACGTGCTCAAACAGAGAGTAAAATTGCTGTTGATATGGTCTATGTTTCTAAAAACGGTACCGGTACTGGTGAAATGATTATAACGATTCAAACAGTCGATAAAATTCCACTTTCTTCTGGTTTTTTCCTCGAAGCACAAAAACCTGGTACATATGGTGAACGTCTTGTAATCGACACAACACCCGATCCAGAATGCGATCCAACTCAAGGTAAATAACATGAAATATGTTTATTTAATACTGATCTTGTTTTTTTCTATTCAGGTGAATGTGAACAATGGTTAGCAGGTACCTATAACATCACAGTTCTTCTTTGCAATGGTCAATGTGGTTCACATCATCCTCATACTGCTTTGTACGATACTGCTCGAGGTTCTTTTACACTTTATGAATAGATTTGTGTATTTTCGATAAAAATAAACCTTAGAATCTGCTAAATGCATGTCTTATCTCATTCCGATAGACTTTTTTCATGTCATTAATCATATCTTGTGCATCAACAAACACAGTTAATTTAGGAGAATCAATCATAAAATTTACCTTGAGTATCTGATGTGCATGCTACGCATCTTACATGTTTCTCATCGACAACAAACTATTAATAAATTTTCTTTGCAGCCTTAATAAGTAAAGATAAGATGAATGTGTATTATTTACTTCATTCTCTCGAGGCCAACTTGAATCGATTGACAACAGTGAGAAGTGTTTTTAGTATATCGGAATAGAATACTGTTGAAAAGTACACGAGAATCGTTCGTCACATCGAACGAGTCTCTGCCGACATCAAGGTTGTCTTCGACTCAAAAGCATCGTGTGAAAATCCTACCAGTTGTGCTGTTTAGCTATTAAAAGTACACAATCTTAAATATCTCAATCAGCTTGTTCGTTTCTCACCAGAGATTTATATAAATGAATTAAAAATGTTTTTAACTTTACACGCAAAATGTACAAAACTTTCTTATTTTGTCTTGTTGTTATTGGTGGTGCATGCGCTTCGGTTCCATTGCAAAATCAACCGAAGAAGCTTCATCGTCTCGATTCGTATAAAAGTCCCGCCAAATTGGGTATTGATCTATGTCCCGAGTGTATCGAGGAATCCGTTGAAGTGATCAATGTTCTACTCAATTTGATTCTTGACGAAGGTATTATCGAATCTTGTAGTGCTCTGTGTGGTGCTCTTGCGAATCGAACTGGATCTGTAATCATCGGCGATCTTTGTTCTGTTGTATGTGAAGCATTTGGTATCGATGAATTTGTGAAAGTGATTATCAAAATGGATCTGGATCCCATTTGGTACTGTGAAATTCTCGAGCTTTGTCCAAGTAGGATGACTTGAAAGACTTATTTGTAAGAAATTTTGAAATATTCTCTTAGTTAACGATCATGGCGATGCTAAATTTATCAATTTTCAAGTTACACCGAAGAGTGCGCCGGAAGGTTCAACATTTATCTTTGATTGTTCATTTATCAGTGTCAATGGTACGGGAACAGGAACTATTAATATCGAACTTCACGACCCAAAAAACCGAACAGCAGGTAATCTCTATTGGTTTGAAGCGAGAAAGCCTGGTACATATCCTGAAAAAATCGGCTTTCAGACATTATTTGAACTTGACTGTGATCCTACTGAAGGTAAAATAACGATCGAATTGAAGAAAGAGTTACGGTAATTTGTTTGTAGAAGTGTGTGATGGCTGGCCAATTGGTACTTATAATATAACTGCTCAAGTGTGCAATGGTGAATGTGGTTCGCAACATCCTCATTCGGCTATTTATGACACAGCAAAAGGTTCATTTGAAATTACAAAGAAGAAAGCTATTTAAAATGAAGGTTTTTGTGGGAAATAGTTTAGTATAGAACGATGAAATTGTCTGAGAAATGATGTTTGTTTTATAAATAAATAAATAAATGAATTTCATCCATATTCAACATATATCTTTACAAAAGAAATCTCTGGAATACGAAAGGAGTTCATCTAATTGGCAAATGTGTTATTATCAACGAATATGTTGAGCGTCTTAAATTGAAATAGCTTAGATACGAATGTCTGTTCTTCAAATGAAAAGCTAGTTGTCTTTTGACCGAATTATTTCCTAAAAAAAGTGGATTATTTTTCCGTCATTACAGAGTGCTATTTCTGGATAGCAATATTAAGACTTATCAATTAGTTATGCGTTTCTTTTTCTGCGCCATACACCTTGAAGTAACGACTGAATCTGAAAATTTATCGATATGACTAAAAGAATCGACCAATCCTTCGAAAACGCTGCTTCCAGTATTAACCAGAATCTTGTAGAAACCCTATCTCCATATGAGAATCAATCCATGTGTGCAATGTCGTTGTCGATCTTCCAGCTGATTCTTTTTCTCATCAAGATCCTATTTATGTGCGTGAAATTTCACCTCCACCCATTCTTTCGTGTATTGCAAAACCAATATTCATCAAAGCAATGTACAAAACATTGGCTTGCATTTTCATCGCCATCATTGGCTTCACTAGTGCTTCCAACGTTGCCAAAGGTAACACACACAACGTTGTTCATGTCAAACCAAATGTTCGTCTTGACCTCTGTCCAACATGTATCAACATTGCTGATCAATCGATTAATATTTTACTTAATTTAATTCTTGATACTGGTATTATTGGTACATGTGGTACATTATGTCAAGCTTTAGCTCAAAAAACTGGATCAGCTATTATTGGAACTGTATGTGATTTAGTCTGTGATGTTGTTGGCATTGAGGAGTTTATCAAGTTAATCGAAAAAGCCGATCTCGATCCAATTTGGTACTGTGAAATCGCTAAAATGTGTCCAAGTAAATTGAGAATTGTTTGTCATACCTCATCGAACTGTTTCTTTGTCTAGTCAATGATAACGGCGATGCTAAAATCACCACATTTTCCATTACCCCACCAAGTGGAGTGAAAGGAACCACATTCAACATTGAATTCGCCTATGTTTCAAAGAACGGAACTGGTACTGGCGAACTTGACATTGGTATCCACTGTCCTGATCGTATGCCAGTTGGCGCAAGTTTCTTATTAGAAGCGAAAAAAGCTGGTACATATACTGAAAAGATCAGCGTCAAAGCTGAACCTGATCCACGATGCGATCCAACTCAAGGTAAACAGACGTTTTATATTATCAAGTTCAGCCTTTAATTTGTATCTTTTTTATTGAATAGAACCATGCGAAGAATGGTTACCAGGAACATACAATGTGACTGTTCAAATTTGTAACGGAGAATGTGGATCACATCATCCTCATTCAGCTATTTATGATACCGCTAAAGGATCATTTCAACTTACAAAATAACTTATCAGAACACTTTTGAATTTGCAATAGAGTTTAGTATCCGGTTCATTGCATTATAAACATCTATTTTGTTATTGAAATAAATCATTGTCTATCTCAAAATACACAATCCACTAATACCAGTATCCACATAAAGAACTGACATCCTTTCCTAAATTCTCTGCCATTCAATATGATCAATTTTTCAAGTTTACATCTATTCCGAATAAGCTGGTATCCAACCAACAAATTATGAGAAAAGAGAAAGATAGAGGATTTATATTTGTAGAAAAAAGGGGAATTTCGAAAAACAAGATGACTATATTCTTGACTGATACAATACCACCTAACGTTAACTTTATGTCGTAATCAGTAAATAACATTTTCGAGGATCTGTCTGCACAACTGCGTAAGCGAACCAATGTAAACGAATGAGCAAAACTTGTTACTCTTGACCCAGTAATATATCGAGGGTGATGTTATAATACCAATACCCAGAATGTTCTTTTAAAAACAGACACAAGTATATCCAAAAACTGGAGAAATTTTAGCGAATTTTGTCCATATTCGACGTAATGATATTATGACAGCTATATTTATCGAAGGATTAGAAGTCATACCAGATAGTGCATAATCATTTTCTCGTTTATCTCTACTGGAAAAGATCAAAAGGGTTTGTTTTTACAAAAGAGAACAAATGTCTTTCACTAAATCTGCCGCTGGATTGATGGTCATTATAGTACAACTCATGTTCTACTAGACAAAGAAGGTAGAGGAAATCATTGCAGACGTATTTCAATATACTTTCATTTGAATTGAGTGCATATTTGCACAGAAATTGTATATTGTAGGTACAGTGAGATATAAAAGTATCATTTGTTAACGCTGCATGGTGGAAAAAGCCGAAATATTAAGAAAATTGAAGCTTATCGTTGTTCCAGTTATCTCTACTTATCTATAGTGTGTATTTGCATTGCTCAAAGCAACATGGGTACATTCAAGAGAGCATATTTTAATAAATCAGTAGATGCACAAGAAGAAATCTAGCAAAAAGCACTCCAAAGATCTCCTGACGCACTTATAGTCAGAATTTCAAGGAAATTTTGTCAAAAATATCATTCATCCTTATTCGATGGGTTAATAGTACCATAGAATTCGATTGGAATCAATCAGACGAAAAAATCGATCAATATAAAAGGAGATAATTAGTTAGTTTTAGTTTTCTAAGCATTTATACAATAAATAGTCCTGAGATTAGAAATATTTATCAGACTTTTTCATAGAAGAAAAGTGTTGTATTTGTCATGTTGGAGATGGAATCAATGAAGATTGTATCGAAATTATACGTGCATTGTGAAGATACTCGAAAACGTGCGAAAAATTTCATCGAAAGTTTTGAGATTATGAGAAAGTGAAAGTCTGTACTATTCTTTAATTCAATGATTCTATCTCTACTACAAAAGCTCTAATCATACTAGTTCGATCAATGAAATGAATCAATATAATTATCTGTTACTGTCTAAAATGTAACTTTTTTCAAAAAAAAGGAGGATTTATTTTTGATAAGAAGAGTTTTAAGATAGAAAGAGGAGAAATAGGATAGCCAGGGAATAAGAAGTTTTTGTTGATTTAGAAAAAAAAAGAGAAGAATAGATCAAGTTCGTTCACCAGATATGAACACGTTTCGATTGTGCTCGAAACATTTTATCATTTTGTGTGACATTAAAAGTTTGATAAAAGCCCATCATATTTCCTAATGGTCCATTAACTCGATCGATTGGTGGTGCATGAGGATCGATCTTCAATATTGATATAAGTTTTGCGTCCGTAAATTTAATTCTTGACATTCTTGCGAATGAGAAGAAGAATCGTTCGATGGGTGTAAAACCATCAATCAACTTTCCTTCTTTTGCTTGATCAGTTTGTAAAAATGCTTCATAAGCGATCTCAACTCCACCTAAATCTGCGATGTTTTCTCCCAGAGATAAATGTCCATTGACATTCAAGCCGAATACTTTGTACTCATTGAATTGTTCGACAAGAATCTGTGTGCGCTTTTGAAACTCACGAAAATCTTCCGGTGTCCACCATGGATTCAAAATGCCATTTTCATCATAGTTTCGACCTTGATCGTCGAATCCATGTGTAATTTCGTGTCCGATAAGACTTCCAACCGAACCGTAATTGATCGCATCGTCCGCATGTAACATAAAAAGTGGCTCTTGTAGGATACCCGCTGGAAAAACAATATCATTTACTGTGGGAAACTAAAAAGAAACATATCCGATACAAGAATCGTTTTTTTTTACTAGAAACTTACATAAAAACAGTTGGCGACTTGTGCCGGGATGACCCACTCGGTTTTATCGACTGGTCGGGATAAATATTTGATTTTTTCTTGAAAAGTATTTCCGAAAATACTTAACATGGATTCAACATAAGACCATCGATTAATTTCAATGTTTGGATAAGTTTTCCATGTTGATGGATAACCGATTTTCTTCGTCATTTTACTCAATTTTGTCAAAGCCTTCTCTCTCGTTTTCTTATTCATCCACTTATTTCGACTAAGACGATTCCGGTACACATCGATGATGTGTTGTGTTAAATTCAACATACGTTCTTTCGCTTCGACTGAAAAGTGACGATAGACATACAATTGCCCTAATAAATCTCCACAATTTTCATTTATATCATCGATAATCACCGTCCATTGCGCAGCTTTCTGTTGTCGACCATAAAGAGAATATTGAAGCATATGATACCGAGCATTGGAAAAGTCCTTGCTCAGATATGGAGCCATATAATGCAAGATTGAAAAACGGATTTTATTCTTCCATATGTTTAATTGTTGACTAACAAGTAGTTTGTCCAATGATTGATAATAATCCAATTGAGCGACCACGACTGTATCGTTGTGAACTTGTAAAATTTTGAGAATACGACGCCAACCAAGATTTGGCATCATTTGTTCGAGTTGATCGATTGTGAGTTTGTTGTAATTCTTGGCTGGAATGCGTAATTGAGCTGGTGTGTAATGTGAAACAGCTAATTGAGTTTCTAATGTTAAGACATCCTCTGCATCGATGAGAGTAGTTCGACTTTTGAAAAGGTGGTTTGTCAAATTGAACAATTGATGAATATAATCTCGATAAAGCAATCGAATATTTTTTGAAAATGGATCATTACGAAAGTAGTAATCACGTTCGGGTAGAATAAGACCACTTTGCTAAAAAAAAGTTCGTTTAATTCATCATTTTTGGTTTCATTCTTACTTTCCAAAGAGGGACAAATACCGACGTATTTCTTTCGTCTGGATAAACATCGAAGTCGAATAAAATATCTTTATTCATTTTTTTAAAGCAGTTTGTAACGAAATCGATCAATTCTTCCGATGTTTTAACATTATCAAGTTGGAGTAATATTTCTTCTAATGGTTTAATACCGACCGTTTCGATAGTTTTTTTATCAGTACCTGCTAAATACAGATCGCCTAATTTACGTTGGACTGAATCGACAGGATGTGGCGCTTCAGATGTTCCATTGTTCGTTAAATCGTCCAAAATGCTTTTCAACTGTTGAGAGACATTGAGGGTGATAGTAAAAACACTGCCGATTTCAGTTTTCGACAATGGAATAGTCGTTCGGTTTAAAGAAATGCCATTAACGAATGTGAAAAAGTCATCTGTGGGACGAACTGACCAGTCGAGATCGTTTGCATCGAAGAATTCATCTCCGATCGTCGAGAAAACGAAAAATGTTAAGAAAATAAAGGAGAAATTCTTCGTTCTACACAGCATATCCGTTTCTTTCGAAGTGAATGGTAGTATCCAATTTGAAAGTTGAATTCACTATATCAGCTATTCAAATATTTCAAGTGTGCAAATATTCAAGTGCTTTAAGTGTTCAACTATTTCCGCGTCTTCACTTTGATATTGAAAACTTGAATAGATGAATTCAAATTTCAATTTGTAGATGTATGATTCAGCATAGTCGATGACCTTCTCTCATCAATCAACATTCCATTGATTTATTTACTTTGATATACGTACGACCAAAGCAATCGCTTTTCGAGTTACATAAAATAATAGAGGAATGAATACACAAATCTTGTGATCATTTCACAATGGAGTTCAAATGTTTGAGTTTCTGATGAATTTTGTAAGTGGCTCGATTTCTATTTCTGTCTGACACCAATGACGAAAGAATGGGAGAATTCTCTCGTTCTCTCGTTGATTTTCTCCTTGACAAAAACAGCAAACGATTTGATGTATTCAGATCTTCCATATAATCGTTCTAGTAGAATCATAAAGTTCGGAAATGGAGAAAAGAAAAGAAGATTGCTTATGTTTCTTTCTTTCCTCTGTTCAGCTATTCGATCGGAGAAGAAAAGAATCGGGTGAAAAGCAGAAAAAAAAAGAAGAAAAAATAACGGCAAACACATTTTGACGATGTTCAATAAGAGAGAGAGAGAGAAAAAGATCGTCTTTGTTACTAAACTTAGTTGCCGATGACGATCAACAAAGATGAGAATTAGTTTGTTTTTACATTATATTGTCATAGTTACAATTAACACATTAGATTTAACCGGTAAATAACAAGACATCAGACAGAATATCGATTTTCTTTCGAAATCTTTCTCATAGAAACATGCAATTCGGCTTACTATTCATTGACAAAATGTCTTGACAAGCTCGATCATTATGAATGTCTTTGTCGACAAGGTCATCTATGGAATGGATATTTATGTGTTGGTAAGAAGATTCTCTCTTAAGACAAAACATCGAGATTGATTTTTCTAGCTGACGCAGTGGATTCGCGACTTGTTTTCAACAGCAGTCATACTCCTACTTATATTGAACTTGATAGTAAACCATTTCCGCGAATATCAGAACTAACGATTTCGTTTTGGATTCGTCTTTGGACGAAAACTGATTCATCGCATCATACAATTCTTTATTATAAAACAGGTTTAACGTTCGAATCGATTTTGTGCTTCGTGTAAATCTTTGATTTCGAATTTCAGATGAATCCCTTCCAGTTCTACTTGTTTCGATCATCGAAAATGCTCGTTTACATGTCGAAATCTTAAACCATGTGTACGATGTTTCAATTTCGTTGATTCCCAACGAATGGCAACACATTGCAATTGCACATCATCTTTCTGGAAGTAAAGAGATCAGTATTCGTATCAATGGTTCGCCAGTCGTCACCTTAATTTCATCAAGAATCCTTCCACATGGACGACGAAAACAAACAACGATTTCCAGTGGTGGCGATTTCTTTGTTGGTCAAACTGCTCGTCCAAGAAACTTAACAAGAACGAGTACAGCTGGAGACATCGAATTCGATCATAAGCAAGCTTTTCGCGGCGAAATATCTTATTTAAATCTCTGGCAAAAGATTCTAACAGATTATGAATTGGATCAGCTCGCAGGTGATTGTCATAGGCAAAAACAAGCTTGTGGAGATGCAGTTAGCTGGATGGACTTTGTCAATGATATTAAAGGCGAGGTGAAAATTCATTGGCCATCGGGAGTCTCTGAACTTTTTGGTAAAAGGAAAAACTCGATGTTCTCTGTTTGATTAGGTTTTCTTTAGATAATTGTCCGACACAGCGATGGCTCCGTGAATCATGTGATAATTATTGTCGCAAACTGGATGGTAGGTCACGAGGATTGGCAAAGAAGGAATTCCTTCGAATTATCTTTTCATTTTAGGACCACATTGTAAAAACGAAAGTCAATTGAGTATTACATGGCCAAAATCTGTAGCTGGACGAAATGTTACTGAACCTTGTCCAGGAAATGCTAAAAACGGTAAAAAAACCGGACCTGAATCTTCTTAGATGGTCAACTCGAACGCTTTGTAGGAACATTGCATCGAACATGTCAACGAATCGAACAAATTGCTCGTTGGACACATGTTGATTATGACCAATGCATTCATCCTCTGATCAAGAAAATCGATCGAGAATTAGATAGTATTACATCGGACAAAGAATATATACTTGCACTCCGTGATCGATCTGCCTATCTTGCGGAAACCATTTCTACAAATTTAACCGCAACAGAATTGTACAGTTCCATTGATTTAATCTTACTTATCGAACAAATCGAACGATTAACTAACATTCTCGTAATAAACTCTTTTCAATTCATTTCCAATCCTAAATTCTCTTCGATTTTCAGATCAGTCATTTCGATAGTTTAACTCAATGGTACACTTCATCGTACGAATCGTATTATCTCGCTGATGTCAATGCCACGTTGTCAATCCATCAATACCTTTTAGAAACAATCTCGAACTTAATCGACGAAAAATATCAATCTTTTTGGAACGAAACACATCCATCCGGGAATGATTTTGTTCGTTTATTATCCTCATTACAACGTTTAACTTCGACAGTAGCTCAAGTTCTAACTACTGATAATGAGCAATTTCCTGGTAGTTCATTACATACATCAACAGCAAATATCGAACAGTCGATTGAAATTGTCACTCGACAACAACTGAATTCGTTCTCGTATGAAAATGTTCCAATGAATACAAAAGTTAGTTTTGCTCATACAAGAAAACCAATGCTTAACAATCGAACACTACTCATCTTTGATGAGAAAACAAACGGTAAAAATCGCTCGCTTTGCTTTTCGCAAAACGAAATAGATCTTCCTTCAGGTTCGACGTGGTATTCAGTGATAATCACAACTTTCCGTAGTGCTCATCTTTATATACCCAATCTTCGTCTAGGTAGAATTTCGAAGTATGATAATTTAAACAGTCATGTGATTTCAATCGATGTCAAACTTCGCAAACCGATTCAACAATCAAACCGTCTTTCCACATTGCTTCCCATGGACCATCACGTTCCTGTTTTAATCACTACGGATTACTTGAACGTAAGAAAATCATCTCTCGATTTGATGAATAGTATTTCTTTTTTCAAAATAGCATGATAATATATCGGATAATCAATGTGTATATCTCGATACAATAGATGCGTTTACCAATGGAAAATACAAGTAAATATTCGAGATGAACTCTTGTGTTTTGAGTGTGTTTGTTTAGAGCCACATTGACTCAGCAATGGAAATGGCAAAGTTTAGCATCGATCTGTGAAATGATTCCAACATCTCGGACTGATCAAACTTCTTGTTCATGTTTTATATCTAATGGAACATTTGCAGTAACAAGTGATATGTTCGATCCCAAGGTAAACGAGAATTCTTTCTTCTTTCGATCGTTCATTTGATTTTGATTGACAGTGGCGTGCACCTGAATCTCGACTGTATCTTTTTGGTCGATTCTCGTACATTGGCTCGTTCATCCATATCTCCTTTGCCTTGATGACATTGATCATGTTAAATTATCTTCGGTATTTCGACAAACATTTCATTTGTTCGACGCTTTTCTCGCATTTTTAGAACTCATTCATCTGCTGCATATATTCACAAACATTACGCATTCGTTCTGATCTGCGCTCAAGTCATTCTTATTCTAGCTTTCAATGGAATACCATTATCAAATTCGTATCTCTGTCGGGCTGTGGCTTGCACCACACATTTCTTCATTTTATCATCTTATTGTTGGCTAATGAATGAAGCATTCAATCTGTACATACAAATCACCTATTCTACACATCCAGCTGTAGCTGGCGCGAGCGCCACACTTTCCGAAGCAGCATCCAAGTATCGTTTTCTTGGAATGGGTTACAGTAAGACCAACTTTGACGGAAAATTTCATCTAGCTTACCTGAATTTCTCGGTTTAGTTTTACCATTTTGTATTGTGACGTTGCTGGCATCGATCAAAACTAAAACATATTTTATGGCGACTAAATTGGGCTTATGCTTTATTGATCTTGACGATTGGTTCAAGATCTATTTCATCCCAATAACAGGAATCATATTTGTAAGACTTTCTTCAAGGAAACTCTTTCGTTTATACGGAGATTTCGATGTTCGATAGATAACGATCATGGTGATGATCTTTTCTGCTAAACAACATCACGAAAGTTCGTATACAAAGAATGAAAAAGCGAATGAAGTGATTGTGTAAGTTTACTCGTATTTGAAAGTGTGAAAATATTTTTTCCAATTTGTAGAACATATACCGGAGGGATATGGTCACAGTTGTTTTTAATTACAGTCAGCTGGTCTTTGGCAATACTTCCTTATTTTTATGATGAAAGCATTCTTCAACTTTTACATGGATTTTTTAGTGGTTTACAAGTAGCAGATGTTGTTTACGTTTATTTCAAGATTGTTTATACTTTTTTTCTAGGGCGGTTTTCTCTTTCTTTCATTTTTTCTTTTCAATGACGAGGTAAAAGTCAATTCGTCTTTTCATTTCTATCTTATCTTCAAATAGATTCGTCGTCACTATCGTGATCGGCGTCGTCAACTACGTCGAATTCAATTAATGGAAATTCCATATCGAAACTCGATTTCGGAGTCCGAAGGACAACGCACATCCATTGTCGTACCTGCCGTTTCTTCTCATTTAGCCGTAGGCAAAGTCGCTTCATTGGCAACAGCTCCGTCTACGAAAGTCACATCTGTTGCTTCAGTTGTGTCAAATCTATTGAACCGGAACCGTTCATGTTCGACACGAAATTCTAGCTATGACGAAATGAAATGGACATTAAGAAACCAATCGTCCGAAGAAGTGATTTCGAATACTCAAGCGATCAGTAAAGACGACAAAGACTGTCGTGTAACTGTTGTATGAAAGCTTACGACGTTTTGTTGATAGATTTCGAAATAAAAGCCTATTCATCGAAATTTCGACGAGTTGTTTGTGTGTATGATTCACCTTCAGGTGTTCTTTTCTCTATAGAAAGTATAAAAGGCAACACGAAAACATTTGTAGTAAAGGACATGGCTGACGGGCACGATTTATTTCGTTCTTTAACTGATGAAGACAAAGAATTATTCGATTCAGTACGTGAATTCAAACGATTGGTCAATATAACTGTATATTTTTAGTACAAAGAAGCCATCGGTATTCAGATTCATGAAACATTTCCTGATATACCTGCGAATGTCGTTTTAAGACCAACGAGTATACGTCAGCAATTAGGTTGCGGTACATTCTATACGTATAAGGTAGTTATTTTCGAACCAATGTCAACAACTATTTTATACCTATTTTCAAGGTCATTCTACCTGACAATCAAACCCTTGAAATCTCTTTTCATTTGGGTGGAAAACGAGTGACTCCATTAGTCGGCCCCCCGCACTTTCAAATCACAAAAATCAATTGATCTCCACGTGTCTTCTTTGAATCAAACTGATGCGAGACAAACCAAAGCGCATTGATTTTGTTATCTTCATCATAGGTTTCAGTTTTGTCTCTATTTTTTTGTTTCTGTTTTCATCATCACAAAAGCTCATGGATAACAAAGACATAAACAACAAACAGGCACATACACACAAAGAGAAAAAATTTGAATTGAACACATCGAAACACAAGAGACAAGAAATAAAAAATAAACGTAAGTGAAGAAGAACCACAAAGAGGAAAGAAAATCATAAATCTTCTACATACATATTTGATATTCCAACGAAAGAGCGAAATCTCGTGTGAACAAAGAACAACAAGAACAGAACAAATGAGTCTTGAATTACCTTGGATGATATAGAAGTCAATGTGCTAATATATACATACAAACAATGACAAAGAACAAGAAACAGAAAATAGGATACAATGAAAAACGACCATCTTCATTCGAGAGATTTCCAAGCCTGAATAATGATGATGATAATCAAGGAAAAAGAAAACACCTTTTTGTTTTAATATGAACCACCAACCTAGACGAACAACGAGTTCTCGCATGTGTTTTTCGGAATCTTTTGTCACTTACTTGTTCTTGATAGACATCGATTGTATCATTATCCTCCATTTCTAAAAGTTTCGGTGTTTCATCATCGTTTATACGTTTACCATCAAATAGAAACCTAGAAAATTCGTATCGAATCAAAAAATGGGTATTTTCGTTCAACAAAGCAACTATTTACCGCAAACTACCGACTGCCACACCTAAACAAACAAGCTAAATCATCATCGAACTCTCTGAATTGTTCATACCTTGACGTTCAGCATAAGATTTCTTTAGTTTACCCATAGATGTTGTCATTTTTACCTTAAAATGAACTTCACCTAGAGAAAAGAAGATGAGTTTGAGAGAAAAACATGTTAATCTACGAACTGTTGTCTTGTCCAACAACTCTTAATTTGATGTATTCGTCAGTTTTGCTTGTATTATTGCTGTTTGTAGCATCAGCCGATGACATTGTCTTGTCTAAAAAGAGAGCGAAATGAAGGCGTTTCCGCTAAGTATACGCTGATTTTCACTCTTCGGATGTGAGTGAATGTGTATTGAGAATTTTAAACGAGAGATTTTTTGAGAAAAAGAGAGAAAGTGTAAAGAATGTTCGAGAAACTACTGCCGATTGGTCAGTTCGAATGAAATTCGAATCACCTATGCATTATCATTTCTAAACAGAGCTACTAGCAATGACAATGATCATCACAGATGACGCCATAAGCAGCCTCTACTAGCGACCTCTTTCTCTCATTCTCTCTCTTTCTTTTCTTTATATTTATTTAGCTATCACGTGTCATTTTAATGGAAAAAGAACTTCTTCTTGAGGGTATTTTTACGCTTGAGTTATTATTTTGTCCCATTAAATAACGAAATATTTCCTATGAAGAATTCGGCACACATTGCACTCTATGTTTTCCATCGATGACGCACACGAGTTCACATATAAATTGGAGATTAGTATTATGTTAATCATTTATTTTCTTCCTACACTTTAATTATTGATGAAGTTTCTTTTCGCAAGAAGAATGTCATCTTAAATATTTTGATAAAAAGTACTTTTGCGCTTACATTTTAATGATCATCAAAGTAGTAATCACAGGACACGAATGATAAAGCCATTCAAACGTAATGATCTTATGGAATTAGAAGGATTGTTGTAAAACATCATGGTAATCGAAAACATCGGAAAAGAAGGAATGATGTAATTCGAGAATTCTCAATGATCGAATAAGAAATTCAACATCAGAGTAATCTAATTTTTATATTTCCCTTCAAATTGTCATTGATTCAATTATGAACATCATGACCTATTACCGGAAAGCACATCGGAATAATACTCAGTGTGATTACAACCGAAAATATCATGTTTTGCTTTTACTGGTCTTTTAAATGAATTAGTTGATTAAAAACCTCCGACTTTCAAGCGAAGGAATTCTATTGAAAGAAAGAAACAATCGGAAATTGTTAAAAATAGGGCAATAACTGTATATCATGACGTATATAATGGAAGCTAATGTGACATTTTCCTGTTTTATAGAATTCAAATTTTACATTTGAACTAGCAACTTTCATACCTTGCATCACTGAAGTCTCCGCGAGATAAAATATAAAATAATCATGTATAAGTACTTTCACTAATGATTTTATTCAAGGATCTTTTAGCAAAATTTGTGCCGGTACAATATTCCTGATTCTATTTCAGTGTTTGTTTGTAAATACCTTATTATTTGCCGAGTCAATGTACAGGTCACATTGATTTCATCAACAACACATCCTTTCTGATATCAGACAATTTGTTCACGGTATTTGTTTGGCAAATCTCTATGAACATTGCTAAACTTCACTGAAAGCCAAAAAAACTTCACCATTTGTTCTCATTTTTCAAATACTAATCTCTAGATACTTTGACATGTATCGTTTATCTAATTGTAAACACCTATTTTTGGTTCACGATGTCAACCACATTGTTTTTACGTGATCTGCAAATATTGTTATCAATATTGACGATTATTTCTATGATTTTACATCATTATCCTGATTTTCACGAATGTAACAGATGTAACCGCTAATCCTCGAAATCACAACTTGTTCATCAAATATTGTTTTCCTAGTAACTAAAGGAAACATCAGTTTTTGTTTTGTACGTGTCAATCGTTGAATCCGACGAGTTAATCAACGGCTTTTCCATTCCTTTAGGAAGAAAAATAGCCACCCACGTAATTAACATAGTGGAATAAGCGAAGAGACAATGTTGTTCGAAAGAGAAAGAAAAAACTCAATGACGTCTTTCCTATTTTTCTTTCATATTGCTTTTGTGTTTTCTTCGGCGTTCTCTTCTCTCGTTTCACAATGAATCTTTAGTTCTGACGCCTACGAACGCTTTCCACCCACGTTCTTACCGCTCCGAGAAGAGAGAGAAAGAGAACGATCTCATTATTTCTGAACGCATAAGTTCGACAAGCCACATTCGCAATCACACGCACTTGTAAAACTTAATATGTACGTACAATTAACTTGATTCTTCTGTTGTTTTATATTAATCTTATTACATCCTATAGATATTCCATCATGCAAATCATCTCCTTCTGTCTATTCGCTCTTCTCTGTAGTTATTCATTGGTTATCGCTGCTCCTATTAAACCTAGTAAGTATAAATCTGCGAGTTATTGCGTGGACATAACAGTTCGAATGAATGTCTTTAGCTGTACCTGCGACACAAGATGCTAAACACCAAAAGGCACATGAAATTGCCAATCGTCTCTTGAAAGAACTTGCCGGAGGACATGTTGAGTCTGAAACACCCGCTCAATCATCAAACGACAAAGAGGAAAAAGAACATAAAGATGCTTCACTTCCAGCAGTCAATCGTCCAGTGACAGAAAAAGTGGAAACACATGTCGAAAAACCAGTTGTTGATGACAGTTATGATGAAGATAATCAAGATCTCGAATTAACACCAACACTCGATGATTTATACGAAATGTATAATAACAATTATCTTCAATTATATGATGATGATGAATCATCGGAAGTTATCGATGATGATGAAAACGAGGATGATGATGAAGATTATCTTCTTCCAATCAGTAGACAAGATCTTTTTAAATATTTAGACAATCAAGAAGAAAGTAGGTTCTTGCTCATCTGAATAGTCTAGTTTTGATTGAATTTTGTCTTCATAGATGAACATTTCACAAATGTTCCACATGAGGATATTATGGACGATACTGTAATGACCGCTGAAGATCATCAACGCCGACGACGTTCAATTTATTAAAGAACAAAATGAATCAACTATTCCGTTTTATTACGTTTATTGATAAAAATAATCATAACGAATCAATTCTTGTTTTCAAAACAACAAAAGAAAAAGAATAGTTACTTGAAAAATATCTATATTTTATTTTATTTTATTTGGTGTATATATAACGATCCGTGTCGTATCCGTTCTGTGAATTTGTCACAAACAAGTCATTATTTACAGAGAAGAGTTCGAATCCGAATAAATCTAACCTTGTTTTTGTTTTTCATACATTTACTCTTCATTACGACTGCTACGATAAACACGAAGAATGTCGTCGACGGGTGCGCGACAAACTGGACATTTCATGCGAGTGCTTGAGCTTGTTTCTCGGAGATTCAAACCACATGTATAACAAACGCAAAGATGTCCACAACGATAAAGTACAGTATCAGCAATCTCCGTTAAACAGACAGTACACTGACCAGCATTGACAGGATGACTTGATGGTACTGTTGTTGTTGTTGTTGCCGAAGTGCTTGCAAGTGAGCTAGCAACTTCTTGACGGAGCATTCTTTGCATGTCCATTTGCATAGAGTACATTAATCGTAACATGTGTTGCATGTCGTCGAGACGTGTCGATAGTTCATTGATTGATGACGAATTCTATTAGAAATTTAGATGAAAAACTTATAAACATGTAATTTGAATATCTACTGTTGACGTCTGAACTGTTGATCGAACGTGTAGAGGAGATGTGGGTTGAAAGTGTCGTGTTTGAGCAATCGGTGCTGCTTGTTCATTGAGTGTGCCTCGTTGAAATCGAGTCTATGGAGAATAATGTCAAGGAATATTGTGCTAGTAAATCCAACTTACCAAAACATTGTGTTCGAGATGCGTACGAAAGTCACTTTCGAGAGCGCTGCTTACTAATTGTCGATGAACGAGATCGCTGATCTCGACAACAATCATTTCCCGTTGTAATTGTGTGATAGTTTGCCAAGCTTGTAACTCACGTTCTTGTCTATAAACATGGAAGTAATAAAAACGTGCAAAAAACAGTGAATATGTCATACCTTTCAAGATTCAATGGTTCATGCACTGTAGGTGAAATAATTTGAGTAGGTTGTTGTTGTCGTCTGACTGGTAACGTAGGAAGGGCTTGTCTAACTTGTGACTGCTGTGGTGAAACCGGTGTGGCTGGGAAAATACGTGACATAGATGGTGCGGGTGGAATTTGTGATGTTGACGCGTTTGCTCGTGGTTGAACCGAACGTCGAATAGCATTTTCAAGATCTTGACGAAAAGCAGTACTTCGTAAGGCAGATGTCACGCATCCACGATCGGCTAATGCATTAATATCAGCTAAATGAGCACTGGGAGCAGCAGGTTGCGTCGATGGGGTCCTTTGTTCTCGTTGTGTTTGAATACTATTTAGAAATGTTTCAATTCGTTCACGATTGAATTGACCCGTCACTGGACGTTCGCCCAAACGCAAATTTCGTAGTTCGTACATCACTTCTACACGTTGTCGATCAACAAATCGTGTGAATGCATCGGCTTCTACTTCTAATATCGAGCGAGTAATATCTTCTTCACTTCGGGTACTAAAACTACATTCTGATTCACAATCGTTATCTTGAACAGTAGTTGTAATTGGTTGTTTTTGTTGTTCATCTGAACAATTCAAAATCAATTACACTTAAATCTGTTGAAATAATTTGCTCATACCTTTGCTTTCAATCATGGATTTTCCAATTTCTTCTGCAGAAGAAGTAACATTCAAATCAGTCACTGAAGTATCTTGGCTTGCCATTTGTGATATAAGTTTGGTTTTCGTTTATTAACTATCAAATTTCACTCGACCAGATGCCTTTATAAGGAAACGACCGAACACCTATTTGCTCAGAAATCTTGCACAATAGATAACCTATATGAATCACCTATTATCTTGTTTAAAGGTCCGATGACATGTCACTCAATAGTTGTGACTCATCTATAAACATTTCTAGAGGAGAACAAGTCATAAAACACTTCAAAACACCTTTTACAAGCCTAGAAAAACTTATCGACCAAATTGAAATGATGAAATAACAAATAAATTCTGAGTCACCGGTTAATCAGCGAAAGATAACCTTTTTACAAAACTGCTGACCGATTAGGCGGGTAGTCTTCTATTATTTCGTATTGCATATCATCTTTGGCATGAGCAAATTTTTTTCTCTTCTACTTCTGCATTGACTATGAAACGTCATTCGACCACGAATGAACTCTTTTTATCACCCGTCATTCATCATCGGAAACAACGAAATCTACTTGAGCAGGAAGCTTTCAATCAAAATCAATTCCTTCTTTCAAAATATCAACGAAAACAAACACATTCATTATCATCCTCCTCATCATACACTTCATTAGATTCTTATCTGAAAGACTTTCATCTTTCTCGCGAGGATTTTCTTCAATTACGAAAAGCACTTCATACTGTCTTTCAATATCTCAGACATAATCATCTTCTGGAACATCGTTTAACGAGTCCGTACTTGCAAAACTCTGAACAATCATCTTTTCCTTTGTACACAAATGAACATTTCATTCGTAATGGTTTATTAAACCATAACGATCGCCCAGAAAGTCGTCATACTCACTTTCAATCAGATTCATCACTATCGTCCGTGGCAATATCCCCTGTAAATCTCACTTTACCATTGACACTTCTTTCGAATCGACAGTATCTCTTCAATGCTTTAACAACTAATTTCATCAGCGACACATCCCGACGAAGTCAATCTATTCTGACTTTTCATCCGAAAGACAATGAAAGGGAATCAATTGTTCTGCGACGTAACAAAGTACACGTATGGAAAAGAGATAATCTGTTTGAACAAAGCTCGTCGATTGTCGAAGAGAAAAGACAAGTTGACGGGCTTGAGGATCATCGAACATCATCAACAAGTCAGACAACGTCGCAAGAAACATGCAGTCACAATGTTGAAGAAGAAAAAAACAAAAATCTTGCGGGAATGATGATTACTGATGATTTATTTCCGATGATAAAAACACTTGGTAAGAGATGATTGACAAAACTTTGTCCTCAAAGTCCATCTTGTGATTTTCTTAGCTCCGTATATTGTCATTCAAGATACGAATGCAAAATTGTTCGCAACTAAAAATATCACTACCAGAACTAATGAAAAACGTAATCAACCTGTCAATCATCGACTGACAGAAAAGAAAAAACAATCGGTTTGTCGTTCGGAAGGTCTCCGAACTAAACTTTTTTCTCTCAACGATCAATCACGTGAAAAGAAAAGAAATTATTTACTTGACGAATTTGCATCTGTTTTAACTCACATATCTAAAAGATAATTTCTAAACAATTAGAATTTTATTCATAATAATCTACACAGAAATCATCTATTTTCTCCAAGAAATTTCGTATCAAATCCAAAACGCCAATCATTTCGCCAGATTTTTCAACATATTTTCCGTTAATTTAAACTTTTGAACTTTGCCAGTTGGTGTCATGTATGGAAGAAATGATTCGATAACATTGATGTATTTAGGTACTTTGTAAAATGCTAACTTTGTCGCTGAAAATTCTCTGATTTCTTCGACATTCTCGATTTTCATATTTACTTTCGGTTTCACCCATGCGCAAAGCACTTCGCCGTATCGTTCATCAGGAATACCGAAGACTTGCGCTTCACCAATATTCGGATGTTCTAGAAGAACATTCTCTACCTCAACAGGATACACATTCAAACCACCAACAATGATCATTTCCTTTTGTCGTGTTCGATAATAGATAAACCCATCTTCATCCATTGTACCAATATCACCGGTTCTCAACCAACCAGATGAACTAATAGTTGCACGTGTTTTTTCTTCATCTCCGTAATAACCTGTCCAGATAAGAGAGATACAATGAATCAGTAGAGAAACAATCGTTACCTTCCATCAAATCAAAGCCACGAGCACAAATTTCTCCTTCTTCGCCAATTGGTAAAATTCGATCGTGCGCATCGATAATCTTGACTTCCATTCGAGGCATTGCTTTACCAACCGACTCATAACGGTGTTTCTTATTGTTGTTATCCGCATAGACGCTCATAACCATAGCACCTGTGTTTTCGGTTTGACCATATGCTTGGGATATCATGTGAATGGGAATTTCCCGTTCTAAACGTTGCATTAGTATCGGATTGACAGGCGCAGCTCCAATAACACCAAATAGCAGTGAACTCAAATCAAACTCTTTTCTTTTCGGATGATTGAGCAGGTCTAGAAAGATAACGGGTGGCCCTATTAACGCAGTGCATTTCTCCTCCTGTATCGTCTGCAGAGTCTCAAGAGTATCGGGTAAGATTGTTGGAAATGTTGTGAAATACCCTGGTGCATTGATATTCAAAGTACCTGCAACTTCACCAAAGATATGAAATGTAGGTATTGGACAGCAAACACGACTCATAAATGCCGAGTTATGACAATAGTAAAGTGGCACACTACTATTCAACCTAAAAAAGTTAACTGCGCATTTTTTTTGAACGTTATTTCCCTTGCCTAGGACTTACAGATTTAAATTGGTCAGTGTCGCTGCTTTAGGTTGGCCTGTTGTTCCTGAGGTATAGAAAATAGCCACCGGAGTATCACCGTTCATGAGCGATTGACGTTCAACTCGTTCCTTTTGCTGACGTCCAGCACCTTTATTTATAAGGTCAGTATACAAATGCACACCGGTTGGTACCTTTGTCGTTGAGTTATCACCCGGTGTCAATATTACATGTTTTAATGTTGGAAAATTTTTCGAATTCAATTCACCTTTGCTTTCATTTAGTTCAGGTATAATTTGATTTAAGATTTGAATACAATCGATTGTTCTTACATTCGATCGAAAAATCAATCCTTTACAACCGACTTTGTTAATGCAATAACTTAATTCTCGTTCTCTATAAGCAGGATTGATATTTACCTATAAAAAATTCGAAGCTTCTAACAAAAGAAATTGCTAAAACTTACCTTAATCAATCCCACTTTTGACACTGCATAAGTCATCGCGCATTTTTCTGAAGTATTTGGTAGCCAAACACCAATTCGATCTCCTTTTTCAAAACCAAGTTCGATAAGAATGGTGGCGAGACCATCAACTTCATCGAGAAATGATTTATAAGTATATCGTTTATTTCCTTCACTTTTAAACGCATAACATTCATGATCAGGATACGCTTGTGCCAATCGATCTAAATGTTGACCGAGTGAATGATGCAGAAGTGGAATGTCCGAAGGATGATGATAGTAACTCTGGGTCAGTTTAACATTTGGAAAAGCTAATCGAGTATAAGAGGATGTTAGACGTAAAGATTGGGCGTGGAACACAGTACGCCATGATTGAGATAAGAAAAAAGCTCGCGAGGATCGAATTAACATTGTAAAAGGCTAAAATAATATGAAATATATCTGTAAAAAACTGTTCTTTTCAAATAAGATCAAGATATAGGATGTGCGAATCGTATCAGTCGAAATACAACCGAATATTTACTTAAGAATCCGTCGGCAACGAACAGAATACGAAAAAAGTGACTATCGAAGTTTAAAGCATGTGATGATACTGAAAAATACTTAGACTTGCACGCTTTAACTTTCGTATGTAAAATCGCCTACTATCGTTCTTCTCTTTCCTGCATTTTATAGATAAATGAAAGCCCATAGGCAACATATTCGTTGTCTATGTGCACTCCCAGTGTAACGACTAACTAGTTAAGTAGCTGACCGCTTCTCACGGTATAGATGTTTATTGACTGCTCTACATGACCAGAATGTATCTACTTCACAGTAAGTCACACGCTTATATAGAGAAGAGAGACAGAGAGAAATGACCCGGAGATGGTATGATATAGATGTGAGAGAATAAAGAACAGAAAGAGATGAACGATATCATTATCGTTACATCCACTGTTCTAACTGGTCGTTTTAGCCTATTTTACACAGTCAGTCTCACTGTTCATTTAGAAAGGTGGAATCTATTTTTGATTTTCTGTCATTATCGAAATTATTGAAACATATCTCACAATACTGACATATTTCAAATCAGTCGATGTCAATCTATTGTTCTACACATCATTAATCATATACAAAAGGATAGTGATCGAAAATTGAATTCTCCTATTATTCTGTCGAGATTTTCCAAGAACAAATCCAACTGAGACTATTGTCATTCATTCTTTATTTACTTTATCAATAAGAGATATATCAAGAAATATAGAAATATTTGTCTAGTTGAATATTAGTACCAGGTTCTGGGGCACGCACACACATGAATACAAAACAAAATAAAGAACAAAACAGATTAAATGAAAGAGATTGACATAGTTGGAAGAAGGCTATTGAATAAGCAGCTATTGAAGTTTTGCATCAGGATGTCCTACAAAAAAAAACAATTAGATGGAAAAAGAAGAAAAAAAAAGAGGATTCAACGTACATATCACCAAAGATTCCTGCGAATGTTTTCTTCAAATTCGCTAAGGTATCTTCGGATTCATCTTTATTGCCGGTCTCTCCTCCCTAGAAAACAAAACCAGAAGAGAATTATGATGAGCAAATTCATCTTAACTTACATCAGTCAGATTCGATGTTTGTCGACGAAGAGTTTGTCCAATATTTCCCATCCATTGCGATGGAGTTGAACGAGTTGCATGAGAAACATGAGCACTACTATTATTTGGATTCGTATTTGTCGATGGATTGTAAAATGGATTCTGAGTCACCGTTGGTGACGGTTTATTATCATTACTAGTTGAATTTCGAGGAACATGAGGTAATTCTCGACGATTATTGTTAGGTGTTGCATGAGATGGTGCAGATTCGGTCATCGGGGAAGGCATTTTACTAGTTTTAGATAATTCAGAAGCTGGTTGCTCAACGCTTGGTATTCGTCTAAAGAAGAAATTTCATTAGGAAAATCGATCTCGCACATCGTGAAATGATGTTTCTTACGTCATGACTGTCGGATGTTTATCGGGACGACAGTAAATTTGCATTTTGTGCATGACAAGTTCAGCAATCGAACGCCGATCATCATCTTGTGTCTCTCCTAGCAATTGCATACAACAATCATTGATCTAAACATTCAATATGAACTTCCGAAGCACAAAACGGATCGATTTTTTTCCTACCTGAACAATATATTCTTTTCCATCTTTGGATTGAACAATTTCCACAGCACAAATATCCAATCCACCGAATAGTTGACTGATTTCATCGATCCACAATCGATATCTACTCGAGAATTTAATTCAACTATGAGAATCAATCGATAATCCAATTCTTACCTGTCAGTCATTTCAATTTGTTCAAGCATTGCTGAGCCTGTATTTGCTTTCCAATTTCCTGTCAGTGATTTTCGTCTAAAATATACGTAAAAATCAGCATGTCAAATTGGCTAGGAAAACTTCTAATGGAAAGCAAACAATCGAAGTGCTTATTTCTAATCGTGCATGTCAATAGATGAACAGACTTTCTTCGACTTACATGAACGCTTTGTAATATTGTCCGATCTTTTGGATGTAAACATCACAGCGACCATCAATGTATGGTTCAACAGTTGAATAGCAGTTACTAATAGCGACAACACTGGTTAAATCTTGAAAATCGTGCGCATTATCGATTTTAATCTGACAAAGAGAGCAAAATAAAACGAAGGATGAAGAAGGAAAAAGAAATATACTTTGCCAAATCCTTGATGAGCTTGACCGACTTTTACAACAGCTGGAAACTGTGTTGAAACAAGCTGAAAAGCAAAACAAGATTCGTACAGAATATTTTTATATCACAATGTCTGACCATTTCTCGATAATTTGGATAATAAGCTTGACTAATCAACGGAAACTGATCTGCACCTAGACGTCGTTGAATATTCAGCAATTCTGCAAACTACAATCAAATTCGTCATTCTTTACAGAGGATCAAACATTGAATTCTTACAATCCATGGTTTATCTCGAAAATTATACAGCGCTTTCATTGAATTAACACCCGGCACAGCTCCATACTGCAATCCAAGGATAATATTCGTCCAATCAATATTAATATCACGAATATATTGTCGAACAAGTACAAAATCCGGCCGAAATGATCTAGAAATCATCGCATAGAGATCGTTAATTGGAACATCCTGATTCTTACCGAACGACACGCGTTCCATTTCTATGAATATTAATATCAATCAATGTTCCCGCATCGGAATAAGCTGCTAGATTGATATCTTTGAATTCAGCCTAGAACACAAACAACATGGGAAAATAAAAATACGTATTAATAGACTAATTTTCGTTTTAATCAACTAGGACCTGTTTGTTTACAAACGAATAGATAATATATGGGAACGACTACCGATTCTAATCATCATTAAATGAATGACTCGAATGAGAAAAACATATTTATAGACGATCACTATCATGAACAACATCAAAATACGTAAACAACATCGAGATGAAAGGCAAAACCTGTTCAACGCGAATATCATAATCAGCGAAGATTTTCTTGCCCTTGAAATATTTACTCCTAAGAGAATTTTCATTCGATTAGACTAGAAGAATTGATTGAGATTTACCAATCGGTATGTTGATCATCGATGACTAATAACAATTTACATTTTTCTTTGGATATTTCCTGATGATCACGAATTTGATTGGAATAGTAATGCGATGGCTGATGAGATATTGGCAATCCACTTGTTCCAGCTTGTTGATGTGGAATCTGTTGAATAGCTTGATTAACAACACCACGTGCTACGCTAATAAATTGATCAGCGAATGACAGATTTCGAGTTGGAGAACTCGGAGCACTTGTGTATGTTGATGATTTGCCTTCCCAACCGGATTGACGAGTGACACTACTTTGTGTTGACATATTCGAATGAGGTTCTGTTGACGTTGGCATTGTCATGACACTTTCATCATGTTCACTTTGAAGATCTCCGGAGGAGAAACGTCGTTTCAAATAGTTCATCATCGTTAGAGTTTATTTCGCATTATTCAACTAGTTGTAAATTGATCTAAAAACTACAAAAGCGGAGTAAAAAAAAGGAAAACGATATGAAAAAAAGAAGAAGAAGAAGAAGAAGAAGAGGAAAAGAATTTTTTAGTATTACATGTCAGATTGTCAACGTTTCTTGTCGAGAAAGGAGTTGATTATATTTTTCTCCTCCTATGTCTTTCTTCTTTTCTATTCATACTACGACCATTGACATGCAGACATTCTCATTCTCATGATGATTCAATTCTTTCGTCTATCATAACATAACACAACACAATAGTCTAATTGTTTACCGAAAAACGACGCTTTCCTTTTTAGAAATATCATGTTTAGAAGCCATTGGAAAGCTTTAGGAAGGAATCGACTATTAGTTCTTCTAGTGATTCGTGAAGAACAAGAAGAGAAGAACGAAGAGAACATTAAAGAACAACATTAGCAGTGCATGACCAAAGAAATCTCGCCGAAAAACAAAGAATTCATTGGAATTCAGTTGGTTTCCTGTTCTATGTTAGAAAAGCTGATGGATGTCGAGTGGAAAATGTCGATAGCCGTTGTCAAGATCTAGTTAGAGTGCTAGACATGCAGGAACGAGAAGAAAAATGGTCAAATCGATCGAACTAGTGTTTGCGGTTCGTGGTATCCGGGGATTTCCATGCAATAAATCAGAACGTGCTTTAAACGAAAGAGAAATCGTTCAACTAGTGATGAGCGAAGCATATCAAGTAAATGCGCAGCGTCTATGCTCAAACATAATTCAACAGATTGTAGTTGAAGGAAAAAATCTGCCACGATTTTCTTTTCTTATCGATCTGAACGGCAAAAAAACAGAATTCTACGGAAGACGTGAGTATAAAAAAAAAGACAACAACAGTGATGGAAATGGTAGACATACGGAGACCACAAAGATCTATGTCTTTCCCTCCTCCTCGCACTCTCTTCTTCCCGTTTGTATGGCGCACGAGTTCTGTGAAAAAGAACAGAAACACCCGACGGAAGATGGAGAAATAGGAGAGGAAAAACGCATGCATGCAGAATGTAAAAAACGTTCATTAGTTCGCAACTTGACGCACGAAATAACAGGAACAGATGTCGCCGATAAACGAATTTTTTCCCTGTGAAATCATTTAACAAACTATTGAAAAGATCTCTCATCGATTCGATTTGTTTCCCATTCATTTGAACATTGTCGTTTTCTTTGCCCTATCTTTAGTCACGTCGCTTGACGCGTGATATCATCGAATACACGTTCGTTACGCTGGATGAAAACACTGAATACGGTAGAATTCAATTTCCTCCAGTAGAGTATACAAGGCGTTCGAATTTTAATGACAATTTTTGTTCGCATTTTCATCAGGAAGCGACCTAGACATTTGATATTTCTCGACTACTGACAAGGTGATTCTACCACCTTGTCTTAACGTGCATGAACATGACACTTATAACGCTTCAATTTAGGCTTTCACATGTTTCGCAGCATGATAAATAATTATTATTATCGAAAGACATCCATCACGAAAAGAAAGAGAGAGAGAGAGAGAGAGAGAGAGAGAGATAGAGAAAGACGGAACAGTAATTACTTGTCGTATCGTTAATGCAAACCACAAACTCATGTATTAGATACAAAGTAAAGAGCGACGAACGAAATAAAAAAGAGAGTCAAGGCAAGACATGATAGAAAAAGGAACGGGCCCACTGATGCATAACGTACAGTAAATTGAATAGGAAAAAAACCTTTAAGAAATTCAGTAGACAAAATAAGTGCCAAGAGTGTTTGATTAGTGTAAAACAAACTGGTTGTGACTTTTTGCTCTGCACATATCGAAAGATACCTAGGTCGTTGATGTTTTACATTGTCTAAGGATAGTTCTACTATCGAATTGATTATTATAGATTACCATTGGTGTAGTCATATTCTACATATTCTTTTCAAGGAGATCATCACTTCAATCATCTTTATTTCAAGGTAAGCAAAACGAGTATAGAGAAAAAGACAAGTTTTGTAGTGTGAGATGTATTCGATGTAAATCCTAACAGAAAGAAAATATTTGATTAGAAAAGTTGATTATCCGACAATCCTCTTTTCTTTAGTTTATTTCCTTAAATAATCCACAATGAGTTATCCATATGCAGTTACGCCCTATATGCAGTCAACTATCGCTCAAGCCATGCAAGCAATTGTATCTGGAGCTCCTCTACCCCCGAACTGTTTCGTCGTCGCTATTCCCATGCATCAAGCACAACAATTACTGCCACAAATCATGTCAAGCTATGCAACCAATATGGCCAACGGTGTGATGATGTTCTCCCAACAATCTTCATTCTACGGTTTACCATATTCTCCCAATCCTCCATATTCTCCAAACCCTCCATATTCCGACAATAGTCAATCCAGTGCATTGGTACCTTACAAGAACTATTATTCACCGAATTATAATTCGAATTATAATTACCCGCTTGTACCTTATAGTGGTGATTCTGATAATAAAATGAAATCGAAGAAAACGCGTCAATGTCGGAACAAAAACGGCAGACCTCATGCGAATGTTTACAATTCATCATCGTTTGATTCATACATGCGGAATTTAAGTTGGAGTCGTTTATTCGAACGTCATCATAATAAGGACCAAGCAACTGATCAAGCTGCGTTAGGTTATGATCAAAAACCGACTCCACCGAAAAAACAACGCGCCCAATCTGCGAATTCATCGACATTATCATCTTTGACATCATCGTCGTCGTCTTCTTCGACCACAAGTGATGAAACTATTCGACGAGTCGATGTTTCCACTAAACAATCCAATGGAACAACATCATCGTCGAAACAACAAGTGAAAAGTAGTTTACCATTTAAATATTCATCGGAATTCGTTCCGGGTACGGATAAAGAGCAAAGTTCGAAACCGAGAAAGGAATCGAAAGTTAAGATTGATGATGTTTTCGTCGTCAAGAAGCCTCCATCAACGCCTCCGTCAACTTCTCAATAAACAATGCACATTCAAATAATAAAGGGAAAAACGGAAATTTTCTTCTTTTCCTTGTCGAATTTTTTTCATTTTTTCAATAAATTTTTCACGGTTTTTTTTAGCCTTTTCACTCTTCATCCTTGACTATAAATATATTTTCAAAAAAAAAAAACTTTAAATATGTTGATATATAAGTATATAAAGAGTCACCAGGAACTTGATACAAAGAAAACAACTGATAATCTGACGAAAAGAAGAATTTGTACATTAATATCTCGTGTCTTTCTTCTTCTTCTTCGAAATCAATTCATCGAAAATATTCCGGCGGAATCGGAATGGACAATTGTGGACTTGTCTGTTCAGGAAAATGATGGAGACGAAAGCGTTGATTAAATTGTTCGAAAGTATTCGTTTTCTTTTGAGGAAATTGAAGAAGACGAGCATTGGAACTTTGACTTCCTCCATCAATATCAATAACCATCCGCGTATGTTTTAAAAAGATAAGATAATCATCGGATTGATGATTCACGCGTTCAAATGTAACAGTCTGATAAGGTGTGCGAACACCCATCGAACGGCAAAGTACTATCGGAGCACATGGAGTGGGTGAACCACTAAGAAGAAAAAAACAAAATTCACGGAAATTTCTCGAAAGTTTGACGTTTTACTTATGGACGGTGAGAACGAGACCCGTTAAATGATGCCGAATGATGTATTCATGGTAGCCGATATGTTGAATTTCAAAGACTTGAGTTTCTCCATCATTCTAAAGAAGCGATCAATTCGATATATGAGATAAAAATCAGTTAGTAAACAAACCTGTAAATTTTGATCTTGTTGGACTAAAGTTGAACGTTCAGGTGTGAATGTAATGAATTTTCCTGAATGAATCGCTTCAATTAAATACAATCCATCGGGTATTTGTTCACTCTAATTAACGAAAAGCAATCAACACGATGATTCTGATGAGAAAAGTAATTATTCCTACCGCGAAATACCATTGATCATGCATGGTAAAAACGATGAAGTAAAAGTACGTCGAAACGATGATGTTTTTTACTTCAGTTATTTGTGTATGTATGTGTGTCGAGTAATACGCTCCTGCAGTTGCGTATTTGTTTTTGTTGTTGCTGCTCTGACTGTTGTCGGCAAGATGCAGCGTGTAGGATGACGAAGAATGAATCGTTCTCTTAGTCGTCGTAACAAACAGGCAACACACACTTCAGTTACGTTCACATCATCGTCAACGCGATGGTTAGAAAAGAAAGAATGATGAGAAACACAGAAAAAAAAACAACGTGTTGAATGTTCTTTTGACAAGAAAACAAATCTAAATTTCAACAGTAGATTTGTCTTCAGTGAACATAGAATATTAGCGTGTTTGTTTCTCTGTATGCTATCTCAAGGATACAGTAACTAGAAATGACTCAGACTAACTTGCTTGGAATATGTATATGATACTAAATTTCTCTTTTTCTTTATCTATCATAGCACGCGACTCGATGACGACGATAAACTTTCTCTTATTCTTTCGCGTTTGCCCTTATCACAGTAGAGAAAGAAAAGAAAAGAATATAGAAGCAAAAGAAATCAAAGTACATAGAAAAACTGATTAGAATATTATTGACTCTCACCTTGAAATATACATATACAGATTTTTATGACATTTTAATTAATACATCGAATATACCGCTGTCTAGCGGATAGTTTAACGATAATGAGAATCTGTCTTTCATTTTCTAATGTTCACATGGATATAAAATGAATATTACTCCTTGTCGGTACATAAAATTGATTGTTGGTCAACTCTTATATATGCAATTAGAAGACCTTGAACGAATTTTTATAATAAAATATGGATTCGAATGCTTGGAGAATCTCTTCAATTGACAGCAGAATATAAAGTCCTTGAAAGTCTGAAATATACACATTCGATTTTCACGACTGGTGTCGAAGAAACGACTGAAAGATCTACAAAAAAATGCCTTTTTCTGTCAAGCAAAATATGTTGCTAAAAGGTAGATTATATTGAAACTTTGAACTTTCACTACTGAGAGAGGATAACTTCTCCCATCGAGAAGTGTTGTACTTATGAATAAAATAAATAACTGCAAAATATTATTCTTACATTGATAGAAAAATCTCGTTTCTCTCTCTCTGAGTTAACTGATCGAGTTAGGCTAATTGTCTCTCCTTTTTTTCAAGGTTTAAACATATTTTTCATCAAATTTTACTGAGACCACAGCACGACAAGTTATAATCGGTTTTTCTTCTTAGAAATATGTCAACAAATTATATTTATTTCACTTTTTCGCTCCGCAAACGGTGACTGTTGAATGATTAAGTGCAAAATTTCATCTCTGACAAACTTTTCGAGAACTTACTCTCAAAGTACTTTCATCGGACGTCAATTCGCCAACGGGAATTCTTTTTCTAAGTTTTTTTCCTGTTAGTCATCGATCGATTGCGAATACAAAGAATGTTTCATAGTAAAAAAAAACAATTTTTTCTCCGTAGTTGTTTGCAGATCTCCCTGCTATGCAAAGCATTTGTTTGAATGAAAGAAAATAAAGGTTTAAATGTTTTTCTTACCAATGATTTTTCTATAATATAGTTTCGCATGTGTATATAATACGCGAGTTTCGATGTATGCATAAGTAGCACACTTATCTTTCGTAAAAACAGACTTTTTGTTTCATCTTGTACGTTTGAACACGTAAGTGAAACTAGTTTTGTTTTTTTTTGTCAAAAATACCAACAGTGCATCAATGAAACTGACCGGCGAAGACAGTCTGACGTTTAGCGAGAGCGTAGCGAAGAATTTTTTTCAATGGTAACTGCGTACAAATAAGGTTTCAATAAAAAAATAGAATCAGTCAGAAGAACTTGAGGTAAATATTAGTTTTATTATATTCCTATTGGAGTTTAACTTGATTCCAGCAAAAACGAAGCAGGGTGTTTTTTTTAGATTCGATGGATGAATACCTGCTTTCAGAGAACGTAATCTAATGGAATAGAATCAATGAAGAAAATGTCCCTTTTACTTGGTAAATATGCAGATGAGATGAGAAAGGAGTCATTTGTTAGGAAAGAAATTTTCAAGAGATCGAAATCAAATATGCGATATTTCAAGGTGAAAATATATAAACAAACGCTTGAAATTCGTCCGAGAGAATGATTGAAAAAGAATTGAGAAGAAAAGTCTTCTCGTCATTGAGTCTTATTGACGTTCAATATTTGTTATGAAAAGAAAAAAAAAGTCTGGTCTATACAAACTTTGAGATTATATTGATCGGTATGTTTAAAAGGTTTTACAATTTGTTTCAAATACAAATTTCTTTCTTTCTTTCTCTCTCTCTCTCTCTCTCTCTCTGTCTTCTTTTTTTCTATTCTCAGAGATTACGTTTCACAATGAAGAAATGATTGAAATTGAAGTATGTTGTCATCGGTAGCGAAGAAAGACTGAGCTTTGTATTTTCTATCTACGTTGTTTGCCATACGCAAGGTTGGTTCACCGATCAATGCAACAATTTCTTTTACTTTCAGATTTTTCTATCCGGTGATCATTGATTGTAGAATCTGTTCAAAATGGTTTCACGACGAAACCTTTTCGCCATAGTCACCATTCTTCTATGGACGGTAAACAATTAACGATGAACTTTACACTTCTTGTGAAACAATCTTTGTTTGTTTAGACATGTTTATGTGATCACGAATGTAACAGTACAATTTCAAACTCATCAGAAATGATTTTGACATGTTTATCAACGATTTCATATGAAGAATTGCCGTTGTATAACTATACAACAAATCAATTAGCGAATATAACATCGATTGTTGTCAATGGTTTGAGTAGCAATACGACAGGACCGTTTACATCGATTCCTCCGAATCTTTGTTTATTACCGAATTTAAAGGTAAGTGAAATCAATTCGTTTGTGGTAAAATGAAAGGAGAAATTCGTTTTTAGAGCGTCGATTTTTCCAACAATCTCCTGCAACGTGTGGACCCGACTAATGCCTTACAAAATTGTTTGACAGGTGTTGTTGATTTCGATGTTAGTTACAATAGTATCACCGAATTTCCATCGACGACGATCTATAATATGGGCAATCTACAATACCTGTATTTTCAACATAATCAACTATTAGAAGTGCCTGGCTATGCCTTTCGCAGCATATCAAATATACAAGAAATGGATTTTTCGTATAATAATTTAACCGCTTTCGAATTATGGGCTACACTTGTTCAAAATCGTTCGGATTTCAGTTATAATCAAATATCGACGATTACAAATAAATATTTCTATCAAATGCCTGCTGCAGTTTCTTCAGGTAGATCACGAATCTTCTCTCTAATTGGCAATCCATCAATTAATCTCACTGACGCCATTTACGAAATGTATAATTCATGCGATGAAATTAACAGCTTTCTCATCCAGTCAAACGGTAGTGAACCACCAGGTTTATCCTACAATTTATTGTTTCTTGAATTTGGTACCATACGAATCAACTGCAGTTGTCAACAGTCGTATATCAACCAGATGTTAAATTCATTTCTTGGTGGTGTACCGAATGTAGCAAGTTTGCCCATACACAATGCAATTTGTTCGAATGGCAGTCGATTTATAGATAACACTTGTCCTGAGGGTACTGAAATAGTCAATTCATCAGTTGACTTTTCAAAAGTATATCCAAGATTATGTAAAGTTTATCCCAATGAAGCTGGCAGTATTATGAATGTCACAAACACCACGATACCTACATCGAATCCGGTAAGAGAAAGGTTTTCAGTGAATCAAATTACCAGTGTATAATATTTTCTAGGCAACATATCCATATTATGTAACTGAATTAATGAGTCCTGGAGCGTGTTTCTTTGCCTTCTCGACTTCTGTATCCGCCAGAATTCGATGCACAAGTGATCTGTCAACGAATTCAACGATTCCATCGAGTTTATTATCGAGTTCATATTTATCAAATGTAACGAAAATAGATTTTGCCAGCTCAATTAGTTCTTTACCGTCATACTTATGTTCGTTACCATCGCGTGAAATCGATTTAAGCAACCAGGCATTTACAACATTAACCGATGGTACATTTCCATGTTTAGATTGGTTTCATACCGTCCGTTTAACTCACAATCAATTAACATCAGTGAATATGAGCAGTGGGAATTTCACAAATCTCTCCGTACTCGACCTCTCATCGAATCGACTTCCAATCATTCCTTATTCAGCACTTCATCCAACCCCAACATCATTACGTTTACTCAATTTAAGTAACAATTCCATCACTTCAATCGATCTGTATGTTTATACATTGAAAAACATCACCGTCGATTTGAGTAACAATCCAATTAATATGTCAAGTATTATCAATACACAAAATGTGACGTTTCCATCCCAGAACACATCGGTGACCATCATTTTGCCTTCGTCAACGAATAGTACCTACGTTTTCAATGACCAAACAGCATTCAACGCTGGAACATGCACACGCGATTCCGTTCTCACGTATCGAACTACCCTTCAAACAATCTATTCGAACGTCGTATTAGATTGTTCATGTGCCTCGATAAACTTAAAAGCCATTTTCGAAGAAAGTAACTCAGCAATCTTGAATTACTTCACCTGTTCAAATACAACCAATGCAGCTAATTATACCAGTTCAACTTTGGCATCTTGCGGCTCAAGCGCATTAAATTTTTCCAATGGTCTATGTTCCAATCAATCATTAGGGGTATGTTTAAATGATCACATGATATCTTATACATATAGTGTAGATATCGACAAAGAATATTTATCACGCAGATATAATTACTTTAAAATGCTTTCTGTTACTGTCTATCTACTAAATCTCTCCGATCTAAAGCTTTACCTCCGTGTGTGTGCGTGTGTACATATGAGACTTTTTTTCGTAAACCCGGTCGTTTAACACAAACAACGAATGAAAATAATTTGATTATCACATATTCATAGAGAAATGAATATCCTAGATACACAGTCATTTGCTGAAATCGTCATCAAGACACAGAAATGACTGTGAATGTTCACAATAAAATTGTTTTGTAACTCGTTTTCACCTGACCATCCAATCATGTAATTTTCCCATGCTAGTACTAAGCTAATCCTTCTATGATGAACTAATCATTATTATCAATGGTAATTGTCGATTATGATTCATCAAATTCAATCGTATGATGAAGAATCAATGCAATGTTCCGGTCGATGATGGTTAAGATAATGGTGCAACCATTCTCGAGGTAAGTACTGCATCGGTGATCAGTCGGTGTTTGACTTTTTTCAAAAAGTTTTTCATATTCAAATCAACACTTTGGTATTGCTTGTTCTATCACTTCAAACATAAGCAATCTCTTTGCAGCAATAGAAAAATTTCATCTGTCAATTTATTTGCATGACTTTTCAACACAGTAGCATGTGTGTACAATGTATTTCTGTATAATACGTGTTTCTTGCTCTCTTTGATCTTTCGTTCGTTTCCTCCGTTATATCGTTAGTAATAACGTCAAGAATGTTTCGGTGTCGTGATACATCAACTCCACGATTTGCATAACAAGAATATTGGATGTTCTTTTTTTTTAAACTTATTTCAGTGGATCGCGACGACTTCTGGATCGACTACAAACACAACCACAAGTTCCGGAGTCGTTTTGTTGACTAACAATTCGAATGCAAATCGAACTGGTTTAATTATTGGTCTCGTTCTTGGATTAGTTGTTTTCTTGGGCCTAGTTGGTGCTCTTATAGCTCTCATACTTTATATGAGAGGAAAAAATGCAAGTAATAAAGCTGCAACAGCAAATAAACCAGTTAGCCGTGCTACTGCCATGAGTCAGGTCCCCGAAAATAATCTTTTGCAATCTCGTGTACAAACGAGAAATCTACGATCCGTACGATTGGAACCGCTTCATTCCAATCCATCGAATGCACACGCACCGGCAAAAGGTATCCCTCTTCCGTTCGACCGGACCAAGTATGTAGAATACTTTTCGTACCTAGAACGTTTTTTCGTATAATCGTTCCGTTCACAGGCCACCTATGAACATTGCGTCAACGTATGCAACAAATCTATACCCTCCGACAAATCATTCTAATTTAGTTTCGAGATCAATTGGAGAAACATCATCAGGAATACTATCAGCACAGCCCAGTTCATTCAAGAATGTTGATGGCGACATCCATTTTTAAAATATACACATCTCTCTCTCTCTCTCTTCCACAAAAAACAACAAAAGATAAACATAAGCGAACGCAAAGTATTGCAAGAAAATTAAGCTTGCACATGCCATAATATAATTTTCTTATTATTACTGTTTCTTAGGATTAGGGTGTGATTTGTATTTTATATTTGTGTTTACACAGAAATAACCAAGCCAATAAAACTAACCTTTTTTGGAGACATGTTACTAATCGATCAATTTGCTTTTTTGTCTTTCTCATATAGCAAAAACTTCACTTGTTAATAAGACACGAATCATCGAATAGCAATAAGTTTTCTGTTTTGTTTTTTATGTCCACAAAATATTTTCATTTTATTCAAGGTTCTTCATCCAACAGTGTGTTCAGCGGATGTATCTAATTGGCCACAGCTTGTTTTAACATGCCCACCTGGTACAAATCTAACGGAACTGCCTTTTCCGACTAGCGACATTTCTGTATTATACAGAATCACTAGTTTTGTTGCTCGAGGTGCTAATAATACTCGAGGACCATTTACAACTATTCCGTCGAACATCTGCTGGATGTCCAATTTGACTGTGAGTCTCTTTGTTTAAACTATCCAACAATAAAAATAACCACAAATATTTTAGACGCTTGACTTAAGTTATAATCAACTCCAAGACCCGCTGAATATTCCTAGTTCAGTTAATTGTACAATTCCATGGCGAACATTAGATTTCAGTGACAATACTTTGACCACATTTCCAAGTCGATTATTTTTATTGAATCGTTTCGATTCTGTTGACTTAAGTAATAATCGACTGACGGGGCTTGATCTGATCGCTAGTGTACTGGTAACAGACATTGTTGACTTGAGAAATAACTCCATTACAACAATTGTCAACCCGACAAACTTTACTTTTTCATCAAATCTTAGCTCTAGAGATGCTACTCTTCTCCTTGATGGTAATTCCGGCATACAACTGAGTGATGCTATCTATGAAATGTATGGTGCTTGTCAAGAGATTGTCGAAAATATCTTTCTTGATGATCCAGTCAGTCCCACACCTCTCACGACAAGCCTAGTTAAACTTAATTTTGGCTCCATGACAATCAACTGCAGTTGCAATCAATATTATACTATAGGAACTTTGAACAGCGCGCTGGGAGGCTTTATCCAAGGACCCATTTCTCAACTGAACTGCAGTAATGTCGCCAGTTCTTTCATCAACTACAATTGTTTCTCATCAACATCCACCGTCAACTTCACTCAAGTAGAGCCCAGATTATGTCGACTTGACGAGTGGAATGTTACCTCCACCAGCACCACCACAACAACAACTCAAACCACTTCTACTTCTACTAGTACGTCGACCACCACCAGTACTACTTCCACTTCTACGAGCACATTCACTACAACAAGTACCAGCACAACGACAAGCCAAACAACTTCCACTTCTACCAGCACATTAACCACAACGACCACTCAAACAACTTCTACCAGCACTAGTACTACATCAACCGCTACAACAACAAGTCAAACAACTTCCACCAGTACTAGCACTACCTCAACAGCTACAACTACGAGCCAGACGACTTCCACTAGTACTAGTACTACCTCAACAGCCACAACTACGAGCCAGACGACTTCCACTAGTACTAGTACTACCTCAACAGCTACAACTACGAGCCAGACGACTTCAACCAGTACTAGTACTACCTCAACAGCTACAACAACAAGTCAAACAACCTCCACCAGTAGTACTAGTACTACCTCAACAGCCACAACTACGAGCCAAACGACTTCAACCAGTACTAGCACTACCTCAACAGCTACAACTACGAGCCAGACGACTTCCACTAGTACTAGTACTACCTCAACAGCCACAACTACGAGCCAGACGACTTCAACCAGTACTACTACTACCTCAACAGCTACAACTACGAGCCAGACGACTTCCACTAGTACTAGTACTACCTCAACAGCCACAACTACGAGCCAGACGACTTCCACTAGTACTAGTACTACCTCAACAGCTACAACTACGAGCCAGACGACTTCAACCAGTACTAGTACTACCTCAACAGCTACAACAACAAGTCAAACAACCTCCACCAGTAGTACTAGTACTACCTCAACAGCCACAACTACGAGCCAAACGACTTCAACCAGTACTAGCACTACCTCAACAGCTACAACTACGAGCCAGACGACTTCCACTAGTACTAGTACTACCTCAACAGCCACAACTACGAGCCAGACGACTTCAACCAGTACTACTACTACCTCAACAGCTACAACTACGAGCCAGACGACTTCCACTAGTACTAGTACTACCTCAACAGCCACAACTACGAGCCAGACGACTTCCACTAGTACTAGCACTACCTCAACAGCTACAACTACGAGCCAGACGACTTCAACCAGTACTAGTACTACCTCAACAGCCACAACTACGAGCCAGACGACTTCAACCAGTACTAGTACTACTTCAACAGCCACAACTACGAGCCAGACGACTTCCACTAGTACTAGTACTACCTCAACAGCCACAACTACGAGCCAGACGACTTCAACCAGTACTACTACTACCTCAACAGCTACAACTACGAGCCAAACGACTTCAACCAGTACTAGCACTACCTCAACAGCCACAACTACGAGCCAGACGACTTCAACCAGTACTACTACTACCTCAACAGCCACAACTACGAGCCAGACGACTTCAACCAGTACTACTACTACCTCAACAGCTACAACTACTAGTGCTAGCACCTCAACTACAACTACCAGCACGGATACTAGCCAAACCACTACTACTTCTACGAGTACATCCACAAGTCACACGACTTCGACCAGTACTACTACTACCACAACTGATACAATCACTAGCACAAGCACTTCAACTATGACTACCAGTCAAACAACCTCCACCACTACTGGCACCAGCACAACTACAAGTCAAACAACGGCTACTACTGCTACTACAACAACCACCCAAACAACGTCGACGTCTACTAGTACTTCTGCGATAACCACGACTGGCACAGTATCGACTACGTCCAGTACCTCTACCACATCGACTAGCCAAACTACTGCTACTTCGACTAGTACGACTACATCGACAACTCAAACAACATCCGCCACATCTACTACTTCCACTACAACTACGTCCGAGACAAGTACTACCACCAGTACTTCTAGTACCACTCAAACGGCATCTACTACTTCCACTACAAGTACTTCCTCTACTTCTACTAGTAGCGCTACCACAAGTGTTACCAGTACCAGTACAAGTACTAGCACTTCTACTAGTACGACCGAAACAGTTTCCACTTCTACCAGCACCTCCAGTACAAGCACAACATCTACGTCCACAAGCACATCAGCTACATCGACGACTCAGACAGCGTCTACTACTTCCACTTCAACTTCTCCCTACACAAGTACTACCACCAGTACTTCAACGACGGCCACCGATCAAACAACCTCCACTAGTACTAGCTCGACTACAAGCCAAACCACGTCTACTAGTACCTCTACGACAACCACAACAAATACAGCGTCGGCCAGTTCAACCACGTCGACTACATCAACGAGCCAAACTACTTCCTCCACTTTCTCGACCACTACAAGTGTTACAAGTACTAGTACTAGCACTTCTACTAACACTACCAGTCAAACAACCTCCACTAGTACTACTACTACAACTACGGAAACGTCGTCTACGTCTACTAGTACCTCTACGACAACCACAACCAATACAGTGTCGACCACTTCAACCACGTCGACTACATCAACCAGCCAAACTACTTCTTTCACTTTGTCGACTACTACAAGTGTTACAAGTACTAGTACTAGCACTTCTACTAGCACTACCAGCCAAACAACCTCCACTAGTGCTAGCTCGACTACAAGCCAAACCACGTCTACTACTACCTCTGCGACAACCACAACGAATACAGTGTCTACCACTTCAACCACGTCTACTACATCAACGAGTCAAACTACGTCTACGACTTCTACGACAGACACAACTTCCACTAGTGCGAGTAGTTCTACTAGCTCAACTACGAGCACAACTTCTACTTCTACTAGCAGTTCTACAACAACTACAACAGACTCGGCATCTACGACTTCTATTACTTCTACAACATCACTAAGTCAAACCACATCGAGCACTTCTTCTAGCAGCAGTAGTACCAGCACTTCAAGTACAACTAGCTCAACGTCGTCGACATCTTCGAGCTCTGTGACAGCAACAACGTCTACGACTAGCACGGTAAAACAAGTCTGAATACAATAGCTGTGAGTATGAATACATATTCATATATTTAGAGCACTGCATCGAATCTGAATGTATCGACATGTGTGGAAACATTTTCTATTGGTAATACTAATCTGTTGCTAACCTGTTCGTCAAATGCAAGTATGTCGGTATTACCAATCAATGGATACTCGTTGAGTACGTTGAACAGTATAAGAACACTTACAGTGCAAGGTGCAAATGGCGAGCGCGGACCGTTATACACTATTCCACCAAATGTATGCTTCTTACCAAATTTATTGGTATGTTGTTCCCTTCTTCTATCGTTAGTTTAATTTTCTCTTTTATTAATAGGAATTGAATGTCTCATACAATCGTCTCAACCGATTGGATACCTCGTTTTTTTCGTCGAATCCATCATGTCTGAGCAATTTGCAAAAACTTAATGCTGATCAGAATCTTATAACTGAGTATCCATCAGAGTTTCTAACACATACACCCAACCTTCAACGACTTTTACTACCGAACAATCGGTTAACATCGTTCGATCTTGCATCGACTGTTCTTGTCAATACTGCAATTGATTTATCGAATAATCAAATATCGAAAATAACAAACAATGCCAATATCAATATATCAAAATATTCGAATCCATATTACACAGCGATTGATTTAAGCAATAATAGTGCAGTCATCGATGTATCGGATGCTCTTTTTGAAATGTATGGAGCTTGTTACGAGGTGATCCAAGCATTCAATTCAAGTGCTTCTTCAGCTACACCAGTGTTGACCATCAGTCTGTTGAACATCGATTTCGATACATCAAGAATCAACTGCAGTTGCAGCCAATATTATCTCGAGCGAAGTCTCCTATCAACATTTCGAAGTAATCTTATTCCCTCGGATCCATTATCAAATACTAAATGTCTCGATGGATCACTGTTTTATAACAATACCAATATTTTACAATGTTCAAATTCATCTGCTACATTCACCAACTCTTCTCCACGTCTATGTACGATAAATCAAAACAATACTGGTGTTATCTATGTGAATACAACTGATAATTCTACTAGTACACAAACATATCCTTATTATCTCACTCAAAGTTCAAATAACACGTATTGTATGTACACATTCTATTCTAATGGTATCAAAGCGGCAATTAATTGTGTAGATGGTTCAAATAATTTGACAGAAATTTCATCGGCAATTCTAACAAATAAATATTTCCAAAACATTTCACAAGTTGTTGTGAATAATCAAAATTCAATGTCACAATTGCCATCCTATCTATGTTTATTACCATCAACACGAATCGATCTATCCAATCAATCATTTGCCATCCTAAGTAAAGACACATTTCCATGTTCAACATACAATACACTTCAATACATCAATTTGACTGACAATTCCATTTCTATTGTCAACTTAACCTATACAAATTGGACAGTTTTCGACTTGTCGTCCAATAATCTTACACAATTACCATACACATTATTAAATTTAAATCAAAGTTCCATTCAATCAAGAGAATCATCATCGCGAACTCTAGATGTTTCATTTAATCAAATTCCTCAACTGGATCTATTTGCATACACATATCCATCGATAAGTATTAACTTAGAAAGTAATTCTTTTACAAAAACGACGAATGGCTATAACGTAATTAAAAATGTTCAACGACAATCACTACGCAGTGGTCCGGTCTCCTCAAATGTCGATCTGCCAAGTCAATCGCGTTTTCTTGTTAACGATCAATTGGCACAGAATTACAACACATGCGATAGTCGAACATTGATTAATCTAATCAATATTCTACAATATATGAAAAATGATGGTGTTACAGTTGAACTCGAATGTCAATGCTCATCGATTTACCTGAACGAATATCTACTTTTGTATAATTCATCGGACAAACTTACGAATCGATTTTCATGCAGTAATACATCGACTTTAAATGAAACACAGTTTAACAGTTTAGCAGAAAGTGATTGTTTGAATAATATTACTTTATCATCCGATCGACTTTGTCAATTTGCAAGTGTAAGAAGAACTGCTTTCTTTTCTACCGAAATAATCTCTTTGTTTTTCTGTATTTTAGCGAGTTTCTCTCGCAGCAAGTTCACCATCGAGTGACAATGGTCGTTTATTAGCAATTATTCTCGGTTCAATTCTTGGTTCCATCGCATTTATTGCCTTACTTGCACTTCTTATCTGTTGTCTTTGTCGGAAACGTAAAAAGTCGCCTGAAAAATCGAACATGACCGTAATGTCGAGGCCTCCAACTGGAGGAAATGGTTCCCACGATGACTATGCAACAGCACGAAGTCTCCGATCACCACCACATCATGTAACCGCTCATAATTCCCGACTTAGTCCTGTCTCAGAAAACCTTCCCGAAATAGGAGAATATTCGTTAAGTCGACATGAACCAATCCACATTCGAGAGTAAGAATTCAAGAGACGTTTTTGTGTGTTTTGAACGTGAAATTTTCTAGTTCGATCGACTCATTGCAACAAGATGTATTCGAACAACGTGAACGTAATCGACAATTACGCCAACCTCCGATTGATTATGACACTGGTAGAAGTTTCCGTCATTTGGGCAATCCTTCGCCGAATTCATCGTATACTTAACAAAATGTTTTTGTGCATTGCTGTTCTTATTTTGTATTAAATCGTGTGTTCTAGTTTGGAAGATTTTATTTAAAATAAATCTATTTTGATTTTTTCCTCTTAGTTGAAACAATCCCACTGTTGAATTTCTCTAATGAAAACGTTGTCGGTCAAAAGAGAAAAACATGAAGATGAAACTAATTGTAGTTATTAGAATTAGATGAGAAGAAAAAAAATCGATATGATCAATCAAGGGTCAATGAATCATTAGTTCGATCATATCTTCCTTTGGTTTTGAAAAAGCAACATATATATGTTGTTTCTTTTGAATATTTATGTATATTGTCCTTTGCATTATTTTCTTTCTTCTCTCGTTCTCTCTTTTTTTTTTCTTTCTTTCTTGTCGCTTTTTTTTCTCTCATCAACATTCGTCGTGTCACCTCTCTTAACTCAGCTTTATTTTATTCATCAAATGCATCATATACGCATATTTACCATCAGTTTTTTTTCTCTTTACTTCAACCATGGTTCTTTGTAGACATTCTGATTCTTCTAATATTCTCGAGTTTTTTTTTAATATTATAACAGTAGTTCGACACAACGACAAGTCTTTCTTTCCCTCCTTTTTTTTTCATTCATTTTGCCTATTTCTCTTCGGGTTCGTTTGAACAATTGTGTTCTACTGTTCTTTCAATGTGAAAATGTTTATTACTCATTCTTCATCGCTTTTTCATTCCTTTTCAGCTAAAAGATAAGAAGACATTTGAAAAATGTATGAGTGGTCTTTGTTGATATGAGTTAGCTATAATACATCTGTCTGCCAATGTCAGTATATCATAAAATGCGTTGAAAGAGAAAGAGAAAAGAAATGGATGCAAGTGTTATTATTGTTAAATCGTGAATACAATCGAGACAGATCGTTTCTAATAAAAAATATCGTTCAAGATTATAATCCGAACCTTCTATTTTAGAGAAATTTACCATGGAAAATCTAACTTCTGCAATACCACCAATTGGTTCATCTACATCATTCGTCAGTACAAGTACTATACTCACTACAATTACTTCAACGATGTTAACATCAACTCGATCATCGAATATAACCAACATTACTAATAGTTGTCTACTAAAAAATTCGCCTTCGACATGTCGATTAGGTGAATTCATTCGGGTTTTAGCATATCTATTCTTGGGAGTTTCACTTCTACCGCAAATTCTTCATTTATTTAATAATGGTTCAAAATACATCGCTGGAATCAGTTATATGTGGTTAATTATTCGTGTGCTTGCCTTAACTTCATTAGTACTTGCTCATGCATTTCAATGGTCATCTATACTTGAGTTAATTGCACTGATCTCAACTATAATTATCTTTATACAGATTTTCATCTATGCTGATAATTTTCATCGACAACAGAAAATTATTTTAATATCTGCAAGTCTATTAACGTGGGCCATCGGAGGTTTTCTCTTGTTATTGATCAGAAAACGACCTGATTATTTACTTACATTTGGATATATCCTACTTTCAATTCATACTTTACCTCAAGTAAGTCAAGAATTCTATCAATTAACCATAAACATATTTATTTATTTAGATTCTACTTAATTCATTATTGAGAACAGCAAAATCTTTATCAAAATTTTCGATTTTATTTCTTTCGATGAGTGATACACTTTTCTTCGCTAGTATTTACGTATCTAATGAAAACTATTTTCATTTAGTTTTATATTATTACGCTTTTTCATTCTTTTTTTATATCTATTTACAAAGTATCATTCATGCTGATTCAAATATTTTTATAATATCGCGTTCCGCCCATACGGTTTTAACGCCCGGAGTGAATTTGTATACGGGACTTGATGCGACTGGTGTGCGTAGTGCTGGCCAAGAACCGCAGATGTTTTCAATTGATGATTTAGAAACAGGTGATGGAACAGATGTTGTTTATCAGCCAGTTACATCAACTAAACCAGCGGTACCGACAGTTGAGCAAACGCGAATGAACCAAATTGTCTGGTATGCAACATTAGCATCGATTATTGCTATTGAAATCACTTTAACAATCATGTTGATTGTTCGAGCATGGTCAGAATGGATTATTCTCGTGCCTGTATCAATTCCCGTCGTGTTGGGCATATTTTTCTTACTGCGAACTCGATTAAGTGACTTTCAAAAAGAAAACCTACGAAAAGTTTTGTAATTTGTTACTTCATGTCGCTTTTCTTTTTTTTTTTAAATACATACCGAATCATTCTGAGATCTAATCATTTGTATTCACTGAACTGTCAGATCAGATTCGAACTCGTTCTTCTTCGTAACACTATTAGATTTTACTCCACATTATTGACATTGATATACAGAAAAGAAAAAATAAAAGCAAAGAGAATGGTTATGGAAATTGAATAATAGAGCAACACATCTGACAGAGAGAAGAGCCTTCAATGAATTAGATAGGCAATGCGTGATTCGAGACAGTTAAGCGTACACAATGATCATATTCGTCAAGTTTAGCACGCCAACCACGTTGAAACCAGAACTTTGTATTGAATTTTATACAGGCGATGTGTGGTGGTGAGAACATCAACATTTGATTAGGAGAATTTGCTGATTGAAAGGGTTTTGTCAAGGCGATGGTTAAATCGAGATGATCTAATTGAATTAACGAGGTTTGAAAGAGATTTTCCCATTTGTCAGCATCGAGATATTCATAATGATTGAGTAATAACCATAGAGAACGAAGTTGACCGAGTTCTTCGAGTAATAATAATAAATAATCGAAACGTATGGAATCAATTACTAGTTTAAGAGAATTTAAGCGTGAAGAACATCTTTGGTGAAGATTACCACAAATTGACTGCGTCCATAGATCAACTAAAAAAAGAGAAATTCGACTATATTTTGTATTAATCTATTGGCGAAACCTAATAAAAATTATCATCACGAATCCGTAATGGTTGAGAGATATAAAAAGACGCTCGAAATCAAGTCTTACCATCATTTAGTCCGCAAATAGTTGCTTTTAATGTTGTCAAACATGGTGAATATTGTAAGAGATGTGTTAATTCTTGCATTTGACACCAGACAATCGATAATTGTTCAACATTGGACAATGTCGTTACATTGAAAAACGTAGTTCTCGCGCACATATCCATTTTCACACGTTTCAATTTCGGTCCAGACAATAAATCATTATCAATATGCACGAATGACATCGTATCTACACCTTCACTATCCACTGAAAATCGTATATTAACAAGATGTTTGAGAGAACTGATTGCTGACTGAATCATAGGAAAATCGTCGATTGTCATTTTGATAATCACCAAAGTACGAAGATGTTGGAATAATCTTAGATCTACCGCATATCTATGCAAGAAAAGATGCACTTGTTGGTACTAAAAGAGTAAGAAGATGAATTATGTTACAACAAAATATATCAGTCGAACCTCATCGGTGTCGTAGGTTCCAAATGTAAATGAAATGAATCGATCGACTATCTGAGGAAGAATATTTTGCACATAGGAATGAAATTGTTTTGGAGTCAGAGATGACAAATTATCACGAAAGCGCATACGAGAATCAGTTAATATGGTGTTGAGTCGACTGTTCAAACCATAGAAAGTTTTGAACAAATCATTTGGAGATAATCGATCGAAGATTTCGAAAAAGACTTCATCCGAAAATGTTTCAAGTTTCGAGCCCGAACAAACCAGAGATTTATCCATCGAGATTATTTCCTATTTACAAATAAATCTACGAAAAATCCAGCATTAAACGTTTGTTCTTTATCAGTTCAATTCAAAGCAAATTTACTCGATTCGAAATTATAGAGAATCATTGTCAAGTTTGAACATCTACAATCGAAGAAGAAATTTAACCTCACTCTCCAGATTCTAATTTAGTTAATTTTGCGTCGATGACAATAGAGGTATTATCCTGTATTCTTACAGGCCCTTCATTTCTCCTGCAGATGGTGCTAGTTGACACCAGCTCAATCATCATTTGACTCATGATGAGTAAAATCTTGATTTTGACTCAGAAAGTCTCTATTGAAAGCCGACCAAGCGAACTCATGTTTTTATCTTATCGTATTTCTAACCTTCAGTCTTTCGTTATCTGTTTATTTGCAACTTATATATTACATCGGTGCATGTTGAAAATATCTGCTTACTTTCAATATGGCTGTTTTACTTGCTGCTATCATTTGCCCAATTGTATTTGCGATTTGTTTTCTTAGTCAAACGATTTACTTTCTGTACAAAGTTCTCAAGGAAAGACGAACGGATTATGTTGGAGATACCCCGGTGACAACGGTTCATATGAGCGAAGGTGAAGCATCATGTTGCATGGGCTGGGCGTGGACGTCCTGCATAGATAAATCAACAAATCGAATAACATTGAAAGTATTTATCGCTTGGTATCTAGTTTGCCTTTGTTTTGACATTCTGGTAACAGCCATTTTCTATGTTATTCTTTATCATTATCGACGTATTTATGTTTAAAAGAAACTATTCAAATAAACACAAGGTTTTTGTTCACACATATTATAAAATTTAATATCAACCATAGAAAAAAGCGTTCGAGTCTACACTGTTATGAAGAAAAAATGAGAAATTTAGTTACTGTTGAAGAGACGTGTGAATTATGCATTAGTTTCATTTTGATGAACAATAAGTAACTCGTCATCATCTTCAGTAGTCGGATTGATCTGGAGTGAAGGGGATGGAACGATCGTTGAATACGATGGGAGCATAGGAACTCCATAGAATTTCTTGTTGAATTCAATTAATTCAATGATTTGTTGAAAAGAGACGTTTTTCATCGAACTTGTTGTTATTGAGTTACTCTTGTCACGATTGTAGATGACAACATTGACACAAATTACGTCAGGTAAACGAACAGGAATCGAAAAACGACAGGTAATGGAGGTGTAATCAACAAATCGAGAGTATTTGTCTGCATGTTTGAGATAATTTGCTTTGCGATTGAAGAAACGATAGAAACGACCATGGTTTTTCACACGACGTTTACCACTAGGGAGAGAGAGAGAGATTTGAATGAAAAATCTTCGTGTTCTTCGGAATACTTACGAATAATTCGTCGATATATCGAGGATACGTTCATTAGGATTAAGAATTTGCTGATCAAATGATGGTTGAGAAATCGTAAACGATGCTAAAAACACGAAATCAATTATGAGGAGATTCACGTGGAAATGTTTGATTTACTTTCGGGAAGATAAACACTGGTGACAACATCAAGATCATCATGTATATTCGCTGAATTGATCATATGCGCATATTTTGATACAGTGATATGATCTACTTTGAGACTATAGAAAACATCGGTTTGTTCTAGTGGTGTTAAGAAATCTCGACAGAATAATTCTTGAAGTAATTTGCTTGTTAAACCTAAAAGATAAAGAATGCAACATTTATGTTCAAAATTAAGAAATTAGTCATACCGAACCAATCATCGGTTTCGAGATCCCAATCATTCCAGAATTTATCAAGTTCAGTTTTAGTGAAATAAGGTAAAATTCGTTGGGGATACCATTTTTCTACTAATTGAGTTCCTTCAATCAATACCGCCTAAACAACAAAGTTCAATGAAAGCTTTCATTCACTTTCAAATACACTTCTTACTGTCAAATCCGCTTCTGTCAGCCGGATACGATTGTGATTATGATCTCGATGTAATCGAAGCAAATCATTTCGCCTAATGACAAGAAAGATGATAAATACAGCAGTTAATATCGTTCATAACTTACTTTTCAATCGCCGATCGAAGGTCTTGAATATGTTGATCGACCACTCGAGTCATTCGGCCAAAAGCCGATCCATCGTCTGATATTTGTACAGTGGCGGAAAACGGTTTGAACGCTTTATTAAAAAATTGTCTAAACATACAAAGTTCAGCATCTTCTCACTCGAATTCATTTTTAACTCACCGATATTCATCGACTGGTTTCATTAAGATTTGTTCAACATATGTTCGATAAACTTTCAGTTCATTTTGTTCAATCAATGATTCTAACGCTGCCAGAACTTCAGGCGATGAAACCTGATAGAAATATTCAGCAGCAAGACCTGGTCCAGCAGTTCGGCGAGCAAGGAAACCATTATGCGCAGGAATACGAGCGAAACGTTTCACTATTAAGTGATAAATAATCTTATCATACATGCCTCGTGTACACCGGTGTAAAAACGCATCTAGAATAAATATTCTTCAAAATTCTCCTGTCAATCGAATAATAATACAATCTTACAAATAACAAGGAGAAGAGCAACTATTGGACTAGCAATTAAGGCAAGCACGACTAATACTGGTTGAACAATACCACCACAGAGTAAATCAGTCATGATGATATTAATAAGACAAAATAGTTTTCGACTATATTCACCTGAAAAGATCTCGATAGAAACTTGATTTCGGAAAATTCTTTGTTCCTACCCGCTGAATTTGCATCATAGAAAATCAATTGAAGTAAATGAAATATTAATGTTAAAATCGGCATCCTAATGAATGAATAATATAGAACACAAGTTTTTCGTATAAATTATTTAACATACCAAATAGGTGAAAGAATACCTAATGTAAACGAAACAACTGGAACTACCAAACATGTTATTGGGTAAATTGCACAAATAGCAACGGTTCCAACACAACCTTTCGCAATATAATTCCAAAAACGATTGAACATTCTTTGCATATTTTTTCCCAAAAATCCTTAATGAAACCAAATATTTTGTTTCTAATCGATGTGTATTGTTTTTGTCTCATACCTCGATCGGGTGTCTCTTCAAACTTTTGTCTCGAACGTCGAATGTTCGTCCACAGCGCAACAAGACGTGATACAAATGTCTGAGTTTTCGAATGTGGATCTGCATGAAGTTTTAGCTAAGAAAACATCAATACTAAACTTCATCTACCAATCGTTTGTCTTTACATACGTCTTTTTCATCTAATCGGTAATTTGGTTCAAATGGTTTTGCGGAAAATAACGCCCGAAAACTAACGGGACTGCTGAATGGGATCACCAACTACAAAGACAGAGAATTAAATATTGAATGGTTTGTTTTCAGCTCATACACATAATGCGAAAATGGTATTTGAAAGCCAACAGTATGTTCGAAGCGCGAATAATTTCCATCGCCAAAATGGATATTTTGTTGTTGTTGAATAAGTCACTGTTCGTCGAAGAGCATAGTGTGCTTCCGACTAAATGATCCAAAGAACGTTTCGAATAGAAATAGTTCGAACAAAACTCACATCGGATTGAATCAATTGAATTCGTCGTTCTTCTTCTTCAGCTGAATAAGTATTTTTCGCAAATCGTGTCGGTACACGCTGAATAGGTAATGGATATGTTCGTTCGACAATCCAGTTTTCTACAAATACAAATTCTACAACAGTACTTCATACAGAAATTCTTTACTTGGCAACCAAATTGATCGATTACAATTGATTGTACGAATCGGTTCTCGAGGTGGTTTGAGATTATGTCGAAGAATGGACTCGTGCTAAAGAATACAAATGAGAAAATATTGTGCAGAAGAGAATACGTCATACATCTTTTCGAAATGTCAAATCACGTTGAATGAAATACGCAGCTTGATGATTTCCTAATGCTTTACATTGTCCAATAGATAACTGATGAGCATCCCATTCATGTTCTTTTATATAGGAAACTCTCGCTTCGAATAGTTTGTTTTCCAACCATCGACGAATCTTCGATTTGATTGGATGTTCACGTACAAGGGTCTGTTCGACTGTTTTGAGATGTTTTCCCAAGTTTTCATTCAATTGATCAACAACAGATCGCATGGCTAAAATGGCACGAGCTTGTGCGACTAATAAACGTCCAAGACCTGGAGATAATTGTTCGAGTTCACTTGATTGTTCAATAATCGTAAATGAACGTTCGGCATATTCCATATTCAAATGAGTTTGAACATTTTTAGCAACTTCTTCTTTCAACAATTGAACTTCTTCGTCTGAAATCGCACGAGTTATCATCAAGAAACAGAAAATCAGTTTGAAATTACGTTTATATTCATTGATCAATCGTCGTTTCGTTGAATTAAACCAATTTTTCGGTGTTTGCTCTTTTAACAGCGAACTAACAATCGTCTGAATTTTATTCTGCATATCTCGATTATGCAGTCGGAGATCAATATCAGTATTATTCGGTGTGACAAAATGATGCGGATATGGCAACATTTGTGGTGGACGTGTCTAAACGAAACAAACATCGATTTCTTCACGATCGTTCGCCTCGAATTTTTCATTACTTTATCTACGCGATTTGGATATTTATAATGTTCTTCCATAATATCCAGAAGAGTTGGAATTTGTGCACAGAATGCTTCGTGCATTTCCTTTTCACTTGCCTAAACAAGAAATTGACAGTGAGAAGTTCGCGCTTGGAATGAATTGTTCTTACATGTGGTGAAAGTTCGATTACTAAAAATTTCAATCGTTCATTTTCGACTTCGACATCGACTCCAGGAGAAAATACTGCGGGTAAACCAATAAAAGCATCTAAAACAAGACAATTCAAATAGAATGAAATAAAACTCTTCGTTAACTTACCAACTAGACTTGCAAGACCTTGTCTCCATGATCTGATCGTTGCTCTGAAACTGAACGTATTTGAAAAAATACGATCACGAGCAAAGATAATGAACATATAAACAGCCCATGATAATTCCTGAAGACAGAGGATATTTTCATTGGCAAACTATTCGTAAAACTAACTTTGAAAAGTTTTTCATTCGCTTTTTGAACACCTGATTGAAGTAATTTACTCAAACGCCATCGATGGTGTTGCCCAGGAAAATGAATACTTGCAACTTGAAATTCTCTGCAACAATCCTATTGGTTTTAATCAACGAATGTTTATAAAATATACCCTGTTTGTTCAACTGCTTGCAATTGTTCTTTATTCAATTTAATCGACGAGCCGTCGGGATTTGTTGAAACAATCTCAAGTTCATTTAACGTTGGAGTTTGAAACAATGATCGAAATTCAATCTGAAATCAATTCCTTATTCACAAAATTCTCTTCTCCAATAGTTGATCTACTTTATTCGATTCGCTCGTTATGCCTGTTATCGACGGTGGTAATGATACTTCAAACGATACACACTGTTCGAGATTTTTCTCTGCTTTCTAATACAAAACAAACATGAGTACATTTCACCTCGATAAGTACATTCGACATACTTCACGAATATAATTTTGAATATCGACTATATCAGTAGGAAGAGTTTCGGATAAGGGATGAAATTGGATGGGCCCAGTCTATTTATATCCAAATCAATCGATGCTGATGGAAAAGGTCAACTTGACTTACTTCGTATTTAGGCATATGAATCGACACATGTTCATTTTGTTTTGCCATCGGATGATTTTCTTTTCGTTAGTAATTACATATAGACATTGTTCTTAAAAAAAAAGAAAAGAAGATTGCATTAGAAAACGTGTAGTTGGATAGATAGGTACACACGCATATTTGTTCGATATATATACGATTTTAGTATTATTCATACAGGTTTCAAAAGAAAAATTAGTCAATAAAGAATTGAATTTCTATCTGATGAAACGCGCTCGACACGTTGTCGTTCTCCTTTTTCTTATTCAAGGTCAAAATAATGAGACATTTTTATATACGTGGATTGTTGCATAGGGATTGAGTAATGACAAAATAGAGAATACACAAAGTCAGTGTACTATGTTTTTTTTCTTCTTACTACGAATTACTCGATTCATCGACAGACCAGAGAGGGGGGGGGGGGCAATTGCCCCTTCTGAAAAATTTTTGAAAGGGCAATAAATTTCTTCGCCTCAGAGAAAACGAATATCTGTGGTAATAATAACTGAAAAATTTTTTACTGCTCTCCCTGAAATTTTTTCGCCGGCCCGCCGACGACTCGATTCAGGAGAAACCATCAGACAAATGCCTCATGTATCCATCAAGCTAAAGCGAGAGCATGCAGAATAAAACATTCTACAAACCCATTTCCTTCAGACTCGTCATCTGAATTTCATCATCTAATTTCTCCTGATCGTTTTTGTTCAACGTGTAAATGTATGTTTAAGTACAAACGACATTTATCTTGACATGTATATGACAAGTCGTCTTCAATCGGTGATGTGTGAAGTTGATGATGAGAAATGCGCGTGCTTGGACTATGCCATTCTCATTTCTTCTTTCTTTCTTTCTTTTTTGCTCATAGACTGACCGTGCTTAATCGACTGGTCGCTTGGGTCTACAATCGATAGACATATACAAAGTAGCACTCAGACAGACGATGAAGATGGGAGAAATACATATATGAGAAGAAAAAAGGACGAGGAAATATCATGGGGGGATCTAATCAATAGGCAGATTGCTTTCTCAATGTAGAGCACGAATCATTAGATATTACTATTTGCTTTGTTTGGTTATATGAACAGCTGTCTAATAGACATCGATGGTCGATCTGGCTCTTGTTTAGTTAAGAATAACTAAAAAAGAATATTTTTTTTGTATCTATTTGTAATGTTATTGCTTTCCTAATCACGAGAGAGAAGAGTTTGTTGTTTTAAACATAGAAAACGATCGGATAGGTGTTGAATTTCTAGCTGCAAAGAAGAACATGATACTTGAGTCGACAAAAGAACGTTGTGTGTTAAATAATCGTGTTGATCCACATAATTTATACTAATTTATCGGAATTGAAGTTCATTTTACCTTGTCATTATCATTGAATATGAACAAAAGTATGCTTCCAATTGATTGACTTTACATTACAAACATAATGTATTCAATGCTTGTTCACAAAAGAAACTATTTGAGTGCCAGTGATCTATAAAGAAAAAAAAGAAAGCACATCAAGTGAACAAAATTGGTGTCAACAGGCTCATAAATGTCAAAAGAATAGGAATTATAACAGTTCGACAGAATGAAAAGAAAAAAAATCAAATCACCGTATTGTACGGAAGAACTTCGAACTTACCAAGAAAATCATCTGAGAACAAAAAAAGTTAATTATCAGTTGATATGTTTTCTTTCACAATCTGGTAGAAATATCCAGTCAGATAATTAATTATCATCAGAATAGATGTCAGTATTGTGTAGTAATGAACAAATCCTTATTGAGGCTCATCGTTCGGGAAAAAAGATAAAAACGGGGAAAATTTCTAGTTCACGAAATTAGTTGGGAAAAGTATTTGATTGCAAAGAATGCGCTCGTCAACATGTTCGTTTTCTCCGTGCTCAGTGAAACTTATACGGAATTGTATTCCATCATTACATCTGTCTTCGACTACATCACTTCAACCGACAATTGCTGCACCGAAAAAATGGCCATCAGAGCTGATTGAAGCAGTTTGTATTGAAGCATTTGGTCTTACAGCTCAAGTAGAACCTCAAGGAAAATGGGTGACAACAAAGTAAAACTTCATTTTTATATTTGTGTCTACAACATTGTTATTTCAATATTTTAGTCATGTGAAGTCGAAATAAGTTGTTTACGATTAAATTAAAATCAATAGAAAGACATTTGTTTATTTTTGTATATTTCTATAGACAGACATTTTTTGTTATTTGTGAATAAAATAATAGATTTGAGAACAATGACATCATCGTACGACGGCTTTCCTTTTTCATAATTAGATATGAGTTTGGTATTAAAAGATAGTCAATACTATTCGCATGAATAATTGATGATGTTCATTTAGATAAGCAATTTCTTTGTATGTTAACGATGGTGGTAATCATTGTCTTGATAATCAAAGTTAAATAGAAGAGAAATTGATGAGACAGTTCATTCGTGGTTGAAAGAATATGAAATGAATGTTTTGTTTGACGATTCGCTGTGAGAACATCATTTTTAAGATGAAAAGTTATTTAAAGATCGATTATCGACAGGGCTTTATTGATTGCGAAGAAAAGAAAATTTGAATATGAAAATAATGTTTACAAATTGCGTTGTTTAGATAATAGATACTTTCGCATTGAGATCATTGTCACCATTACCATTACTAAAAGTTGCAATAGCAAAGGATAGTTTGTACTCCTGATTGACAGTACTTTCAAAAGTTTGTTGAAGGAACTGATATTCAGAACAATTTCGAGAAGCATGATAAAAATAATTTGATAGTGATGATACATTATTGATCACACCGCTAGTGCATCCTGAACTACATGGTTGTATGTACCATCCGATTAAATTCTTGATCAATAGCTATTGGATTTGGATTGTTGACCTGTAAACCAAAAAGAATAGTGGTTGTCTTCTAGGTGGCGTTGAAACTATATGTTTATGTTGTCCACGAAGTTGGAATGTTCGACTTGTCATAATGAACAATGAATCTGATGAAAGAACTGCACATGAGAATCATTTGTAGAAAGTTTTGTCATTTCGACTTATTCGATCCTTATCGAATAAAACATTGATACTTGGATTGCTTTGCATCGATAGATTCGTCAAGAAGAATGTTACAGATGAAACAAAATAAAATGAGTGTGTCAAATGATTCACACCGGATAAGAAAGTTTGTAGTGCGAATGTTAGAAATATTTGACACGTATTATTTTTCATAAAACAACTAAAGGAGGTAATAGTTCCGTTACTCAATACCATTTTACAAAGACAATTGTCACAGCTACCATTGACTGTTGTTGATTTACTTGGTGATGCTATTAATGAAAAATTTCTCAAGTGTTCATACGAAAAGGCAGTGACACGAATGATTTGAGATAGGCAAAGAAGGAAAATTCAAGTAAGATTACTGTGCATTGTACACGAGACTTTGACAATCAAATTCTGTAAATTTCAAAGGGTATAAAATACTCTGAAAGGACGATAATTATCAAGTCATGAATAGTAAAGTAAACAATTCGCTGAGATCCTAGACGATCGTTCAGGCGAACAAACAGAATAATCAAATAACTTTTCATATGATCTTAATTTACATAGAAATGTCGACACATTCGGGAATTTTCAAATCATCTGTCACAAGACATTCTCCTACTTGACAAACTCCATCCGATTGTATGAGTAACCATGCAGAAATGTGATTTAGATAAACTATAATAGAAATATTTCTTTACATAGAACCAAACAGCAACAGCAATGGCAATAAAACAAAGAAAAAGAGATATAAAAGGCTATGACAGATAAATAGATATATATATTTCTATATATAAAAAGAAAAAAAAACTAAAATTCAATATATATGTTTGATTTGTTTCTTATGTTAAAGAATTCGACATCGAAGATGACACCGAACCCGATAATTGAGATTGTGATCGAACAGAATGAAGACTCGAAAGTGCCGATGGTATATTTTTCATAGTAAAAAACAACAAACGTTTCGCACGATTCTGTGTTTCACTTAAAGTAACCAACGTCCATGTGCTGCGATCCAATATAACCGACCACGGGCGTTCGACATGTAAAATTTTATTCGCTTTTGTATATTCATTACGTTTGATTTGCCATAAACACGATGCATTATAATCCGCAATCAGCCAACCACCGAAGTGATCTGTAGTTACTTTAAATCCGGTGACTTCGATTTGTTTTAGAAGATTTAATTGATAATCGAAGATGATTAAAGCTACATCACATAGAATAGCTAAATGTTCGGCTAGATCATCTGCTTCGATATCCCAGATCGTAGAAGATTCAAGAATATGTTTGCCGAGTGATTTCAATTTGTAATCATAACGTTCAAGTAAGAATTGAGGACGATCTTTGCATGTTGAGGATTGATAATAGGATGAACTCGATGATGATGATGATGATGATATGCTCGAATTGGCTGGAATTTTGTGTGTATGAAATATAGATGATTGACATGAGGTAATACGTTTTGGCCAATCGCCATTGATATCAATGGATTGAAAAATCTTACTGAACGAACGATTACAGATGATCTAAAAGCGAATAAGATTTTTTTGATAAGGTTGGAAGTAGATATGCAACTTACGATTTGTGTCTGTGTTGCAACAATCCAATTTTGTGTTGATTTCGACCAAGATATATCGACAATGCCATCGTATGGCCATGGAAAACATAAAAGTGTCAAATCTGGTTTATACATAATGAATTGTTTGTTAAGTTGATGATAAAGACATAAGTGATGATCACCATCAATTTCCAAAAAACGCCAGAATTCATTTCCTAAATTAATCGTACGTGTATATGCGAATTCTAGCTGATCAAAGAGAGCCGCATATTCAGTTTTTGAGATTTGCTCATAGAGATCCAAAGGTTTGCCATTCACGTTCATTTGTTTATCCCCGCGTGTTGTTTGTTCCGCTAATAAAATCGCAAAAAGTTTGTTCCTATATAACAAAAAGGAAATTTAATCGTACCTAACTCATTGATAGCAACGGATGTAACACCCGGCGTGTTGAGAGTTGGTCTCCAACCATTTTCTAATAGATTAGTCCAATGTTCTTGGTCGATATGTAACCATGTTTCATTTAAACCATTTTGATGTTCATGATTATGTTTGTGTTGAGATTGTTTATCCAGAGGATCTTCACTCGATCGACGAAGTGATAATCGATGACTACGATGTCGATTTGATTCCGATCGTTGATGATTTTGTTGTTTAAATTTCGACGATGAAGATGGACATCCGTAGATTTGATTATCAACCGCTTGAATTTGATGTCCTTCAAGTGTCCTTGATCGATATCGGCGATCACGTGTGTTACTAATCGTACTACTGGCTGTTGGACTTTCTGTTCGGACGCTGTTGGCTGCTTGATCGTATAATTCCACTACTTTGGGATCTGATGTTACTGGAGGAGTAGTGGTAACGGGAAGGACACGTTCAATTGGAATATTAACTGATTCGCGTGTAATTGCCGTCTGACGAGTTTCACCATTTTTTCTCGGTACTATTTTATTAGTATTGACTGTTGATTTAATAGTTAAAGGTGTAGGTGGAATTGATTGAACACCATTCGACAATGGACGAGTGGAACTCTTGACTGGTTTTTGTTTAGTGATAGAGATTGATTCTGTATTATCAATACCATTAGCAGAGGATGGTCGTGTTGATTCAACAGATTGCTAAAAAAGAGAACACAAAAAGGTAAATACGAACATTTGAATAGAAAAGGTTTGATGCCAACCGATTGTGAATGATCATCATATTTAGTTCGAAGATTCTTTCGTATTTCTCTCAAACGTTGAAATCGTCGAATGGAATCATCAAATGATTCAAATGCGAATAGTTTATGATTTGTATTTCCTTCATTGATCTCTGTGGCTTGATCATTTGTACTCGTCGAAACATTTTGCTGTTGTTTTTGTTGAATCGGAACATTTGCGATAGTACGCGAATGTCGACGATGGACACCATCTGTTTGCGAACCTTGCTTTGGCTTCGGTGTCGACGACTTCGACTTATTGTCATACGGATATCCAACGTGATCAAGTGATTGTAGATTTGACAACTAGAAAACAAAGAGAAATCAAGATCAAAGATCAATAATTAGTCGATTCATTTGTTCGACGGGACACAACGCCCATTTGAATTCACATGATTTTTGATTGTAATCAGTATGAATAGTTTTAACCTATACAATTATATAATCATCATTCACTATCAATGCGATTGCAATCGAACGAACGATTGAAAATAGCCTTTTGCAATGTACAAAGGTCAACTCACACATAAAACTGATATGATAACATCCTCCCATCACCGAATCATTCATATATCACAAACTAACCTTGACTTTCGAGCCTAAATTTGTTCGATGTGCATCAAATTTCTTTGTCTTTGTCTTCTTGTTCTTCAATGTGAATAACACTTTAGGTTTGGGTAGAACAAATCCATACTTCATCTATAGAAATTCTCGAGATTAATCTTTATCGGCCAACTCTTCTCTCCCCTCGATCCCAAAAGCAAACAAAAACCTCTTCCCGAATATCACACGAAAATCATAATCATAATAATAACACGAGTGCATTTAAGCATATTGAAATACTTCACGTGAATCGCTTACCATCATTCGCTACGATAGAGAGAATAAAATTACAGATACAAATATACATTGAAAAGAATCGAATTCGATGTGAATTATTATACAATAAATGCACTTAGATGAGGAAATTTTCAAGTCGAAATCTCTGATTGACTCGCTTATTTTTCTTTCTGATTTCTTTGTTACTTAAGTATCTAGAAGGAAATTCCTACACTCGTCATTCGATGACACACTCTTACCTCATCAGCGGATAAGGACGATGATGGACGTTGCGGACTGGTACAAATTTCTAAAACACGTTTCAATTCCGAGCCGAGATCATTGTTTTCATAAACTTTGTTTGTTGCAACTTTCGATGATAGACTTCCTCCATATTTCGACGTATTGACTAATTTGCCAGGGAGAATTTCCTCGGAGAGTAAATCATCGGTATCGTAATCAATAGTTGCACCAGCGAGAAGATATTTTGATTGTTCTAATTCTTCGCGAATCGAGCGGAGATTTGTTGATAT